TACTATCTTTTTATCTATCTAGCTGTCTATCACCTATCTGTCTGTCCATTGATTCGTCTATCTGTTTATCCATCTATCCGTCTATCTCTCCTATATATCCGTCTCTCTCTCTCCTATTATCTATCTATCCGTCTATCTATCTATCTCCTATCCATCGATCCATCATATCTGTTTATCCATCTATCCGTCTATCCATCTCTCCTATTATCTATCTATCTCCTATACGTCTATTCATCTATCATCTATCTATCTATATCCATCTCTCCTATCTAACCATCTTTTTGTCTGTCCATCCATCCATCCATCCATAACATTAATTTTATCTAATCTAAACTATCCAGTGTCCTTTTCTGCCGTACCTTGGAAAAAAAATGCCATGGACTTTCCTGGCCACAGGAGGGCAGCATTCCCTGTTTTGCCATCCTCAATGCCCTATTAGAAATGAAACTTTAGCTCCTGCAATTATCTTTTATATTCCCAGCAGCCCGTTTTGTGGCTGCTTTGAGCTTTCAGCAAAGCAAAGAAATGAAAGAATTAAAAGAAGCCACTCCAGGACTTATTTTGCAAATGTTCCTACACTAGTTGAACTTCTTCCTGCAAGTTTACTAGCCCACTCCACAGTCAAAGTTTTGGGGGAGTTTCAAGGCGCTACATTGCTCCATGGTTGGGAAAGGAAGGCGGAAAACACCAGTTTAAAGTAAAAAAAAAATTCAGGGGTCTTCCAACTTGGCCCTTTTATCACTTGTGGGCTTCAACTTCCAGAATTCCTTGGCTGAGGGCCAAGTTGGAAGACCCCTGAATTAAATAAAAGTTTAAACTGATTAAAAGAATATTACACACTTGTGCAAAATAATCTTCTATTTGTTGCAACACACAAATGTCCTGATGTGATAGCATTGAATTCAGGGGGCAGATGGACTTCGTGAGAATCAAAATAGGCATGCGCAGATAGGAAAGGACGAAGGGGCGGAGCCAGCCCCCAAACGGGCGGGTGTAACACACAAAAAATAATTCTTTAAAAAAGTCGAGGAGCTCCATCCGTGGTCGTTCTGGCTCCGCCCACTCGCTTAGTCCCTCCCCTTCGACTTGCATTCAACAGGGATTTCCTTCCCTAGTTGAATTTCTGCCTGCAAGATCACTAGCCCACTCCTTATTCAAAGTTTTTTGGGGGCTGTCCCATGGCATACTTTAAAAACTCATTTTATTATTCACAAAGGTAACACATAAAGCTTTTATTAATGATCTGATCTTGCCAAGGACGTGAGTAGAATTCGAATTCAGAGCCACATAAAACAGAGACCCCCCTTGGGGAACGGTATGCTAAAATTTGGATGAATAAGAATAATAAAATTCCTTTGCTGGACTGTAGCCTTTCACACGGGATAGTAGCCAGTTCAGTGCACTGTGCAAGCCCCCCAAACACGTGTGAATCCTCAACAAGGAAGAGAGGCTCGTGTGAATAAGACTTTTGGCCTTTCGGGCTCATGAAAAAGCTAAAAGGGACGAAAAAGAAGTGCCCTGCACCACTTTTCTTTGGCCACGAGATGGCAGCATTGCTCCATGGTTGGGAAAGGAAGGCGGAAAACACGGGAAGCCTTTCAAAAGAGAATAAAATAAATAAAAAGTTTTAACTCACTAGGCCCAGGCTGGGCATTTAAAAGAATATCACACACTTGTGCAAAATGATCTATTGTGGTTGCAACCCACAAATGCCTTCATGCGATTGCGTTGAATTCAGCGGGAGATTCCATTGAGAATCAAACCAAGCATGCGCAGATAGGAGAGGACAAAGGGGAGGAGCCAGACCCCGAAATGGGCGGGTGTAACACACATAAAAAAATTATTTTTTAAAATAGTCGAGCAGCTCCATCCGCGGTCGTTCTGGCTCCGCCCACTCGCTTAGTCCCTCCCCTTCGACTTGCATTCAACAGGGATTTCCTTTCCTAGTTGAATTTCTGCCTGCAAGTTCACTAGCTCACTCCTTAGTCAAGGTTTGGGGGGGGGGGCTGCTGTCCCAGGGCATATTTTAAAAAGTCATTTTATTATTCATCAGTTTAACACATAAAGTGTTTATTTTATCAGGTGATCCTGCCAAGGATGTGAGCAGGATTCGAACTCAGAGCCACGTAAAGCAGGGGCCCTGATGAGAAGAAATAATAAAATATCTATTAATAAAAGAATAATAAAATGCCGTTGCTGGACCCCAGCCTTCCGCGTGGGTTAGTAGCCAGTTCGATGCACCATGCAAAACCCAAACACGTCTGAATCAGTCACAAAGCGAGGAGGCTCGTGTGAATCCGACCTCTGGGGGGTTTTAACTTCATGAAAAAAGCTATGTAAAAGAAACGAAAATTAAAGGCAGTGCACCACTTTCCTTTCGCCACGAGATGGCAGCATTGCTCCATGGTTGGCAAAGGAAGGCGGAAAACACGCGTACCCCTTTAAAAGGAGAATAAAATAGTTTTAAGCGATTAAAAGAATATTACACAGTTGTGCAAAATGATCTTTTATTGGTTGCCACCCAGGGAGGTAAACGGCATTAGAATCAAACAAGCATGCGCAGATAGGGGAGGACAAAGGGGAGGAGCCAGACCCCTGAAATGGGCGGGTGTAACACATATAAAAAAATTATCTCTTAAAAAAAGTCGACGAGCTCCATCTGCGGTCGTTCTGGCTCCGCCCACTCGCTTAGTCCCTCCCCTTCGGCTTGCATTCAACAGGGAATTCCTTCCCTAGTTGAATTTCTGCCTGCAAGTTCACTAGCCCACTCCTTAGTCAAGGTTTGGGGGGGGGGGTGCTGTCCCGGGGCATATTTTAAAAAGCCATTTTATTATTCATAAGCTTAACACATAAAACGTTTATTTTATAATCAGCTGAAGTTGCTAAAGACGTGAACAGAATTCAAACTCAGAGCCAGGTAAAGCAGGGGCTCTGGTGAGAAGAAATAACAAAATATTAATAAAAGAATAACACAATTCCTTTTCTGGAGCCTAGCCTTTCCACACGGGATAGTAGCCAGTTCAGTGTACCGTACAAGCCCCACCAAACACGTGTGAATCAGTCAACAAGGAAGGGAGGGTCGTGTGAATCCAATCTCTGGCCTTTCGGGTTCATGAAAAAGCTAAGAAAAAGGAAATGAAAAAGATGTGCCCTGCACCACTATTCTTTGGCCACGGGATGGCAGTATTGCTCCATGGTTGGGAAAGGAAGGCAGAAAACAGGCGTTCCCCTTTCAAAAGAGAATAAAAGTTTTATTTTCATTTTTAAATGTTATGTATTGATTTGCATCCTGCCTTTATTGTTTTTAGAAATAGCTCAAAGTGGTGAACTTATTTAATACTCCATCCTCCTCTAATTTTCCCCACAACAACAATCCTGCAAGGTGGGTTGGCCTAAGAGAAGGATTGGTCCAAAGACATTTAGTTTGCTTGCATGCCTAAGGCGGGATTGTAGCTGTATCATCATCATCATCATCAAGTTGGAAGGGACATTGGAGGTCATCAAGTCCAACCCCCTGCTCAGGCAGGAAACCCTATACCATTTCAGACAAATGGCTGTCCAGTCTCTTCTTAAAAACTTCCAGTATTGGAGCATTCACCGCTTCTGGAGGCAGGTGGTTCCACTGGCTGATTGTTTTAAGTGTCAGGAAGTTTCTCCTTAGTTCTAGGTTGCTTCTCTCCTTGGTCAGTTTTCATCTGTTGCTTCTTGTCCTGCCTTTGGGCACTTTGGAGAATAGCTTGACTCCCTCTTCTTTGGGGCAGCCCCTGAGATATTGGTTATCATCATCATCTACAGACACAGAGAAATGAACTACATTTCCACACCATTAAAAACACACAATAAAAAGTGAAGAAGAGAATAAAAAGAGGATTTACATCCTCTCCAAAATTCAGATAAGCAGGGATTAACTCCAGACAATCAAGCAGAAATTATCATAATTGAAGACCTAACAAGGAGAAAAATAATGCGCCTCCCACAACGGCAGTGCAAGCTATAGTATTAGTATTAGTATTAGTATTAGTATTAGTATAGTATAGTATAGTATAGTATAGTATAGTATAGTGCTAGAAGGGACCTTGGAGGTCTTCTAGTCCAACACCCTTTTCAGACAGGAGACCCTATATCATTTCAGACAAATAGCTGACCAGTTGAGCTGGTTCTTGACTTGGAGGGGAAAAGGTGAGCATGACGTCTTTTGTGCCCCCCCCCCTTCTCTTCTTCCTGGTTTGATGCTTCAGCTGCTGAAGCTGGAATGAGGTCCTGGGAACAGTTCAGAACTGACATTGGTTATTAGTGAAGGCAAATACAAATTTAGAATAGAGCTGGAAGGGACCTTCCAGATCAGGATCAGAATCACAGAGCTGGAAGGGGCAGAGTGGGTGGTAATAATAATATTAACAGAGTTGGAAGGGACCTTGGAGGTCATCTAATCCATCCACGTGTTCAGACAAACGGCTGTCCCGTCTCTTCTTTAAAAACTCCAGTGTTGGAGCATTCTGGAGGCGGGTAGTTCCACCGGTTAACAGTTCTCCCTGTCAGGAGATTCCTCCTTCCTTCCCCGGCCAGTCTCCCTCCGTCGCTGCTCCTCCCGCCTTCAGGGGGGGCTTCTGGGAAGAGCGGGGCCCCCTCCTCTTCGGGGCGCCCCCCCAGATATGGGAAGGCTGCTTTCACCTCCCCCCCGCCCTTCTCTTCACCTGCTCCGACCCCCCCCCGCCCGGGAGATGGGCTGCCTGGGGGTCGCGGGGGGAGCCCGGCTGGAGCCCCCCAGGGGGAAGAATGGAGGAAGCGCCCCCCCAATTCCCCCCGCCCTGCCTAGGGAGAGACCCCCAATGGGGGGAGGAGGGAGGGGGGCTCACTCCGCTGCCTGGATGCGGGGGGGGGCGAGAGGGGAGAAGACTTCCAGGGGAGCCCCTCCCGCCACCAAAGAGAAGCTTCGCTACTGCGCAGGCGCCATGTGGCTCATGATTGGAAGGCAGCAGGACGCCGATTGGTCGCTCTGGGGAGGGCAGCGATTGGCAGGAGGACTCCTCGGGGCGGTCCATTCAGAGGAAAGAGGAAGAACAACCAGGAAGAGCCCTCGCAGCGAAGTCCCGCCTCCACTTCCGGGAATGAATAGAACCGATTCATCCACGGGCGGGCTGGGACCCAGGTAGGGCGCAGGGGATGCTGGGAGTCATATTCGGAGGGGCCCTTTTGCGGGAGGGGGGAGGCCGAGGCCTTGTCTGGCGGGACGGGCGCTGGGAGGGAGGCCTGCCCGGAAAGTCCCACGGAGAGGCGGAGGCTTCGGCCTTCCTCCCCAGGCGGGCCTGGGACTCCCTCCGGGGAAGGGACGAAGCCGTGACCCGCCTCTCCTCCCCCCCTTCGCCCCTGCAGGAGGACGGGCGAGCCCGGCGGAGGAAGGAAGGAAGGAGGCGCCGCCCGAGAGGAGAGGAGGCCCCGCGGAGCAGCCCCGGGAGGAGACGGCGGGGAAGGCCCGGCAGGGATGAGCCGAGGGGGACTCCGGGGAAGGAGGCCGCCCGGAGGGAGAGGCGGGGAGCAGGAAACGGGCGGAGACCCCGAGACGGGCCAGGAGGGCGGAGGGTCCTGCAGAGGAGGCGGAAGACCCGGGAATCCCCAGAGAATCCAGGAGGGAGGAGAGAAATATGAATGCCCGGAATGTGGAAAATCCTTCAAAAGAAATACAGGTCTTGTAAACCATCTAAGAATCCACACAGGAGAAAAGCCATTTGAATGCCTGGAGTGTGGAAAGAGCTTCAGTCAGAGGAGCAACCTTTCTACACATCAAAGAATCCACTCAGGAGAGAAACCATTTGAATGTCTAGAGTGTGGAAAGAACTTCAGTCGGAGTGGAAACCTTTATATACATCAAAGGATCCACACAGGAGAGAAACCATATAAATGTCTGGAGTGTGGAAAGAGCTTCAATCAGGGTAGCAGCCTTTATAGTCATCAAAGGATCCACACCGGAGAAAAACCATATAAATGTATGGAGTGTGGAAAGTGCTTCAGTCTGAGGGGACACCTTGATACACATCAAAGGATCCACACCGGAGAAAAACCATATAAATGTCTGGAGTGTGGAAAGCGTTTCAGTCGGAGGGGACATCTTTATACACATCAAAGGATGCACACAGGAGAAAAACCATATAAATGTCTGGAGTGTGGAAAGAGCTTCAGTGAGAGGGGAAGCCTTTATACACATCAAAGGATCCACACAGGAGAAAAACCGCATAAATGTCTGGAGTGTGGAAAGTGCTTCACTCAGACGGGAAGCCTTTATAAACATCTAAGAAGCCACTCAGGAGAAAAGCCATTTAAATGCCTGGAGTGTGGAAAGAGCTTCAGTCGCAGGAGCAGCCTTTATGCACATCGAAGAATTCACTCGGGAGAGAAACCACATAAATGCCTGGAGTGTGGAAAGAGCTTCACTTGGAAAGAAAACTTTTATACACATCAAAAGATTCACACTGGAGAAAAACCATACAAATGCCTAGAATGTGGAAAGAGCTTTACTCGGAATGAACACCTACGTCAACATCAAAGAATCCACACTGGAGAGAAACCACATCGATGTCTGGAGTGTGGAAAGAGCTTCAGTCAGAGGGGGAACCTTTATGCACATCAAAGGATCCACACAGGAAAGAAACCGCATAAATGCCTGGAGTGTGGAAAGAGTTTCAGTCAGAGGGGGAACCTTTATGTACATCAAAGGAGCCACACTGGAGAAAAACTGCATAAATGCCTGGAGTGTGGAAAGACTTTCAGTGAGAGAAGCAGCCTTTATGTACATCAAAGTAGCCACACAGGAGAAAAACTGCATAAATGCCTGGAGTGTGGAAAGAGTTTCAGTAAGAGGAGCAACCTTTATTTACATCAAAGGAGCCACACTGGAGAGAAACCACATAAATGCCTGGAGTGTGGAAAGAGCTTCAGTCTGAGGGGAAACCTTTATAGACATCAAAGGATCCACACAGGAGAAAAACCGCATAAATGTCTGGAGTGTGGAAAGAGCTTCAGCCAGAGGACCAAACTTTACGTACATCAAAGAATCCATTCAGGAGAGAAACCGTATGAATGCCTGGAGTGTGGAAAGAGGTTCAGTGAGAGGGGACACCTTTATAGGCATCAAATAATCCATTCAGGAGAGACTGAAACCAAGTCACATGGCTAGACAGACCTTTTTGGTCGCAATTTCTGAATTTCTAATGTAAGTACCCTTCCTGAATTAATTTAATCAATTCGTTTTTGTGAAAAGTGGCTAAATAACTCTCGTACCTAAGGGATTACCTGTAAATGCCTCCAGTGTGGAAAGAGCTTTACTGAAAGTCAAGGTCTCCATAAACATCAAAGCATTCACAGAGAAGAAAAAGCAAATAAATGCCTGGAATGTGGAAGTAGCTGTAGTCAGAGGGGAAACCATTACAGACATCAAAGACTCCATTCAGGAGAGAAACCATATAAATGCGTGGAAAGAGTTTCTGTGGGAAGGGAAGTCTTTAAGAGCATCAATCCACTCGGGAGAAAAGAAATACAAATACCTTGAGTGTGGAAAGAACTTTATTGTTTGTGGACACCTCTATCAACATCAAAGAATTCACATGGGGGAAAAAAACGTGTCTGAAGAACCTTCAGTCACAACGGTGCCACTGAAATAACAATAGCATTTAGGCTTATATGCCGCCCCATAGTTCTTTACAGTGAATATTTATCACAGACCTAAGTACAGCTCATTAAGAAAGGTGTGAACATTTACCCTTCATTGCCATCTCAATCTTTTGTCAACATGAGCGAATACTATATTCTCAGCCCAAACATTCAGGAATAAGTAAACCTATGTACAGCACCATTTTATTATTCATTTTATTGGTACACTTTCTTTAATGATTGTGCTATTCTGTGATGCCAAAGAGTGGAATTTGAATAAATTTACACACTTTTTCAAGGGCTCTGTAATTTTACTCATTAGGCTGCACACCCAGGAATTTGATGCTGGTAACCATCCCCACAGGTGAATCATTAATGCACAGAGAGGTGTGTCTGTGCCTGCCTTTTCTGAAATCGACAATGATTTCTATAGTTTTTCAGGTATTTAAAACTAGGCTGTTTTCCTTACACCAGATCACCAACCCCTCAACCTCCTTGCAGTAAGCGCCCTCATTGTCATCATGAATAAGGCCCACTACTGTTGTATCATCAGCGAACTTCACAATATGGTTGGTGGCAAACGTAGCACAACAGTCATTGGTCAACAGGGTGAACAGCAGCGGACTTGGGACACAGACCTGAGGAGAAACTGTGCTCAAGAAAATGGAATTAGAGGTATTTGTTCCAGCTTGCACATATTGCAGCCTTTGGTAAGACAATCAAGAATCCAGTTACACAAAGATTGTTTAAGCCCAAATGGCCCAATTTCTCTACTAGATGGTGGGGAATGATTGTGTTAAATGCCAAACTGAAATTGTGTGGTAGAAATTGTACCTTTTTGTAACAGCCAGTTAAACGCTGCTACCCACCTTCCACCCCTGGTCCCCTTTTATTTACAAGTAGTAGAGTAGAAGATGGCGTTCTGTAGTTGCTCAGTAGGGATGGGTGGAAAGTTCCTGCAAACTCACTTTTGCTGCAGACATTTGCCTGCTGTGACTTTTGCCATGCTCAGCAGTGCAGACAGCCTTTAACGGCCAGGTCTGGACAATTCCTATTGGCTTTTGAAAGCCAATAGAATTAGACTCTATTCAAGAGAGTCTATTCTATTGGCGTTCGAAAGCCAATAGAATAGTTTCTTGAATAGAATCTATTCTATTGGCTTTCAAAAGCCAATAGAATAAGAGGGAATAGCACAGCTAAGGAAAAGGGGGGAAAAAATGGCGGACTGCGTTGTTTGGCGACCCCCGTGAAATGGTGGTTCGACCCCAAATGGGGTCGCGGCCCATAGGTTGAGAACCACAGGTTTAAGCCTAAAAGGCCCAGTTTGTCCACTAGATGCTGGGGAATGATTGTGTTAAATGCCGAACTGAAACTCTGTGGTTGAAATGTTACCTTTTTGTAACAGCCTCATTTGACTCGTGATACTTTTCCCCATTATCAGTGTTCTCCTTTTAATGCAATGCACATTTCAATGGTTATGCTTGATATTATGGGATGTTACTGTCCATGTCTCTGGCGTAACTGAGCAGGGTGATTTGTTCCATCCAATCAAGTCTTGTTTTGTACTTTTTCTACTATAAGGCGTATAAAATGAAACCCGATTCTGCGTCCTGATTCCCTCTTTTCATTCAGGGAAATCTCTTTGCTATAATAGGCTAATAAATTGCCTTTAAAGGATCATCCCACCCAGTGCCTATTTGCAGCAAGTGTGACGTGACTGAATCTGGGGCTAATTTGGCCTTCGTTGTTGTAGGTGTGAAAGAGCTCCTCCATCCCATTCATATAATCTAAATGGCTTTTCCAAACGTCAGCACCATGTAAGGCCAGCCTCAGATATATGAAGTAAGGAAGGCTGGACTAGGACAGGCAAAGCCCCGGAAATCCAGTCCTTGTCAACACTGCCACACTTGGCACGTGTGAATGTGGGTGTTAGATCCCAGGGAGGGAGTTGTGTGGTGTGAGCGGAAACGAGATGTTGCTGAACTATAAACTCCCAGGTTTCTTGCCAATCAGCCTCTGCAGTTTCTTCGGCAGCCTACCTGGGCAGGTTGTTGTGAGCTCTAATTTAGTGTCCCACCTCCTTGGCAGGAAGAGCTGCCCTCCAAAGGAAACCCGGGATAGAGCATCTCTGGGCAGCAGCGCTCTCGAGGGCTGGCAGAGGGCCCCAATACCCGTCCTTGGCTGTCCCCTGATGTCCCCTCTTGCTGGCAGTTCCTGGAGAGGTGCAAGGAAGGGCACGGGGTTTGTGGGGGCCGGAGCTGGAAGGATGCCTGGGAGGTCAGTGGCGTGGCCTTCACCGGCCACAACGGAAGAAACCTACAAGTGGAAATACTGTGGGGGGCAGCATGTGTATGCCGGGCAGGAGCGGAAGCGAGAGAAGCTCCTGGCGCCATCTTTCTCAGGCGGAACAGCTGGAAAAGGGAAGGAAGGAACAGGGCGATCGCTGATGGCCCTTTTATGATTTGTGGTTCATGCGGGCTAAGGTGCATATTAGTTCCTTTGCCCTCCCCTCCTCCTTTCTCTTCTTCAGCTGCTGAAGCTGGAATGAGGTCCTGGAAACAGTTCAGAGCTGATACTGGTTATTAATGAAGGCAAATTCAAATTCAGAATAAGGCTGCAAGGGACCTTCCAGATCAGGAGCAGAATCGCAGATCTGGAAGGGACCTTGGAGGTCATCTAGCCCATCCACGTGCTCAGACAAACGGCTGTCCCGTCTCTTCTTTAAAGCCTCCGGTGTTGGAGCTTTGACAGCTTCTGGAGGCGGGTAGTTCCACCGGTTAACAGTTCTCCCTGTGAGGAGATTCCTCTTTCCTTCCCCGGCCAGTCTCCCTCCGTCGCTGCTCCTCCCGCCTTCGGGGAAGAGCGGGGCCCCCTCCTCTTCGCCCCCCCCCCAGATATGGGAAGGCTGCTATCTCCTCCCCCCCTCCGCCCTTCTCCTCACCTGCTCCGACCCCCCCCCGCCCGGGAGAGGGGCTGCCTGGGGGTCGCGGGGGGAGCCCGGCTGGAGCCCCCCAGGGGGAAGAGGTAAGGAAGCGACCCCCAACTCCCCCCGCCCTGCCTAGGGAGAGACCTCCAGAGGGGGGAGGGGGGCCCTCAACTCCGCTACCTGGATGCGGGGGGGGGGCGAGGGGGGAGAAGACTTCAAGGGGAGCCTTGAGGGAGCCCCTCGCCCCACCCCCTTGCCAAAGAGAAGCTTCGCTATTGCGCAGGCGCCATATGAGTGATGGATGGAAGGCAGCAGGACGCCGATTGGGCGCTCTGGGGAGGGCAGCGATTGGCAGGAGCTCCTCGGGGCGGTCCATTCAAAGGAAAGAAGAGCTACCGGTAACAGGAAAAGGCCTCGCAGCAAAGTCCCGCCTCCACTTCCGGAATCGAATAGAACTCAGCGCCCTAATTGATCCATCCACGGACGGGGTCGGAGCCAGGTAGGGCGCAAGGGATGCTGGGAGTCGCAGTGCCAGAGGCTGTCTGGCGGAGAAGGGAACCCCGGGAGGGAGGGGGGGAGGCCTAGGCCTGGCCTGGCGGGACGGGCGCTGGGAGGGAGGCCGGCTCCGTCTGGTTCTTGCCGGGGAAATGCCGAGGAGAGGCGGAGGCCTCCCTCCCTAGGAGGGCGGGCGGGCCTGGGACTCCCCTCCGGGGAAGGGACGAAGCCGTGAGCCGCCTCTCCTCCCCCCCTTCGCCCCTGTAGGAGGACGGGCGAGCCCGGCGGAGGAAGTGCTGGAAGTAAAGTCTTCCTCCTGGTTCATCCAAGCCGGGAATAAATAAGCAACATGGCGACTCCTCTGGGAAGAAGGTTACAGTTTATGGAAGAAGGAGAAAGATGGTTCTTGCAGGAAGGACCAGAGGGGAGAGAGAGGCTGAGCAGGAGGGCAATAGCTTTGTATGCCCTCTCTAGCCTTTGGATTGGCATAGTTTCCTGTTCCTGTGGCATGACCTTTGAACTGAGTCTGAGGGCTTTTCTAGGCCTTAGTATCTGTGGCTTAGTCCTGTTAGGTCCCAAAAGCCTTCTCCTGCTTCCCTGGGGCTGGGCTGATGACTCCTTCAGTCTCTTTGTCTTCTTCAGTTCCCTGCCTCCAACCTTCCTGATGGTTCTACCGCTGCGTTTGTATAGTGCTGGCTCTTGCTTGGGGCAGAGATTGGAGGGCAGAGAGATTTGGCTTTTGCTTTTAAAAATCCTTGAGGAAACATATATTTTTCTGGCCTTTTAATATTTCCTTTTCTGGGGGGCTCTGACTTCTCACAGAAGGAAGGAAGGAGGCGCCGCCCGAGAGGAGAGGAGGCCCCGCGGAGCAGCCCCAGGTGGAGACGGCGGGGAAGGCCCGGCAGGCATGAGCCGAAGGGGACTCCGAGAAAGGAGGCCGCCTGGATGGAGAAGCGGGGAGCAGGAAACGGGTGGAGACCCCGAGACCGGCCTGGAGGGCAGAGGCTCCTTCACGAGAGGCGGAAGACTCGGGAATCCCCAGAGAATCCAAGTGGAAGGAGAGAAATATCAGTGCCCGGAATGTGGAAAATTCTTCAAAAGAAAAGGAGGTCTTGAAATGCATCTAATAATCCACACAGGAGAAAAGCCACATAAATGCCTGGAGTGTGGAAAGCACTTCAATCTGAGGGGAAACCTTTATAAACACCAAAGGATCCACACTGGAGAGAAACCACATAAATGCCTGGAGTGTGGAAAGAGCTTCAGTCGGAGTAGTAGCCTTTATACACATCAAAGAATCCACACACAAGAAAAACCTTATAAATGTATGGAGTTTGGAAAGCGCTTCAATCTGAGGGGACACCTTTATAGAAATCAAAGAATCCACACAGGAGAAAAACCGTATAAATGCCTGGAGTGTGGAAAGAGCTTCAGTCTGAGGGGAAGCCTTTATAGACATCAGAGGATCCACTCAGGAGAAAAACCTTATGAATGCATGGAGTGTGGAAAGAGCTTCAGGGTGAGTGGAAGCCTTTATGCACATCAAAGGATCCACTCAGGAGAAAAACCGCATAAATGCCTGGAGTGTGGAAAGAGCTTCAATCTGAAGAGCACCCTTAATAAACATCAAAAGATCCACTCAGGAGAAAAACCACATAAATGTCTGGAGTGTGGAAAGAGCTTCAGTCAGAGGAGCAACCTTTATGCACATCAAGGGATCCACTCAGGAGAAAAACCGCATAAATGCCTGGAGTGTGGAAAGAGCTTCAATCTAATGGGAAACCTTTATAGACATCTAAGGATCCACACAGGAGAAAAACCACATAAATGCCTGGAGTGTGGAAAGAATTTCAATCGAAGGAACAATCTTTATGTACATCAAAGGATCCACACAGGAGAAAAACCGCATAAATGTCTGGAGTGTGGAAAGAGCTTCAGTCAGAGGAGCAATCTTCATGCACATCAAAGGATCCACTCAGGAGAAAAACCGCATAAATGCCTGGCATGTGGAAAGAGCTTCAGTCACAAGAGCAACCTTTATGCACATCAAAGAATCCATACAAGAGGAGAAACCCTATAAATGCCAATTTAGCTTGGAACCATTGCAGTTACCTTTTTAAAAAAAATAACGGCTGTTAGCCAGCTCAAGCATCTTCAGCTAGCAAAAGCAAAAACCGGAGCTGGCTCGGCACTTGTTTGGCCATGCGGCCATGGACAAAAAAAAACCCCAAACCCTGCCAACTTCCTATAGCCCCAAACAGCCAAGGAAAGAGATAAAAATGGCCCCCATGGCATTAGTGATTGAAACCAACTCACATGGCTAGACAGACCTTTTTGGTCACAATTCTGAATTTCTAATGTAAGTACCCTTCCTGAATTAATTTAATTAATTCATTTTTGTGAAAAGTGGCTAAATAACTCTCGTACGTAGTGGATTACCTGTAAATGCCTCCAGTGTGGAAAGAGCTTTACTGAAAGTCAAGGTCTCCATAAACATGAAAGCATTCACAGTGGAGAAAAACCATATAAATGTTGGGAGTGTGGAAGTAGCTGTAGTTAGAGGGGAAACCTTTTCGGACATCAAAGACCCCATTGAGGAGAGAAACCATATAAAGAGTGGAAAGGGTTTCTGTGGGAAGGGAAGTCTTTAAGAGCATCAATCCAATTGGGAGAAAAACAATGCAAATATCTTGAGTGTGCAAAGACCTTTGTTGTTTGTGGACACCTCTATCGACATCAAAGAATTCACATGGGGGAAAAAAACGCTAAATATGCCTTCAGTCGCAACGGTGCCACTGAAATAACAATAGCATTTAGGCTTATATGCCGCCCCATAGTGCTTTACAGCGCACTCGGGGAGATTTCCAAGGTAAACATTATTTGCATATTGTCGCCAACAATCTGGGCCCGCCTTTTACCATCCTCAGAAGGATGGATGACAGTCAAGGCTTGAGCGCTCTCAGAATCAAACGCCAGGCTGTGGACAGTCTGCCTGCAATACTGCACTAAGAAGCTACTTGAATGTTTATCGCAGACCTACGTAAGTCAGGTGTCAACTGTTACCCTTTATTGCCATCTCAACCTTTGTGTGTCAACATGAGTATATATTGTATTCTCAGCCTAAACATTCAGGAGAAAGTAAACTTATGGACAGCACCATTTTATTATTCATTTTATTGCTATACTCTTTAATGATTGTGCTATTCTGTGATGCCAAATAGTGGAATTTGAATAATTTTACACACTTTTTCAAGGGCTATCTAATGTTACTCATTAGCTGCACACCCAGGAATTTGATGCTGGTAACCATCTCCATAGGTGAATCATTAATGCACAGAGAAGTGTGTCTGTGCCTGCCTGTTCTCAAATCGACAATGATTTCTATGATTTTTCCGGTATTTAAAACTAGACTGTTTTCCTTACGCCAGATCACCAACCATTCAACCTCCTTGCGGTAAGCTCCCTCATTATCATCATGAATAAGGCCTGCTGCTGTTGTATCATCTGCGAACTTCACAATATGGTTGGTGGGAAACCTGGCACAACAGTCATGGGTCAACAAGGTGAACAGCGGACGTGGGATACAGCCCTGAGGAGAACTTGTGCTCAAGAAAATAGTATTAGGGGTATTTGTTCCAACTTTCACATATTGCAGCCTTTGGTAAGAAAATCAAGAATCCAGTTACATAAAGATTGTTTAAGCCCAAAAGGCCCAATTTGTCTACTAGATGCTGGGGGATGATTGTGTTAAATGCCGAAGTGAAATTGTGTGGTTGAAATTGTACTTTTTTGTAACAGCCTCATTTGACTTGTGATACTTTTTTCCATATAAGCGTTCTCCTTCTAATGCAATACACATTTCAATGGTTATGCTTAATATTATGGGATGTTACTTTCCATGTCTCTGTTGTAACTGAACAGGGTGATTTGTTCCATCCAAAGTCTTGTTTTGTATTTTTTTTACTATAAGGCATATAAAATGAAACTCGATTCTATGTCCTGGATTCCCCCTTTTCATTAAGGGAAATCTATTTGCTATAATAGACTAATAAATTGCCTTTAAATGCTCATCCCACCTTGTTGTCTAATTTGAGCAAGTGTGATGTGGCTGAATCTAAGCTAATTGAGCCTTTTTCTTGTGGCTCCATCTCATTTTTGATATAATCTATATAGGTTTTCCAAATGTCAGCACCATGTAAGGCCATCCCCAGATGTATGAAACTCTTGTAAATTGGATGTTGTAGAAAAAGTGACATCCCTTTCTAATGTATTCTCCACATTCATCAAGATTTCTCTGAAATGGAATCAAATGTAGGCTTAAAATCTACAAAGGCTACAAGCAGTGATTTTGTCCATACCATTTTGTTTTATTTAGAAGAACGTTAGTCATAAATCAAAATTTACACCCAATACATTATGCAACAATAAACTGTTTGTGCCATTTAATTGCATCAATTTCAGGTGATTTCACAGTAAATTGAAATTATTTGGTAAAAAGATACCCTTAAATACTTTTTGCTGCAGTGATCCTTCATCTTGTCCTTCTCTGCCTCTCCTGCACAGAATTTGAGGGGCCGAAACAGGGCACAGTATTTACGATGAACCAGCCGGAACAATTCTCGGTCTGTATTTCATGGAGTTCTGGGAGCAGAAATCCAGAAGTCATAAAAGGGCCATCGTTCCCCGCCTCTGGCCTAGAACAACCTAAAGGAGGATTCATCGGGACCCGAAGCTCTGTTCACACGACCTGCTTCCCCACTCCTGACTGGCCATACCCAGTCTCCTGGCATTGTTCAATGGGCTTTTTGGAGGCCAACTTAACCGGGCAGAAGACGAGCCAAAGTGAGCAGGCTGTGCAAATGTGAGGGCTTTCTTTGCCATTGAGGCTTATTGCAGAGACTCGCCCAGACAGTGAGCGGGGGACTCTTAGTCTGATCCTGGACATTGTTGGCTGACCTGGAAAGTGAAGTTTGTTTAGTGTTAGTTGGGACTTGGATGGGGGATCACCAGGAAATGCAAAAGATGCTATGTAGCACTGGAAAATTAAAAAAAATAAAAAAAACCAGCTCAGTCTGTATCGCTGTTCAGAAAATGCCTCTATGGTGCTTGTGAAGACACAGGCTGTTGGGTTTCATTTGAGGATGGTTCATCTGCTTAATTGACTAATGGCTGCTCTGGGAAAAGCTTAATTGAGGTCCAGCCTCTTTAGCACCTGGAGCAGGGCAGGGACTGGAATTGGAAAGGCAGCAATGGCCCATTGCTTACATGTTGCCCCAAAGAGAGCTGCAGACCCCTCCCCTCTTTAACAGAATCATTCAGAGATTTCTGTGCCTCACCCAACAAATCCCATACCTGTTTGAGGAGTGGGCTTTGCTCCTGGGCAGAGGGGTCAGGCAGATGGTTGAGCCCCGGGGAGCTTTGTTGTGCAATGCAGTAAATGTTTTGTCCAGGTATACACATTCTTTCCCCCTTTTATTCTCTTTTGTAAACCACTCAGTAATTGGGAGTTGGGCTGCTTGCCAAATAAAAGAAGTCATTCCTAAATAAACAGGCACCTCCCCCCAATTCCCTGCCCTTGGATATCCCAGAGAATCAATTTGAAACATCCCTGATGGAACTTGGTTTTTATCTCAAGTATGCAGGACACAATCTGCCAAAAGTATTTCCAAGGTGGCTTAGCATCATAGAGCCGTGATAGTGAATTGCTCGGGATGCAACAACCATCATGTGATTGCTGATTAAGTTGGGCTGGTTCTTGACTTGAAGGGGAAAAGGTGAGCATGACGTCTTTTGCGCCCCCCCCCCCCCTCCTTTCTCTTCTTCTTGGTTTGATGCTTCAGCTGCTGAAGCTGGAATGAGGTCCTGGGAACAGTTCAGAGCTGATATTGGTTGTTAGAGAAGGCAAATTCAAATTCAGAATAGAGCTGGAAGGGACCTTGAAGGTCTCCTAGTCCAGCTCCCTACTCAAGCAGGAGCCCTAATATACCAGGCATGTCAAAGTGACAGCCCACGGGCTGGATGCCTCACGCCGAAACCACTCCCACCCCATTGCCAGCAGTGGGAAAAAAGTCACAACATGTCAAACGAGGTCACAAAGTGGACACCTGTGCTTTAGCCAAACCCAAATCTTGCAACCTTTCTTTATATGTTTTACTCTCCAGGCCTTTAAGTCTCCAGGCCTTTAAGTATCTTAGTTGCTCTTCCTTGCACTTTTTCCAAAGTCTGAGCAGGTGGGTGATTAAAGATGCCCATTGAAATATATATAAATATCACTGCATATCCTCCTTTCTCTCTCCCCCCCACATGCGCAAAGAGCTTCCGGTGTGAATGCAGAGCGAGTGAAGGGAGGGGCAGAAGCTCTGAACAGCCAAACCCAAAGAAAGGCAGGATCGTCCATGAGATGACAGAGTGGAATGGACCTTGTATAGTTATTATTATTATTATAAAATATAATAATAATAATAATAATAATAATGTAGTAGTAGTAGTAGTAGTAATGGAAGGGACCTTGGAGGTCATCTAGTCCATGCACCTGCTCAGGCAGGAGGCCCTATACCTGTCTGTCCAGTCTCTTCTTTGAAACCTCCGATGTTGGACCACCCACAGCTTCTGGAGGCGGGTAGTTCCACCGGTTAACAGTTCTCCCTGTCCTCCTTCCTTCCCCTGCCAGTTTCCCTCCGTCGCTGCTCCTCCCGCCTTCAGGGGGGGCTTCGGGGAAGGGGGGGCCCCCTCCTCTTCGGGGCGCCCCCCAGATATGGGAAATCTGCTGTCACCTCCCCCCCCCGCCCTTCTCCTCATCTGCTCCGACCCTCCCCCGCCCGGGAGAGGGGCCGCCAGGGGGCCGCGGGGGGAAGAAGGGAGGAAGCGCCACCCCAGATCCCCCCGCCCTGCCTAGGGAGAGACCCCAGTATGGGGAGGGGGAGGGGGGCCCTCAGCTCCACTACCTCAATGCGGAAGGGGGGGGGGGAAGAAGACTTCAAAGGGAGCCCCTCGCCCCACCCCCTTGCCAAAGAGAAGTTTCGCTACTGCGCAGGCGCCATATGCCTGATGGACGGAAGGAAGCAGGACGCCGATTGGTCGCTCTGGGGAGTGCAACGATTGGCCGGCGGACTTCTCGGGGCGGTCCATTCAAAGGAAAGAGGAAGAGCAACCAGGAAGAGGCATCGCAGCGAAGTCCCGCCTCCACTTCCGGAAACAAATAGAACCGAAGCGCCCTAATTGAGTCATTCACGGGCGGGCTCGGAGCCAGGTAGGGCGCAAGGGATGCTGGGAGTCGCAGTGCCAGAGGCTCTCTGGCGGAGAAGGGAACCCCGGGAGGGAGGGGGGAGGCCGAGGCCTGGCCTGGCGGGACGGGCGTTGGGAGGGAGGCCGGCTCCGTCTGGTTCTTGCCGTGGAAATGCCGAGGCTCCGGCCTTCCTCCCCGGTCGGGCCTGGGACTCCCCTCCGGGGAAGGGACGAAGCCGTGAGCCGCCTCTCCTCCCCCCCTTCGCCCCTGCAGGAGGACGGGCGAGCCCGGCGGAGGAAGTGTGGGAAGTAAAGTCTTCCTCCTGGTTCATCCAAGCCGGGAATAAATAAGCAACATGGCGACTGCTCTAGGAAGAAGGTTACAGTTTAGGGAAGAAGCAGAAAGATGGTTCTTGCAGGAAGGAGCAGAGGGGAGAGAGAGGCTGAGCACGTGGGCAATAGCTTTGTATGTCCTCTCTAGCCTTTGGATTGGCATAGTTTCCTGTTCCTGTGGCATGACCTTTGAACTGAGTCTGAGGGCTTTTCTAGGCCTTAGTATCTGTGGCTTAGTCCTGTTAGGTCCCAAAAGCCATCTCCTGCTTCCCTAATGACTCCTGGAGTCTCCTTGTCTTCTTCAATTCCCTGGCTCCAACCTTCCTGATGGTTCTACTTCTGCATTTGTATAGGGCTGGCTCTTGCTTGGGGCAGAGATTGGAGGGCAGAGAGATTTGGCTTTTGCTTTTAAAAATCCTGGAGGAAAAATATATTTTTCTGCCCTTTTAATATTTCCTTTTCTGGGGGGCTCTGACTTTGCACAGAAGGAAGGAAGGACGCACCGCCCTAGAGGAGAGGAGGCCCCGCGGACCAGCCCTGGGAGGAGACGGCCTTCAAGGGATGAGCCAAAGGGGACCCCGCGAAAGGAAGCTGCCTGGAGGGAGAAGCGCGGAGCAGGAAACCGGCAGAGATCCCGACAGGAGCCTGGAGGTCGGAGGGCCCTTCAGGAGACCTGAGAATCCCCAAAGGTTCCAGGAGGGAGGAGAGAAATATGAATGTACAGAATGTGGAAAATCTTTCAAAACAAATACAGTTCTTGTAAACCATCTAAGAATCCACACAGGAGAGAAACCATTTAAATGCCTGGAGTGTGGAAAGAGCTTCAGTCAGAGGGGACACCTTTATAACCATCAAAGAATCCACTCAGGAGAAAAACCTCATAAATGCCTGGAATGTGGAAAGAGCTTCAGTCAGAGGGGACACCTTTATACACATCAAAGAATCCACTCAGGAGAGAAACCGCATAAATGTCTGGAGTGTGGAAAGAGCTTCAGTCTGAGGGGAAACCTTTATACACATCAAAGGATCCACTCAGGAGAGAAACCGCATAAATGCATGGAGTGTGGAAGGAACTTCAGTCACAGGGGAAGCCTTTATAAACATCAAAGGATCCACACAGGAGAGAAACCTTATAAATGTCTGGAGTGTGGAAAGATCTTCAGTCAGAGGGGCAGCCTTCACATACATCAAAGAATCCATTCAGGAGAGAAACCTTATAAATGCCTGGAGTGTGCAAAGAGCTTTAGTGCGCGCAGAAGCCTTTATAAACATCAAAGGATCCACACCGGAGAAAAACCTTATAAATGCCTGGAGTGTGGAAAGAGCTTCAGTCAGAGGGGACAGCTTTATACACATCAAAGGATCCACTCAGGAGAAAAACTACATAAATGTCTGGTCTGTGGAAACAGCTTTAATGGGAGGGGAACCCTTTATACACATCAAAGGATCCACACAGGAGAAAAACCTTATAAATGTCTGGAGTGCGGAAAGAGCTTCAGTCAGAGGAGCAGCCTTAACGTACATCAAAGAATCCATTCAGGAGAGAAACCTTATAATTGTATGGAGTGTGGAAAGAGCTTCCGTGAGAGGAGCAGCCTTAATGTACATCAAAGAATCCATACAGGAGAGAAACCGTATCAATGCCTGGAGTGTGGAAAGAGGTTCAGTCATCATGGAAACCTTTATACACATCAAAGGATCCACTTAGGAGAAAAACCACATAAATGCCTGGAGTGTGGAAAGAGCTTCAATGGGAAGGGAAACCTCCATAAACATCAAAAGATCCACACAGGAGAAAAACCTTATAAATGTCTGGAGTGTGGAAAGAGCTTCATTCAGAGGAGCAGCCTTAACATACATCAAAGAATCCATTCAGGAGAGAAACCGTATCAATGCGTGGAGTGTGGAAAGTGGTTCAGTTTTCAAGGAAACCTTTATGCACATCAAAGAATCCACTTGAGAGAAACAGTATAAATGCCTGGAGTTTGGAAAAAGCTTCAGTGGGGAGACCTTTATATACATGAAACAATTCACCCTGGGGAAAAAAACCATATAAATGCCTGGAGTGTGGAAAGAGCTTCAGTCAGAGTGAAGACATCAAAGAATCCACATAAGCAGAGAAACCCTATAAGTGCCAATTTAGCTTGGAACCGTTGCAGTTACCTTTTTAAAAAAAGAATGGCTGCTAGCCAGCTCAAGCATCTTCAGCTAGCAAAAGAAAAACCGGAGCTGGCTTGGCACTTCTTTGGCCATGTGGCCATGGACAAAAAAAACCCCAAACCCTGCCAGATTCTTGTAGCCCCGAACAGCCAAGAAAAGTCGGAGAGATAAAAATGGCCGCCACGGCAGTTGAGACTGAAACCAAGTCACATGGCTAGACAGACCTTTTGGGTGGCAATTCTGAGTTTCTAATGTAAGTACCCTTCCTGAATTAATTTAATTAATTTGTTTTTGTGAAAAGTGTCTGGAGTGTGGAAGGAGCTGTAGTCAGAGGGGAAAGCTTTACAGACATCAAAGACTCCATGCAGGAGAGAAATATATAAATGCCTGGAGCATGGAAAGGGTTTCTGTGGGAAGGGAAGTCTTTATCAGCATCAATGCACTTGGGAGAAAAACAATCCAAATACCTTGAGTGTGGAAAAATGTTTATTGTTTATGGACACCTCTATCGACATCAAAGAAGTCACATGGGGAAAAAAAACACTAAATATGCCTGAGTGGAGAAACCTTCAGTCACAATGGTGCCACTGAAATAACAATAGTATTTAGGTTTATATGCCGCCCTATATGCTTTAAAGCACACTCTGGGAGATTTCCAAGGTAAACATTATTTGCATATTGTCGCCAACAATCTGGGCCCGCCTTTTACCATCCTCACAAGGATGGATGACAGTCAAGGCTTGAGCGCTCTCAGAATCAAATGCCAGGGTGTGGACACTCTGCCTACAATACTGCACTAAGAAGCTACTTGAATGTTTATCACAGACCTAAGTAAGTCAGGTGTGAACTGTTACCCTTCATTGCCATCTCAACTTTTTTGTGTCAACATGAGTTTATATTGTATTCTCAGCCCAAAATGTCAGGAGTAAGTAAACTTATGGACAGCACAATTTTATTATTCACTTTATTGCTACACTCAGTTTAATTATTGTGCTATTCTATGAGGCCTAATAGTAGAATTTGAATAATTTTACACACTTTTTCAAGGGCGATGTAATTTTACTCATTAGCTGCACACCCAGGAATTTGATGCTGGTAACCATCTCCACAGGTGAATCATTAATGCACAGTGAAGTGTGGCTTTGACTGCCTTTTCTGAAATTGACAATGATTTCTATGGTTTTTCCGGTATTTAAAACTAGGCTGTTTTCCTTACACCAGATCACCAACCCTTCAACCTCCTTGTGGTAAGCTCCCTCATTGTCATCATGAATACTATTGTTGTATCATCTGCGAACTTCACAATATGGTTGGTGGCAAACCTAGCACAACAGTCATGGGTCAACAGGGTGAACAGCAGCGGAGAAACTTTGCTCAAGAAAATAGTATTATGGGTATTTGTTCCAACTTGCACATATTGCAGCCTTTGGTAAGAAAATCAAGAATGCAGTTACACAAAGAGTGTTTAAGCCCAAAAGGCCCAATTTGTCTACTAGATGCTGGGGGATGATTGTGTTAAATGCCGAACTGAAATTGTGTGGTTGAAATTGTACTTTTTTGTTAACAGCCTCATTTGATTCGTGACACTTTTTCCCATTATCAGCGTTCTCGTTTTAATGCAATGGACACTTCAATGGTTATGTTTAATATTATGGGATGTTACTGTCCATGTCTCTGGCTTAACTGAGTAGGATGATTGCTTACATCCAATCAAGTCTTGCTTTGCACTTTTTCTACTGTATGGCGTATAAAATGAAACCCGATTCTGTGTCCTGGATTCCCCCTTTTCATTAAGGGAAATCTCTTTGCTATAATAGACTAATAAATTGCCTTTAAATGATCATCCCACTTGGTGCTTAATTTGAGCACGTGTGATGTGGCTGAATCTAATTTGGCCTTTTGTGGCTGTGAAAGAGCTCCATCTCATTTTTGATATAACCTATATAGGTTTTCCAAACGTCAGCACCATGTAAGGCCATTCCCAGATATATGAAGTAAGGAAGGCTGGACTAGGACAGGCAAAGCCCTGGAAATCCAGTCCTTTTCAACATTGCAACACTTGGCCCGTGTGAATGTGGGTGTTAGATCCCACGGAGGGAGTTGTGTTGTGTGAACGGAAACAAGAGGTTGCTGAACTATAAACTCCAAACTTTCTTGCCAATCAGCCTCTGCAGTGCCTTTGCCAGCCTACCTGGGCAGGTTGTTGTGCACTCTAGGGCCAGACAGTTCCCCGCCTCTTTGGGCGGAAGAGCTGCCCTCCAAAGGATACCTGGGGTAGAGCATCTGTGGGCTGCAGGGCTCCCGAGGACTGGCAGGTGGAGTCAAAACCCGCCCTTTATTGCCTCCTGGTGACTGGTGGCGGGGTTGCTGCTCGGCTCTACTTCATCTGGAGGGCCGGGAAAGGCCGTGGCACCTCCCGCAGTCAAGAGGGCACTGGGGGTCCTCAGAGCGGCTCTTGTGGGCATTTCCTCAGCATGTGCAAAGAACACACGGGTCGTGGGGGCCAGAGCTGGAGGGATACCCAGGAGGTCAGTGGTGCGGCCTTCACCGGCTGCAACGGAAGAAACCTACAAGTGGAAATACTGTGGGGGGCACCATGTGTTTGCCAGACAGAAGCGGAAGTGAGGGAGGCTCACAGTGCCATCTTTGTAGGATGCGGAACAGAGCCAGCCTGCAGGATTTCAGCTGGAAAAGGGAAGCAACAAACAGGGCGATCGCTGATGGTCCTTTTATGATTTGTGGTTCATGCGGGGCTCTGGAATTCTGGGAGTTGAAGTCCACAAGTCATAAAACCTAAAGGGGGACCCAGCGTGACCCGAGGCCGTGTTCACACGACCTGCTTCCCCACTCCTGGCTTTCCATATCCAGACCCCTGGTATTGTTCAGTGGGCCCTTTGGAGGCAACTTAACCGGGGAGAAGACTAGCCAAACTGAGCAGCCTGTGCAAATGTGAGGGCTTCCCTTGCCATTGAGGCTTATTGCAGGGAGTCAGTTTGGCCCTGGACATTGTTATCATTCCTGACAGCTTGACTGCCTCTATTCCCCAGTCCCAGCACTTGGGGATGGGATTCCTAAGCGGGCAGAGGGGCTGCAACAGATCCCAGGAACCGACTCAGATCTCTCTCTCTGCCCGGAGGAACGCAGTGCTAGGAACACCTAAGATCCTGCGCAGAAACTTCAGTCTCTCCGGCCTGCGATGGAAGAGTCAAGATTGAGGAAGAGACACACATCCCAACCTCTGGACGTGGATGGATTCTTCTCTCAAAGAAGCCCCCAAAGGGGGAGCAGCATTAGATGTTATACTCTTGTGGAAAAATAAAGCCTTAAAAAAATAAGGACTTTTAAGGATTCCAAAGGTGAAAGAGGTTTTTATTTTTTTGCGCAAAAGGTTCAGAAGTGATTTTAACAATCAGCAAATTTCTGAACAAGGGGGAGGGTCTAAACCAAAGCTTTTATAGGTTTCTTTTTCTCAGGAACAAAGGAAGCATCAATGGAATCTTACATTGTATATGCAATCTACTTTGTGTAACATTCAGATAGTTTCTCACACGTTAGCTCCATTTCTCATGGGAATACAATGAAGGCAGTTTTTTACTTTTATACAATATTCCTAAATATGCATTAGATCATTCACGTACTGTTAATACAGCTTTTTGCTAACACAGCTTTCTTTTCAGAGATTATGCAGACACATGATTTTTGCTTTTAGTGATTTTTCATTATTATACTTTATTCTTCTTTATTCTATGTTATTCTATTTATTTCCCACATTAATACAGCACCCCAAATCTACCCCAGGCCAAAGCACCCTGAGAGGCTGGGAAAGGTGGCCCTTAAGGCCAGTTCAGTGCACTGTTTCCTCTCGTTCATGCTCCCCAGTTTCCTCCTCCGTCTTTGGCAGGGCAGAACAGGAGGGAAAAACCCCCAAGGAAAACATGTGGGAAAAGCATGAGATGAATACAAATGTTTAAAGTCAAAGAATACATTGCTGATTAAGTTGGACTGCTTCTTGATTTGGAGGGGAAAAGGTGAGTCACAGAGGAGGAAGGGATAGTGTAGGTCAGTGTTTCCCAAACTTGACAATTTTAAGGCATGTGGACTTCAACTCCCAGAATTCCACAGCCAGCAATGCTGGCTGTGGAATTCTGGGAGTTGAAGTCCACATGCCTTAAAATTGTCAAGTTTGGGAAACACTGGTGTAGGTGGTAATAATACTAATAGTAATAGTTGGAAGGGGCCTTGGAGGTCATCTAGTCCATCCACGTGCTCAGACAAACGGCTGTCCCGTCTCTTCTTTAAAGCCTCCAGTGTTGGAGCTTTGACAGCTTCTGGAGGCGGGTAGTTCCACCGGTTAACAGTTCTCCCTGTCAGGAGATTCCTCCTTCCTTCCCCGGCCAGTCTCCCTCCGTCGCTGCTCCTCCCTTCAGGGGGGGGCTTCGGGGAAAAGGGGGGGGCTCTTCTTCGGGGCGCCCCCCAGATAAGGGAAGGCTGCTCTCACCTCCCCCCCCCGCCCTTCTCACCTGCTCTGCCACCCCCCGCCCGGGAGAGGGGCTGCCTGGGGGCCGCGGGGGGGAGTCTGGCCGGAGCCCCCCAGCAGAAAGCTCCCCCCCCGCCCTGCCTAGGGAGAGACCCCCAGTTTGGGGAGGGGGTCCCTCAGCTCCGCCGGCCTGGATGCGGGGGGGGGGCGAAGGAGGGTGAAGACTTCCAGGGGAGCCCCTCGCCCCACCCCCTTGCCGAGAACGAACGTTCACTACTGCGCAGGCGCCAAGTGGCTGATGGTTGGAAGGAAGCGGACGCCGATTGGTCGCTCTGGGGAGGGCAGCGATTGGCAGGAAGACTCCTCGGGGCGGTCCATTCCAAAAAAACAAAACAAAACAGGAAGAGCTACCTGTAACATGAAGAGACCTCGCAGCGAAGTCCCGCCTCCACTTCCGGAAACGAATGGAACGTTAAGAGCCTAATTGATTCGGCCGCGGGCTGGCTCGCAATCCAGGTAGGGCGCAAGGGATGCTGGGAGTCGCAGTCCGAGAGGCTCTGTGGCGGAGAAGGGAACCCCGGGAGGGAGGAGGGAGGCCGAGGCCTGGTCTGGCGGGACGGGCGCTGGGAGGGAGGCCTGCCCGGAAAGTCTCACGGAGAGACGGAGGCTTCGGCCTTCCTCCCCGGGCGGGCCTGGGACTCCCCTCCGGGGAAGGGACGAAGCCGTGACCCGCGTCTCCACCCCCCCCCCTTCGCCCCTACAGGAGGACGGGCGAGCCCGGCGGAGGAAGGAAGGAAGGAGGCGCCGCCCGAGAGGAGAGGAGGCCCCGCGGAGCAGCCCCGGGAGGAGACGGCGGGGAAGGCCCGGCAGGGATGAGCCGAGGGGGACTCCGGGAAAGGAGGCCGCCCGGAGGGAGAAGCGGGGAGCAGGAAACGGGCGGAGACGCCGAGACGGTCCTGGAGGGCGGAGGGTCCTTCAGAAGAGGCGGAAGACCCGGGAATCCCCAGAGAATCCAGGAGGGAGGAGAGAAACATAAATGCCCGGAATGTGGAAAATCATTAAAAACAAAACGAAGTCTGGTAAACCATCTAAGAATCCACACAGGAGAGAAACCATTTAAATGCCTGGAGTGTGGAAAGAGCTTCACTCACAGGAGCACCCTTCATACACATCAAAAAATCCACTCCGGAGAAAAACCACATAAATGCTTAGAGTGTGGAAAGAGCTTTAATCAGAAGGGACATCTTTATACACATCAAAGGATCCACTCAGGAGAGAAACCACATAAATGCCTGGAGTGTGGAAAGAGCTTCAGTCAGAGGCGAAGCATTTATACACATCAAAAGATCCACTTAAGAGACAAACCAAATAAATGCCTGGAATGTGGAAAGAGCTTCAAAAGGAGCGGAAACCTTTATACACATAAAAGAATCCACTCAAGAGAGACACGACATAAATGTCTGGAGTGTGGAAAGAGCTTCAATCGGAGGGGATACCTTTATACACATGAAAAAATCCACTCAGGAGAGAAACCTTTTAAATGCCTGGAGTGTGGAAAGAGCTTCAATCTGAGGGGAAACCTTTATACACATCAAAGAATCCACTCAGGAGAGAAACCTTTTAAATGCCTGGAGTGTGGAAAGAGCTTCAGTCTGGGGGGAAACTTTTATAGACATCAAAGGATCCACACAGGAGAAAAACCTTATAAATGCCTGGAGTGTGGAAAGAGCTTCCGTCATAGGAGCACCCTTAAAATACATCAAAGAATCCATTCAGGGGAGAAACCGTATGAATGCCTGGAGTGTGGAAAGAGGTTCAATTGTCAAGGAAACCTTTATGCACATAAAAGAATCCACTCAAGAGAAAAACAGTATAAATGCCTGGAATGTGGAAAGCGTTTCAGTCAGCGGGGAGACCTTTATTTACATGAAAGAATTCACCTTGGAAAAAAAACACATAAATGCCTGGAGTGTGGAAAGAGCTTCAGTCAGAGGGGAAACCTTTATAAACATCAAAGAATCCACACAGGAGAAAAACCGCATAAATGCCTGGAGTGTGGAAAGAGCTTCAGTCAAGGGGGACACCTTTATAGACATCAAAGAATCCACAGAAGCGGAGAAACCCTATAAATGCCAATTTAGCTTGGAACCATTGCAGTTACCTTTTTTAAAAAAATAACGGCTGCTAGCCAGCTCAAGCATCTTCAGCTATCAAAAGCAAAAAACGGAGCTGGCTCCGCACTTGTTTGGCCATATGTTCATGGACAAAAAAAAACCCAAACAAACCCTAACCGTGCCAACTTCTTGTAGCCCCAAGCAGCCAAGGAAAGTCGGAGAGATAAAAATGGCCACCATGGCATTAATGTCTGAAACCAAGTCACATGGCTAGACAGACCTTTTTGGTCGCAATTCTGAATTTCTAATGTAGGTACCCTTCCTGAATTAATTTAATCAGTTTTGTGAAAAGTGGCTCAATGAACTCTTGTACTTAGGGGATTACCTGTAAAGGCCTCCAGTGTGGAAAGAGCTTTACTGAAAGTCAAGGTCTCCGTAAACATCAAAGCATTCGCAGAGGAGAAAAAGCATGTAAATGTCTGGAGTGTGGATGTAGCTGTAGTCAGAGGGGAAACCTTTACAGACATCAAAGACTCCATTCAGGAGAGAAACCATAGAAATGCCTGGAGCGTGGAAAGGATTTCTGTGGGAAGGGAAGTCTTTAAGAGCATTAATCCACTCAGGAGAAAAACATTCAGGAGTAAGTAAACTTATTCACAGCTTCATTTTATTATTTCCTTTATTGGTAAAGTCAGTTTAATGATTGTGCTATTCTGTGATGCCAAATGTTGGAATTTGAATAATTTTACACACTTTTTCAAGGGGTGTACGCATTGGGGTGATCTAGGATGTGGACTCTTTCACTTAATCAGTTTTAATTAACATGACTGAAATGCGCCGATTCCACTACTGTCGTTAAGTCGAGCATTACCTGAATTAGAACTGAGCTTCGCCTAGTGCCTAGATCCCTGACGAGCAAGTGGACAGAAAGGATAGAAGATGTGCTTTTCTCATGCGACGCAGAAAATGCAGGCGCTGCTGTGCCCGCTTCACCAGTGTGCTGTAGCTGCGCACCCAGGAATTTGATGCCGGTAACCATCTCCACAGGTGAATCATTAATGCACAGAGAATTGTGGCTGTGCCTGCCTTTTCTGAAATCGACAATGATTTCTAAGGTTCTTCTAGTATTTAAAACTAGGCTGTTTTCTTTACGCCAGATCACCAACCCTTCAACCTCCTTATGGTAAGCGCCCTTGTCATCACGAATAAGCAACGCTACTGTTGTATCATCTGCAAACCTCACAATAGGGTTGGTGGTAAACCTAGCACAACAGTCATTGGTCAACAGGGCGAACTGCAGCAGACCTGGGACGCAACCCTGAGAAGAACTTGTGCTCAAGAAAATGGTATTAGATGTATTTGTTCCAGCTTGCACATATTGCAGCCTGTTGGTAAGAAAATCAAGAATCCAGTGACTCGATGAGTGTTTAATCCCAAAAGGCCCAGTTTGTCTACTAGATGCTGGGGAATGATTGTGTTAAATGCCAAACTGAAACTCTTGTGGTTGAAATTGTCCCTTTTTGTAACAGCCTCATTTGACTCGTGATACTTTTTCCCATATCAGCGTTCTCCTTTTAATACATTGCACATTTCAATGGTTATGCTTAATATTATGGGTTGTTCCTTTCCATGTCTCTGGCGTAACTGAGCAGGGTGATTTCTTCCATCCAATCAAGTCTTGTTTTGTACTTTTTCTGGTATAAGGCGTATAAAATGAAACCCGATTCTGTGTCCTGGATTCCCCCGTTTCATTCAGAAAAATCTCTTTGCTTTAATTGACTAATAAATTGCCTTTAAATGATCATCCCACTTGGTGCCTAATTGGAGCAAGTGCTAATTGAGCCTAGGCTAATTCAGCCTTTTTTTGTGGCTGTGAAAGAGCTCTATCTCATTTTTGGCCATCCCCAGATGTATGAAACTCTTGTAAATTGGATGCAGTAGAAAAAGTGACATCCCTTTCTGATGCATTCTCCACATTCATCAAGATTTCTCTCAAACGGAATCAAAGGTAGGCTTAAAATCTACAAAGGCTACAAGCAGTGATTTTGTCCATACCATTTTGTTTTATTCAGAAGAACGTTAGTCATAAATCAAAATTTACACCCAATACATTATGCAACAATAAACTGTCCATGCTATTTAATTGCATCAATTTCAACTGATTTCACAGTACATTGAAATTATTTGGTAAAAAGGTACCCTTAAATACTTTTTGCTGCAGTGATCCTTCACCTTGTCCTTCTCTGCCTCTCCTGCACAGAATTTGAGAGGCCCAAACAGGGCACAGTATTTACGATGAACCGGCCGGAACAATTCTCGGTCTGTATTTCATGGAGTTCTGGGAGCAGAAATCCAGAAGTCATAAAAGGGCCATCGTTCCCCGCCTCTGGCCTAGAACAACCTAAAGGAGGATTCATCGGGACCCGAAGCTCTGTTCACACGACCTGCTTCCCCACTCCTGGGTTTGCAAATCTTTGGAGGCCAAGTTAACCCGGCAGAAGACTAGCCAAACTGAGCAGGCTGTGCAACTGTTGGCTTCCCTTGCCACTGAGGCTTATTGCAGGAACTCACCCTGACAGTGAGCAGGGGACTCTAAGTCTGACCCTGGAGATTGTTGGCTGACCTGGGAAGTAAAGTTTGTTTAGTGTTAGTTGGGGCTTGGATGATTTCTTACTTCCAATCAAGTCTTGCTTTGTACTTTTTCTACTATAAGAAGTATAAAGTGAAACCCGATTCTGTGTCCTAGATTCCCTCTTTTCATTGAGGGAACTCTCTTTGCTATAATAGACTAATAAATTGCCTTTAAATGATCGTCCCGCTTGGTGCCTAATTGGAGCAAGTGCGATGTGGCTGAATCTAGGCTAATTTGGGCTTTTTTTGTGGCTGTGAAAGAGCTCCATCTCATTTTTGATGTAATCTATATCAGTTTCCAAATGTCAGCACCACGTAAGGCCAGCCTCAGATATATGAAGTAAGGCAGGCTGGACTAGGACAGGCAAAGCCCAGGAAATCCAACCCTTCTCAACACTGCCACACTTGGCACGTGTGAATGTGGGTGTTAGATCCCCTGGAGGGAATTGTGTTGTGTGAACGGAAACAAGATGTTGCTGAACTATAAACTCCAAACTATCTTGCCCTTCAGCCTCTGCAGTGCCTTTGCTAGCCTACCTGGGCAGGTTGTTGTTCACTCTAATCTAGGGCCAGACAATGCCCCGCCTCCTTGGACAACCATTTCAGACAAATGGCTGTCCAGTCTCTTCTTTAAAGCCTCCGCTGTTGGAACATTCAAAACTTCTGGAGGCGGGTAGTTCCACCGGTTAACAGTTCTTCCTGTCTTTCCTTCCCCGGCCAGTCTCCCTCCATCGCTGCTCCCCCCGCCTTCAGGGGGGGCTTCGGGGAAGAGGGGGGCCCCCTCCTCTTCGGGGCGCCCCCCAAATATGGGAAGGCTGCTCTCACCTTCCCCCCGCCCTTCTCACCTGCTCTGACCCCCCCCGCCTGGGAGAGTGGCCGCGGGGGGGGGCTGGCTGGAGCCCCCCCGGGGGAAGAAGGCAGGAAGCGCACCCCCCGCCCTGCCTAGGGAGAGACCCCCAGTATGGGGAGGGGGGAGGGGCAGAGAGGCAGCCCCGGGAGGCCCACCAGCTCCATCGGTCTGCATGGGGGGGGCAGGGCGAAGGAGAGAGGACCGGACCCCCAAAAGTCAAAGGGAGTCCCGCACTTCAACCCCTATTCCGGAGGAAGACCAACTTCGCTCCTGCGCAGGCGCCGTCTGGCTGAAGGAAGGAAGCAGGACGCCGATTGGTCGGTCTAGGGAAGGCAGCGATTGGCAGGAGGACTCCTCGGGGCGGTCTATTCAAAGGAAAGAAGAAGAGAAACCAGGAACAAGACTTCGCAGCGAAGTCCCGCCTCCACTTCCGGGAGCCAAGAGAACCGAGGTGTCTCGGCCGCGGCCTGGCTCGCCATCCAGGTAGGGCGCAAGGGATGCTGGGAGTCGCAGTCCGAAAGGCTCTTCGGTGGTGGAGGCGGGGGGGGGGAGGAGCCCGAGGCCTAGTTTGGCGGGACGGGCGCTGGGAGGGAGGCCGGCTCCGTCTGGTTCTTGCCCGGGAAATGCCGAGGAGAGGCGGAGGCTCCGGCCTTCCCCTCCTGGAGGGTGGGCGGGCCTGGGACTCCCCTCCGGGGAAGGGACGAAGCCGTGACCCGCCTCTCCTCCCCCCCTTCGCCCCTGCAGGAGGACGGGCGAGCCCGGCGGAGGAAGGAAGGAAGGAGGCGCCGCCCGAGAGGAGAGGAGGCGCCGCGGAGCAGCCCCGGGAGGAGACGGCGGGGAAGGCCCGGAAGGGATGAGCCGAAGGGGACTCCGGGAAAGGAGGCCGCCCGGAGGGAGAAGCGGGGAGCAGGAAACGGGCGGAGACCCCGAGACGGGCCTGGAGGGCGGAGGGTCCTGCAGAAGAGGCGGAAGACCCGGGAATCTCCAAAGTTTCCAGGAGAGAGGAAAGAAATATGAATGTTCAGAATGTGGAAAATCCTTCAAAACAAATAGAGTTCTTGTAAACCATCTTAGAATCCACACAGGAGAGAGACCTTATAAATGTCTGGAGTGTGGAAAGAGCTTCAGTCAGAGGGAAAGCCTTTATAAACATCAAAGAATCCACTCCGGAGAAAAACCACATAAATGTCTGGAATGTGGAAAAAGCTTCCATCGGAGGGGACACCTTCATACACATCAAAGAATCCACACAGGAGAGAAACCTCATAAATGCCTGGAATGTGGAAGGAGCTTCAGACAGAGCGGCAATCTTTATACACATCAAAGAATCCACTCAGGAGAGAAACCGCATAAATGCCTGGAGTGTGGAAAGAGCTTCAGTCAGGGGGGACACCTTTATACACATCAAATGATCCACTCAGGAGAGAAACCACATAAATGCCTGGAGTGTGGAAAGAGCTTCAATCTGAGGGGAAACCTTTATACACATCAAAGGATCCACTCAGGAGAGAAACCGCATAAATGCATGGAGTGTGGAAGGAGCTTTAGTCAGAGGGGAAACCTTTATTCACATCAAAGGATCCACTCAGACAAACCAAATAAATGCCTGAAGTGTGGAAAGAGCTTTAATCTGAAGAGCACCCTTTATACACATCAAAGGACCCACTTGGGAGAAAAACCATATGAATGCCTGGAGTGTGGAAAGAGCTTTAATCTGAAGAGCACCCTTTATAAACATCAAAGGATCCACACGGGAGAGAAACCATATAAATGCCTGGAGTGTGGAAAGAGCTTCAGTCAGAGAAGTGGCCTTTATCTACATCAAAGGATCCACACTGGAGAGAAATTGCATAAATGCCTGGAGTGTGGAAAGAGCTTCAGTCGCAGGAGCCACCTTTATAGACATCAAAGGATCCACTCAGGAGAAAAACCACATAAGTGTCTGGAGTGTGGAAAGCACTTCAGTGTGAGGGGAAGCCTTTATGTACATCAAAGGATCCACTCAGGAGAGAAACCGCATAAATGCCTGGAGTGTGGAAAGAGCTTCATTCAGACGAGCAGCCTTTACGTACATCAAAGAATCCACTCAAGAGAGAAAGAGTATAAATGCCTGGAGTGTGGAAAGAGCTTCAGTCGGAGGGGAAACCTTTATAGACATCAAAGAATCCACACAAGCGGAGAAGCCCTATAAATGCCACTTTAGCTTGGAACCATTGTAGTTACCTTTTTAAAAAAATAACGGCTGCTAGCCAGCTCAAGCATCTTCAGCTAGCAAAAGCAAAAACCGGAGCTGGCTTGGCACTTGTTTGGCCATGTGGCCATGGACAAAAAAAAACCCCAAACCCTGGCAACTTCTTGTAGCCCCGAACAGCCAAGGAAAGTCAGAAAGATAAAAATGGCCACCACGGCATTAGTGATTGAAAGCAAGTCACATGGCTAGACCAGTGTTTCCCAAACTTGACAATTTTAAGGCATGAGGACTGGCTGTGGAATTCTGGGAGTTGAAGTCCACATGCCTTAAAATTGTCAAGTTTGGGAACACTGGGCTAGACAGACCTTTTTGGTCGCAATTCTGAATTTCTAATGTAAGTACCCTCCCTGAATTAATTAAATCGTTTTTGTGAAAAGTGGCTCAATGAACTCTCGTATCTGGGGGATTACCTGTAAATGCCTCCAGTGTGGAAAGAGCTTTACTGAAAGTCAAGGTCTCCATAAACATCAAAGCATTCAGAGAGGAGAAAAAGCATATAAATGTCGGGAATGTGGAAGTAGCTCTAGTCAGAGTGGAAACCTTTACAGACATCAAAGACTCCATTCAGGAGAGAAACCATATAAATGCCTGGAGCGTGGAAAGGGTTTCTGTGGAAAGGGAATTCTTTATCAGCATCAATCCACTCAGTGTTATAGGCCGTTGTAATTGGGCCATGTGGAGCAGCAACTTTGCCTTCAGGGTCTGGTTTGAAACAAGGCAAAGCAACTCCTTCTGCCTCGCCCTTTTTACACTCCAGAGCACAAACCTCCTTGCGGTAAGTGCCCTCATTGTCATCACGAATAAGGAACGCTACTGTTGTATCATCTGCGAACCTCACAATGTGGTTGGTGGTAAACCTAGCACAACAGTCATGGGTCAACAGGGTGAACAGCAGCGGACTTGGGATGCAGCCCTGAGGAGAACCTGTGCTCAAGAAAAACGGTATTAGGGGTATTTGTTCCATCTTGCACATATTGGAGGCTGTTGGTAAGAAAATCAACAATCCAGTTAAACAAAGAGCGTTTAAGCTTAAAAGGCCCAGTTTGTCTACTAGATGCTGGGGAATGATTGTGTTAAATGCCAGACTGAAATTCTGTGGCTGAAATTGTCCCTTTTTCCAACAGCCTCATTTGATTCATGACACTTTCCCATATCACGTTCTCCTTTTAATGCAATGCACGTTTCAATGGTTATGTTTAATATTATGGGATCTTACTGTTCATGTCTCTGGCATAACTGAGTAGGATGATTTCTTGTCTTGTTTTGTACTTTTTCTACTATATGGCTTATAAAATGAAACCCGATTCTGGGTCCTGGATTTCCCCTTTTCATTGAGGGAAATCTCTTTGGTATAATAGACTAATAAATTGCCTTTAAATTGTCATCCCACTTGGTGCCTAGTTGAAGTAAGTGAGACATGGCTGAATCTAGGGCTAATTTAGCCTCTTTTTTGTCGCTATGAAAGAGCTCCATCTCATTTTTGATATAATCTATATAGGTTTTTCAAATGTCAGCACCACGTTAAGGCCATCCCCAGATGTATGAAAGTCTTGGATGCTCTCAATGGTCTACTTGTCTTCAAGGCTTTTTAGCAGACACAAGAGGCTTTCTAAGGCCCGCAAAACTTTGTGAGATACTATCTGTTATGGTTCCGGCTAATGAAACACTTCAGGCATTTGTTTTCTTAAAAGTCTTTTATTGTTGCAAAATGTTGGCACAGGCATAACAGAGGGATCTAAGTTCTCTTCCTCTGAGCAGTTAAATTATCAGCATGTTCCCTCCCTAAATTAGCCATCATATCTCACATTATCCAATTAGTGTGAAGGTGAAATGTTTTCTTTCTCTTTCTTTCCAGGGCTTTACTCCCACCCCCACTCTGCTCTGTATTAACCCCATAATTACCAGACAATTCTGCATATTGTCAAAAGCAAGAATATGCAATATTTGCAGCGTTGACACTATCTATATCCTGGAGAAAGAGAAGTAAATCTGGGTCCACTTACTCAGGCAGGAGATGATCAAAGGAGCTGTCAAGGAGTGGAGATACAACTTAAAGAGGGTGAAGGTCTAAATAAAGTGCTGGGAGTCTTTTCTGAAGAGGTTGGTTAGCACATTTCATACAAATGCTGAATGAGAAAAAGTGACCTCCCTTTCTATTGTATTCTCTTAAAAGGCCCAGTTTGTCTATTAGATGCTGGGGAATGATTGTGTTACATGCCAAATTGAAATTGTGTGGTTGAAATTGTACCTTTTTGTAACAGCCTCATTTGACTCGTGTACTGTAGTCTCCACGTTTAAATAGAATCAAATGTAGGCTTAAAATCTTCAAAGGCTATAAGCAGTGATGTTGTCCATACCGTTTTGTTTGATTTAGAAGAAAGTCATAAATCAAAACTTATACCCAATACATTATGCAACCATAAACTGTCCATGCCGTTTAATTGCATCAGTTTCAACAGATTTCACAGTAAATTGAAATTATTTGGTAAAAAGATGCCCTTAAATACTTTTTGCTGCAAGGGGAAGATTTGATCATTCACCTTGTCCTTCTCTACCTCTCCTGCACAGAATTTGAGGGTCCCAAACCGGGCGCAGTATTTACGGTGCAGCTTGAGCAAAGCAGAACTGGCCGGAACTATCCGTGGTCTCTATTTCATGGGCCTGATTTGCATTCTTAGGAGAGGATAGGGTTTCAGCTGTAGCCAGGATTGCCCAGAAAAGGGGCAGCTGAGAGGCCGGCTGGAAGTCAAGCAGGAAGTAAGGAAGGCTGGACATGGACGACAGGCAAAGCCCCGGAAATCCAGCCCTTCTCAACACTGCCACACTTAGCACGTGTGAATATGGGTGTTAGATCCCAAGGAGGGAGTTGTGTTGTGTAAACAGACACAAGATGTTGCTGAACTATAAACTCAAACCTTTCTTGCCATTCAGCCTCTGCAGTGCCTTCGCCAGCCTACCTGGGCAGATTGTTGTGAGCTGTAATCTAGGGCCATGCAGTGCCCCGCCTCCTCCAAAGGAAATCTGGGTAGAGCATTTCTGATCTGCAGTGCTCCCAAGGGCTGGCAGGTGGCGCCAAGACCCATCGTTTGCTGCCACCTTAGGGTGGATAGCGGAGCTGCTGCTCAGAGGTACTTTAAGAGCCGGGGAAAGGCCACTGTGCCACCCACAACAAAGACGGCAGTGGTGCCTCTCAAAGTGATGCTCGCCGGCGGTTGCTGGGAGGTGTGAGGAAAGGGCCGGGGGGGGGGGTCCTGAAGGCTGGAGCTGCAGGGATGCCCGGGGGGGGGGGCAGTGAAAGTGAAGCGGCCATCTAGGGGAGGCACTGGTGGGTACCATGCTTGTGCTGGGCAGAAGCGACAGAAGCTGCAGAAAGAACACACTCGCATTGTTTGCAGCTGCAGCAAAGACGGGAAAGGAAAGGAACAAAGTGGGTGAGCGCTTAGAAGGATGCCCCTTTTATGGCTCCTGGACTTCGACTCCCAGAATTGCTGATCCAGCCAATTATTGTCCATGCGGGCTCAGGAGTTCTGGGAGCTGAAGTCCAGAAATCATAAAAGGGCCGTCGTTCCCCACCTCTGGCCTCGAACAACCTAAAGGAGGACCCAGCGCGACCCGACCTGCTCCCCACTCCTGGGTTTGCACATCCAGACCCCTTGCCTGCTTCAACACGCTCTTTGGAAGCCAACTTAACTCGGCATAAGAGTAGCCAAACGGAGCAGGCTGTGTAAATGTGAGAGCTCCCCTTTCCATTGAGGCTTATTGCAGGGACTCGCCCGGCTAGCGTCCACGGGGAACCATCTCCAGGCAGGTGACTCTCAGTCTGTACCTGGACAACTTTGGATGATTCGTAAAGGTTGTTTAGGCTCAGTTGGCCGTTGGATGGGGGACCACCAGGAAATGCAAGAGATCCTGTCTAGCACTGTAAAAATTAAAAAAAAGAACTGAGTCTGTATCACTGTTGAGAAAATGCCTCTAAGGTGCTTGTGAAGACACAGGCTGTTGGGTCTGACTTGAGGATGGTTCCTCTGCTCAGTTGATTAATGGCTGATCTGGGAAAAGGTTAATTGAGGTCCAGCCTCTTTAGCACCTGGAGCAGGGCAGGGACTGGAATTGGAAAGGCAGTGATGGCCCATTGCTTACATGTTGCCCCCAAGAGAGCTGCAGACCCCTCCCCTCTCGAACAGCAGCACCCAGAGATTTTTGTGCCTCACCCAACAAACGTCCCATACCTCTTTGAGGAGGGGGCTTTGCTCCTGGGCTGGGCTGGGGGGGGGCAGGCAGGTGGTTGAGCCACAGGGAGCTTTGGTGTGCAATGCAGTAAGTGTTTTTCCCAGGTATATATGTTCTTTGCCCTTTTATTCTTCTCATAGTCATTGGGCGTTGGGCTGCCCCCCAGATATGGTAAGGCTGCTCTCACCTCCCCCCCCCGCCCTTCTCCTCACCTGCTCCGACCCCCACCCCACCGCCCGGGAGAGGGGCTGCCTGGGGGCCGCGGGGGGAGCCTGGCTGGAGCCCCCCGGGAGGAAGGAGGGAGGAATTGCCCCCCCCAGCTCTCGACTGCCTGGATGCCCCCCCAGATCTCGCCCCCCCCGCCCTGCCTAGGGAGAGACCCCCAGAGGCGGGAGGGGGAGCTTCAGCTGCACCGGCCTGGATGCGGGGGGGGGCGAGGGGGGAGACTTCCGGGGAGCCCCTTGCCCCACCCCCTTGCCGAATAGAACCTTCGCTACTGCGCAGGCGCCATGTGACTCATGGTTGGCAGGAAACAGGTCGCCTATTGGTCGGTCTGGGGAGGCCAGCGATTGGCAGGAAGACTCGTCGGGGCGGTCCGTTCAAAACAAAGAGGAAGAGTACCCGGTAAACGTGCAAAAGCCTCGCAGCGAAGTTCCGCCTCCACTTCCGGGATCGAACAGAACCGAAGCGCCTCATTGATTCGGCCGCGGGCAGGCTCGCAATCCAGGTAGGGCGCAAGGGATGCTGGGAGTCGCAGTCCGAGAGGCTCCCTGTCGGAGAAGGGAACCCTGGGAAGGAGGGGGGAGGCCGAGGCCTGGCCTGGCGGGACGGGCGGTGGGAGGGAGGCCTGCCCGGAAAGTCTCTCTGAGAGGCGCCATATGATGATGGATCGGAGGAAGCGGGACGCCGATTGGGCGCTCTGGGGAGGGCAGCGATTGGCAGGAGGACTCCTCGGGGCGGTCCATTCAAAGGAAAGAGGAAGAGCAACCAGGAAGACACCTCGCAGCGAAGTCCCGCCTCCACTTCCGGAAACAAACAGAACCGAGGAGCCCTAATTGATTCATCCACGGGCGGGCTCGGAGCCAGGTGGGGCGCAAGGGATGCTGGGAGTCGCAGTGCGAGAGGCTCTCTGAGGGAGGGAGGGGGGAGGCCGAGGCCTGGCCTGGCGGGACGGGCGTTGGGAGGGAGGTCGGCTCCGTCTGGTTCTTGCCGTGGAAATGCCGAGGCTCCGGCCTTCCTCCCCGGTCGGGCCTGGGACTCCCCTCCGGGGAAGGGACGAAGCCGTGAGCCGCCTCTCCTCCCCCCCTTCGCCCCTGCAGGAGGACGGGCGAGCCCGGCGGAGGAAGTGCTGGAAGTAAAGTCTTCCTCCTGGTTCATCCAAGCCGGGAATAAATAAGCAACATGGCGACTGCTCTAGGAAGAAGGTTACAGTTTATAGAAGAAGCAGAAAGATGGTTCTTGCAGGAAGGACCAGAGGGGAGAGAGGCTGAGCAGGAGGGCAATAGCTTTGTATGCCCTCTCTAGCCTTTGGATTGGCATAGTTTCCTGTTCCTGTGGCATGAACTTTGAACTGAGTCTGAGGGCTTTTCTAGGCCTTAGTATCTGTGGCTTAGTCCTGTTAGGTCCAAAAGCCATCTCCTGCTTCCCTGGGGCTGATGACTCCTTGGGTCTCCTTGTCTTCTTCAGTTCCCTGGCTCCAACCTTCCTGATGGTTTTACTGCTGCATTTGTATAGGGCTGGCTCTTGCTTGGGGCAGAGATTGGAGGGCAGAGAGATTTGGCTTTTGCTTTTAAAAATCCTGGAGGAAACATATATTTTTCTGGCCTTTTAATATTTCCTTTTCTGGGGGGTTCTGACTTCTCACAGAAGGAAGGAAGGAGGCGCCGCCTGAGAGGAGAGGAGGCCCCGCGGAGCAGCCCCGGGAGGAGACGGCGGGGGAGGCCCGGCAGGGATGAGCCGAAGGGGACTCCGGGAAAGGAGGCCACCTGGAGGGAGAAGCGGGGAGCAGGAAACGGGCGGAGACCCCGAGACGGGCCTGGAGGGCAGAGGGACCTTCAGAAGAGGCGGAAGACCCGGGAATCCCCAGAGAATGCAGAAGGGAGGAAAGAAATATGAATGCGCAGAATGTGGAAAATCTTTCAAAACAAATACAGTTCTTGTAAACCACCTAAGAATCCACACAGGAGAGAAACCTTTTAAATGCCTGGAGTGTGGAAAGAGCTTCAGTCAGAGGGGACACCTTTATATACATCAAAGAATCCACTCCGGAGAAAAACCACATAAATGCCTGGAATGTGGAAAAAGCTTCAATCGGAGGGGACACCTTTATACACATCAAAGAATCCACTCAGGAGAGAAACCTCATAAATGCCTGGAATGTGGAAGAACCTTCAGACAGAGCAGCAACCTTTATACACATCAAAGAATCCACTCAGGAGAGAAACCGCATAAATGCCTTCAGTGTGGAAAGAGCTTCAGTCAAAGGGGACACCTTTATACTCATCAAAGGATCCACTCAGGAGAGAAACCGCATAAATGCCTGGAGTGTGGAAAGAGCTTCAATCTGAGGGGAAACCTTTATACACATCAAAGGATCCACTCCGGAGAGAAACCGCATAAATGCATGGAGTGTGGAAAGAGCTTTAGTCAGAGGGGAAGCCTTTATAAACATCAAAGGATCCACACTGACAAACCAAATAAATGCCTGAAGTGTGGAAAGAGCTTCAATCTGAAGAGCACCCTTTATACACATCAAAGGATCCACTCGGGAGAAAAACCACATAAATGCCTGGAGTGTGGAAAGAGCTTCAGTGTGAACGGAAGCCTTTATAAACATCAAAGGATCCACACAGGAGAAAAACCTTATAAATGCCTTGAGTGTGGAAAGAGCTTCAGTGTGAGTGGAAGCCTTTATGTACATCAAAGGATCCACTCAGGAGAGAAACCGCATAAATGCCTGGAGTGTGGAAAGAGCTTCAGTCAGAGGAGCAGCTTTAACGTACATCAAAGTATCCATTCAGGAGAGAAACCACATAAATGCCTGGAGTGTGGAAAGACTTTCAGTCGCAGGAGCAACCTTTATACACATCAAAGGATCCACTCAGGAGAAAAACCACATAAATGTCCGGAGTGTGGAAAGCACTTCAATGTGAGGGGAAGCCTTTTTAAACATCAAAGGATCCACACAGGAGAAAAACCTTATAAATGTCTGGAGTGTGGAAAGAGATTCAGTCAGAGGAGCAGCCTTTACGTACATCAAAGAACCCATTCAGGAGAGAAACCGTATCAATGCCTGGAGTGTGGAAAGAGGTTCAGTCTTCAAGGAAACCTTTATACACATCAACGAATCCACTCAAGAGAGAAAGAGTATAAATGCCTGGAGTGTGGAAAGAGCTTCAGTCAGAGGGGAAGCCTTTATAGACATCAAAGAATCCACACAAGTGGAGAAACCCTATAAATGCCAATGTAGCTTGGAACCATTGCAGTTACCTTTTTAAAAAAAATAACGGCTGCTAGCCAGCTCAAGCATCTTCAGCTGGCAAAAGCAAAAACCAGAGCTGGCTCGGCACTTGTTTGGCCATGTGGCCATGGACAAAAAAAACCCCAAACCCTGCCAACGTCTTGTAGCCCCGAACAGCCAAGGAAAGTCAGAGAGATAAAAATGGCCACCACGGCATTAGTGATTGAAACCAAGTCACATGGCTAGACAGACCTTTTTGGTCGCAATTCTGAATTTCTAATGTAAGTACCCTTCCTGAATTAATTAAATCATTTTTGTGAAAAGTGGCTCAATGAACTCTCGTATCTGGGGGACTATCTGTAAATGCCTCCAGTGTGGAAAGAGCTTTACTGAAAGTCAAGGTCTTCATAAACATGAAAGCATTCACAGAGGAGAAAAAGCACATAAATGTCGGGAATGTGGAAGTAGCTGTAGTCAGAGGGGAAACCTTTACGGACATCAAAGACTCCATTCAGGAGAGAAACCATAGAAAGAGTGGAAAGAGTTTCTGTGGGAAGTCTTTATCAGCATCAATCCACTCTGGAAAAAAACAATACAAATATCTTGAGTGTGGAAAGAGCTTTATTGTTTGTGGACACCTTTATCAACATCAAACAATTCATGTGGGGGAAAAAAACACTAAATATGCCTTCAGTCACAACGGTGCCACTGGAATAACAATAGCATTTAGGCTAATGTGCCGCCCCATATGCTTTACAGCACACTCTGGGAGATTTCCAACATAAACATTATTTGCATATTGCCACCAACAATCTGGGTCCCCTTTTTACCATCCTCACAAGGATGGATGACAGTCAAGGCTTAAGCGCTCTCAGAATCAAACTCCAGGCTGTGGACAGTCTGCCTGCAATACTGCATTAAGAAGCTACTTGAATGATTATCCCAGAGAAAATACAGCTCATTAAGAAAGGCGTCAACTCTTACCCTTCATTGCCATCTCAACCTTTGTGTGTCAACATGAGTATATATTGTATTCTCAGCCCAAACATTCAGGAGTAAGTAAACTTATGGACAGCACCATTTTATTATTCACTTTATTGCTACACTCTCTTTAATGATTGTGCTCTTCTGTGATACCAAATAGTGGAACTTTCAAGGGCTATTCCTGCACACCCAGGAATTTGATGCAGGTAACCGTCTGCACAGGTGAATCATTCATGCACAGAGAAGTGTGGCTGTGCCTGCCTGTTCTCAAATCGACAAGGATTTTTATGGTTTTTCCAGTATTTAAAACTAGGCTGTTTTCCTTACACCAGATCACCAACCCTTCAACCTCCTTGCAGTAAGCTCCCTCATTGTCATCATGAATAAGACCCGCTACTGTTGTATCATCTGCGAACTTCACAGTATGGTTGGTGGCAAACCTAGGATAACAGTCATGGGTGAACAGGGTGAACAGTAGCGGACGTGGGACGCAGCCCTCAGGAGAAACTGTGCTCAAGAAAATGGTATTAGGGGTATTTGTTCCAACTTGCACATATTGCAGCCTTTGGTAAGAAAATCAAGAATCCAGTTACACAGAGTGTTTAAGCCCCAAAGGCCCAATTTGTCTACTAGATGTTGGGGAATGATTGTGTTAAATGCCGAACTGAAATTGTGTGGTTGAAATTGTACCTTTTTGTAGCAGCCTCATTTGAGTCTTGGCACTTTTTCCCATATCAGCGTTCTCGTTTTAATGCAATGCACATTTCAATGGTTATGCTTAATATTATGGGATTTTACTGTCCATGTCTCTGGCGTAACTGAGCAGGGTGATTTCTTTCATCCAATGAAGTCTTGTTTTGTACTTTTTCTACTATAAGGCGAATAAAATGAAACCTGTGTTCACACGACCTGCTTCCCCACTCCTGACTGGCCATACCCAGTCCCCTGGCATTGTTCAATGGGCTCTTTGGAGGCCAACTTAACCGGGCAGAAGACTAGCCAAAGTGAGCAGGCTGTGCAAATGTGAGGGCTTCCCTTACCATTGAGGCTTATTGCAGGGACTTGTCCAGACAGTGAGGGGGGGACTCTTAGTCTGGCCCAGGACATTTTTGGCTGACCTGGGAAGTGAAGTTTCTTTAGGCTTAGTTGGGGCTTGGATGGGGAATCACCAGGAAATGCAAAAGATGCTATGAAGCGCTGCAAAGTTAAAAAAAAAGAACCATCTCAATTTGTATTTCTGTTCAGAAAATGCCTTGAAGGTGGTTGTGAAGATACAGGCTCTTGGGCTTGACTTGAAGATGGTTCATCTGCTCAGTTGATTAATGGCTGATCTGGGAAAAGGTTAATTGAGGTCCAGCCTCTTTAGCACCTGGAGCAGGGCAGGGACTGGAATTGGAAAGGCAGCGATGGCCCATTGCTTACATGTTGTCCCCAAGAGACCTGCAGACCCCTCCCCTCTCTAATAGCATCACCCAGAGATTTCTGTGCCTCACCCAACAAACGTCCCATACCTCTTTGAGGAGGGGTCTTTGCTCCTGGGCTAGGCTGGGGGGGGCAGGCAGATGGTTGAGCCACAGGGAAGTTTGGTGTGCAATGCAGTAAGTGTTTTGTCCTGGTGTACACATTCTTTCCCCTTTTATTCTTCTCATAATCATTGGGCGTTGGGCTGCTGTTCAAATAAAAAAAATCATTCCTAAGTAAACAGGCACTTCCCCCCAATTCCCTGCCCTTGGATATCCCAGAGAATCCCTTTGAAACATCCCTGATGGAACTTGGTTTCTATCTCAGGTATGCAGGACAGACTCTGCCCAAAGTATTTCCAAGGTGGCTTATCATCATGGAGTCGTGACAGCGAAATGCTCGACGTGCAAGAACCATCATGTGATTGCTGATTAAGTTGGGCTGGTTCTTGACTTGGAGGGGGAAAGGTGAGCATGAGGTCAGGGGGTCAGGCAGGTGGTTGAGCCACAGGGAGCTTTGGTGTGCAATTTAGTGTTTTGCCCAGGTGTACCTGTAGATTTGGGCTGCTCTCCAAATGTAATAAAAATCAATTAGCACCTCCCCACCCAATTCCCTGCCCTTGGATACCCCAGAGAACCACTTTGAAACGTCCCTGATGGAACTTGGTTTCTATCTCAGGTATGTAGGACACAATCTGCCCAAAGTATTTCCAAGGTGGCTTATCATCATGGAGTCATGACAGTGAAATGCTCGGGGTGCAACAACCATCATGTGATTGCTGATTAAGTTGGGCTGGTTCTTGACTTGGAGGGGGAAAGGTGAGCATGAGTCCTTTGCGACCCCCCCGTTTCTCTTCTTCCTGATTTGATGCTTCAGCTGCTGAAGCTAGAATGTGTTCCTGGGAACAGTTCAGAGCTGATACTGGTTATTAGTGAAGGCAAATTCAAATTTAGAATAGAGCCGGAAGGGACCTTCCAGATCAGGATCAGAGTCACAGAGCTGGAAGGGGCAGAGTGGGTGGGAATAATAATATTAATAATAATAGAGTTGGAAGGGACCTTGGAGGCCATCTAGTCCGTCCACGTGCTCAGAAAAACGGCTGTCCCGTCTCTTCTTTAAAACCTCCAGTGCTGGAGCATTCTGGAGGCGGGTAGTTCCACCGGGACGCTGCATTGAAAGGAAAGAACAGCTACCGTTCACAGGAAGAGACCTCGCAGTGAAGTTCCGCCTCCACTTCCGGAAAACAAAGGAACCGAGGCTTCTAATTGATTCGGCTGCGGACGAGCTCGGACTCAGGTAGGGCGCAAGGGATGCTGGGAGTCGCAGTCCGAGAGGCTCTCTGGCGGAGGAAGGGAGGGAGGGAGGGGGGAGGCCGAGGCCTGGTGTGGCGAGACGGGCGCTGGGAGGGAGGGGCGCCATATGATGATAGATCGGGGGAAGCGGGACGCCGATTGGTCGCTCTGGGGAGGGCAGCGATTGGCAGGAGGACTCCTCGGGGCGGTCCATTCAAAGGAAAGAGGAAGAGCAACCAGGAAGAGCCCTCGCTGTAAAGTCCCGCCTCCACTTCCGGGAACAAACAGAACTAAGGCCCCATATTGACTCTGCCGCGGACGGGCTCGGAGCGAGGTAGGGCGCAAGGGATGCTGGGTGTCGCAGTCCGAGAGGCGCTCTGGCGGAGAAGGGAGGGAGGGGGGAGGCCGAGGCCTGGTCTGGCGGGACCGGCGCTGGGAGGGAGGCCTGCCCGGAAAGTCCCACGGAGAGGCCGAGGCTCCCGCCTTCCTCCCCGGGCGAGCCTGGGACTCCCCTGCGGGGAAGGGACGAAGCCGTGACCCGCCTCTCCTCCCCCCCTTCGCCCCTGCAGGAGGACGGGCGAGCCCGGCGGAGGAAGGAAGGCAGGAAGGAGGCGCCGCCCGAGAGGAGAGGAGGCCCTGCGGAGCAGCCCCGGGAGGAGACGGCGGGAAGGCCCGGCAGGGATGAGCCGAAGGGGACTCCGGGAAAGGAGGCCGCCTGGAGGGAGAAGCAGGGAGCAGGAAACGGGCGGAGACCCCGAGACGGGCCTGGAGGGCGGAGGGTCCTTCAGAAGAGGCGGAAGACCCGGGAATCCCCAGAGAATCCAGGAGGGAGGAGAGAAACATAAATGCCCGGAATGTGGAAGATTCTTCAAAAGAAATAGAGTTCTTGTAAACCATCTAAGAATCCACACAGGAGAAAAACCATTTAAATGCCCGGAATGTGGAAAGCGTTTCAGTCTGAGGGGAAACCTTTATACACATCAAAGAATCCACTCAGGAGAAAAACCATATAAATGCCTGGAGTGTGGAAAGCGTTTCAGTCTGAGGGGAAACCTTTATAGACATCAAAGGATCCACTCAGGAGAGAAACCGCATAAATGCCTGGAGTGTGGAAAGAGCTTCAATCTGAGAGGAAACCTTTATAGACATCAAAGGATCCACTCAGGAGAGAAACCGCATGAATGCATGGAGTGTGGAAAGAGCTTCAATCTGAGAGGAAACCTTTATAGACATCAAAGGATCCACTCAGGAGAGAAACCGCATAAATGCATGGAGTGTGGAAAGAGCTTCAATCAGAGCAGCTGTCTTTATAGACATCAAAGAATCCACTCAGGAGAGAAACCGCATAAATGCATGGAGTGTGGAAAGAGCTTCAATCAGAGCAGCTGTCTTTATAGACATAAAAGAATCCACTCAGGAGACAAACAGCATAAATGCCTGGAGTGTGGGAAGAGCTTCAGTCAAAGGGGACACCTTTATACACATCAAAGGATCCACACAGGAGAAAAACCACATAAATGTCTGGAGTGCGGAAAGAGATTCAGTCAGAAGAGTAGTCTTTATACACATCAAAGGATCCACACAGGAGAAAAACCACATAAATGCCTGGAGTGTGGAAAGAGATTCAGTCGGAGGGGACATCTTTATATACATCAAAGGATCCACTCAGGAGAAAAACCATATAAATGCCTGGAGTGTGGAAAGAGCTTCAGTCAGAGGAGCAGCCTTTATGTACATCAAAGAATCCATTCAGGGGAGAAACCGTATGAATGCCTGGAGTGTGGAAAGAGGTTCAATTGTCAAGGAAACCTTTATGCACATAAAAGAATCCACTCAAGAGAGAAACAGTATAAATGCCTGGAATGTGGAAAGAGTTTCAGTCAGAGGGGAGACCTTTATTTACATGAAAGAATTCACTTTGGAAAAAAACTATATAAATGCCTGGATTGTGGAAAGAGGTTCAGTCGGAGGGGAAACCTTTATACACATCAAAGAATCCACTCAGGAGAGAAACCGCATAAATGCCTGGAGTGTGGAAAGAGCTTCAGTCGGAAGGGAAACCTTTATAGACATCAAAGAATCCACACTAGCGGAGAAGCCCTATAAATGCCAATTTAGCTTGGAACCATTGCAATTACCTTTTTAAAAAAATAACGGCTGCTAGCCAGCTCAAGCATCTTCAGCTAGCAAAGGCAAAAACCGGAGCTGGCTTGGCACTTGTTTGGCCATGTGGCCATGGACAAAAAAAAAAAAAACAAAAAAACCCTAACCTTACCAACTTGTAGCCCGGAACAGCCAAGGAAAGTCGGAGAGATAAAAATGGCCACCACAGCATTAATGTCTGAAACCAAGTCACATGGCTAGACAGACCTTTTTAGTCGCAATTCTGAATTTCTAATGTAAGTACCCTTCCTGAATTAATTTAATTAATTCGTTTTCGTGAAAAGTGGCTAAATGAACTCTCACACCTGGGGGACTACCTGTAAATGCCTCCAGTGTGGAAAGAGCTTTACTGAAAGTCAAGGTCTTCCTAAACATCAAAGCATTCACAGAGTAGAAAAAGCATATAAATGTTTGAAGTGAGGAAGTAGCTGTAGTCAGAGGGGAAACCTTTACAGACATCAAAGATTGCATTCAGGAGAGAAACCACATAAACGTGTGGAAAGAGTTTCTGTGGGAAGGGAAGTCTTTAAGAGGATCAATCCACTCGGGAGAAAAGCAATACAAATATCTTGAGTGTGGAAAGAGCTTTATTGTTTGTGGACACCTCTATCGACATCAAAGAATTCACATGGGGAAAAAAACGCTAAATATGCCTTCAGTCACAACAGCCACTGAAATAACAATAGCATTTAGGCTTACATGCTGCCCCATATGCTTTACAGGGCACTCTGGGAGATTTCCAAGGTAAACATTATTTGCATATTGCCGCCAACAATCTGGGTCCCCCTTTTACCATCCTCAGAAGGATGGATGACAGTCAAGGCTTGAGGGCTGTCAGAATCAAACTCCAGGCTGTGGACAGTCTGCCTGCAATACTTCACTACTTGAATGTTTATCACAGACCTAAGTACAGCTCAGTAAGACAGGTGTGAACCCTTACCCTTCATTGCTATCTCAACCTTTGTGTGTCAACATGAGTATATATTGTATTCTCAGCCCAAAATGTCAGGAGTAAGTAAACTTATGGGCAGCATCATTTTATTATTCCCTTTATTGCTATACTCGGTTTAATGATTGCTATTCTGTGATGCCAAATAGTGGAATTTGAATAATTTTACACACTTTTTCAAAGGGTATGTAATTTTACTCATTAGCTGCACACCCAGGAATTTGATGCTGGTAACCATCTGCACAGGTGAATCATTTAATGCACAGAGAAATGTGTCTGTGCCTGCCTGTTCTCAAATCGACAAGGATTTTTATGGTTTTTCTGGTATTTAAAACTAGGCTGTTTTCCTTACACCAGTTCACCAACTCCTCAACCCCCTTGCGGTAAGCTCCCTCATTGTCATCATGAATAAGGCCCGCTATCATCTGCAAACTTCACAATATGGGAAACCTAGCACAACAGTCATGGGTGAACAGGGTGAACAGGAGCGAATGTGGGACGCAGCCCTGAGGAGAAACTGCTGAAGAAAATGGTATTAGGGATATTTGTTCCAACTTGCAGATATTGCAGCCTTTAGTAAGACAATCAAGAATGCAGTTACACAACGAGCGTTTAAGCCCCAAAGGCCCAATTTGTCTACTAGATGCTGGGGGATGATTGTGTTAAATGCTGAACCTTTGGAACAGCCTCATTTGACTCATGACACTTTTTCCCATATCAGCGTTCTCCTTTTAATGCAATGCACATTTCAATGGTTATGTTTAATATTATGGGATATTACTGTCCATGTCTCTGGCTTAACTGAGTAGGATGATTTCTTATATCCAATCAAGCCTTTGTACTTTTTCTACTATAAGGTGTATAAAATGAAACCCGATTCTGTGTCATGGATTCTCTCTTTTCATTGAGGGAAAACTCTTTGCTATAATAGACTAATAAATTGCCTTTAAATGATCATCAAACTTTGTGCCTAGTTGAACTAAGTGTGAAATGGCTGAATCTAGAGCTAATTTAGCCTCTTTTTTGTGGCTGTGAAAGAGCTCCTCCATCTCATTTTTGATATAATCTATATAGGTTTTCCAAATGTCAGCACCACGTTAAGGCCATCCCCAGATGTATGAAAGTCTTGGATGCTCTCAATGGTCTACTTGTCTTCAAGGCTTTTTAGCAGACGCTTTCTAAGGCCAGCAAAAGTTTGTGAGATACTATCTATGTCCTGGAGAAGAGAGAAGTAAATCTGGGTCCACTTATTCAGGTAGGAGACGATCAGATGAGCTGTCAAGGAGTGGAGATACAACTTAAAGAAGGTGAAGGTCTAAATCAGTGGTTCTCAACCTTTTTAATGCCGCGACCCCCAACCGGTCATACATCAAGGACTAAACCGGTCGTAAGTCGAGGACTACCCAACCGGTCATAAGTCGAGGATGTTCCCAGCTCGAGAGCGCCACGCATGCATGGTGCTGCCCCCTGCGCCGGCCGAGGCATAGCTGGCAAGCGGCAGAGTCTGAGCAGGCCGACCACCGGCTGGGCCACCAGCTGGCCCAACCCAAGGGAGGTAAGGCACCCGACGGAAAACGGGGAAAGAAATGGCGGACAGCCTTGCTTGGCGACCCCCGTGAAATGGTCAATCGACCCCAAATGAGGTCGCGACCCACAGGTTGAGAACCGCTGGTCTAAATAAAGCCCTGGGAGACTTTTCTGAAGAGGTACCAGGTTGGTTAGCACATTTCATACAAATGCTGAATGAGAAAAAGTGACCTCCCTTTTTATTATATTCTACTAAAAGGCCCAGTTTGTCTACTAGATGAATGATTGTGTTACATGCTTAACTGAAAATGTGTGGTTTAAATTGTACCTTTTTGTAACGGACTCATTTGATTCATTTGTACTGTATTCTCCACGTTCAACAAGATTGCTCTCAAATGGAATCAAATGTAGGCTTAAAATCTACAAGGCTACCAGCAGTGATGTTGTCCATACCGTTTTGTTTTATTCAGAAGAAAGTTAGTCCTAAATCAAAATTTACACCCAATACATGATGCAACCGTAAGCTGTCCATGCTATTTAATTGCATCAGATTTCACAGTAAATTGAAATTGATAAAAAGGTAAATAATTTTTGCTGCAAGGGGAGGATTCGATCATTCACCTTGTCCTTCTCTGCCTCTGCTCCAGGGGGAAGAAGGGAGGAAGCGCCCCCCCAGCTGCCCCCCGCCCTGGCCTAGGGAGAGACCCCCAGGATGAAGAGGGGGGGAGGGGTCCTCAGCTCCGCTGCATGGATGCGGGGGGGGCGAGGGGGGAGAAGACTTCAAGGGGAACCTCTCCCCCCATCCCCTTGCCAAAGAGAAGCTTCGCTACTGCGCAGGCGCCATGTAGCTCATGGTTCGAAGGAAGCCGGACGCCGATTGGTCGCTCTGGGGAGGGCAGCGATTGGCAGGAGGACTCCTCGCGGCGGTCCATTCAAAGGAAAGGGGTAGAGCTACCGGAAACAGGAAGAGAGCTTGCAGTGAGGTCCCGCCTCCACTTCCGGAAACGAAGGGAACCGAGTGGCCTCATTGATTCGGCCGCGGGCAGGCTCGCAATCCAGGTAGGGCGCAAGGGATGCTGGGAGTGGCAGTCCGAGAGGCTCCTTGGCGGAGAAGGGAGGGAGGGAAGGGGAGGCCGAGGCCTGGCCTGGCGGGACGGGCGCTGGGAGGGAGGCCTGCCCGGAAAGTCTCACTGAGAGGCGCCATATGATGATGGCTCGGGGGAAGCGGGACGACGATTGGGCGCTCTGGGGAGGGCAGCGATTGGCTGGAGGACTCCTCGGGGCGCTCCATTCAAAGGAAAGAGGAAGAGCACCCAGAAAGTGGCCTCGCAGCGAAGTCCCGCCTCCACTTCCGGGAAGGAATAGAACTGAGGCGCCCTAATTGATTCATCCACGGAAGGGCTCGGAGCCAGGTAGGGCGCAAGGGATGCTGGGAGTCGTATACTGAGGGTCCCTCTGGCGGGAGGGGGGAGGCCGAGGCCTGGACTGGAGGTGGGAGGGAAGCCGGGTACGTCTGCTTCTTGCCGGGGAAATGCCGAGGAGAGGCGGAGGCCTTCCTGCCTGGGAGGGCGGGAGGGCCTGGGACTCCCCTCCGGGGAAGGGACGAAACCGTGACCCGCCTCTCCTCCTCCCCCTTCGCCCCTGCAGGAGGACGGGCGAGCCCGGCGGAGGAAGTGCTGGAAGTAAAGACTTCATTCAAGCCGGGAATAAATAAGCAACATGGCGTCTGCTCTGGGAAGAAGGTTACAGTTTAGGGAAGAAGCAGAAAGATGGTTCTTGCAGGAAGGGCCAGAGGGGAGAGAGAGGCTGAGCACCTTGGCAGTAGCTTTTTCTGCCTTCTCTAGCCTTTGGATTGGCATATTTTCCTGTTCCTGTGGCATGAACTTTGAACTGAGTCTGAAGGCTTTTCTAGGCCTTAGTATCTGTGGCTTAGTCCTGTTAGTTCCCAAAAGCCATCTCCTGCTTCCCTGGGGCTAATGACTCCTGGAGTCTCCTTGTCTTCTTCAGTTCCCTGGCTCCAACCTTCCTGATGGTTTTATTACTGCATTTGTATAGGGCTGGCTCTTGCTTGCTGCAGAGATTGGAGGGCAGAGAGATTTGGCTTTTGCTTTTAAAAATCCTTATGGAAACATATATTTTTCTGCTCTTTTAATATTTCCTTTTCTGGGGGGCTCTGACTTCTCACAGAAGGCAGGAAGGAGGCGCCGCCCGAGAGGAGAGGAGGCCCCATGTAATACCTCCGGGAGGAGACGGCGTGGAAGACCTGGAAGGGATGAGCCAAAGGGGATCCCGCGAAAGGAGGCCGCCTGGATGGAGAAGCGGGAAGCAGAACACCGGCAGAGATCCCGACACGAGCCTGGAGGTCAGAAGAGGCGGAAGACTCAGGGATCCCCAGATAATCCAGGAGGGAGGAAAGAAACATAAATGCCCGGAATGTGGAAGATCCTTCAAAACAAAAGGAAGTCTGGAAATGCATCTAAGAATCCACACAGGAGAAAAACCATATGGATGCCCAGAGTGTGGAAAGAGCTTCAGTCAGAGGGGAAACCTTTGTAAACACCAAAGGATCCACACTGGAGAGAAACCACATAAATGCATGGAGTGTGGAAAGAGGTTCAGTCAGAGTAGCAGCCTTTATACACACCAAAGAATCCACACTGGAGAAAAACCATATAAATGCCTGGAATGCGGAAAGCGTTTCAGTGTAAGGGGACACCTTTATACACATCAAATGATCCACTCAGGAGAGAAACCGCATAAATGCATGGAGTGTGGAAAGTGCTTCAGTCTGAGAGGAAACCTTTATACACATCAAAGGATCCACTCAGGAGAGAAACCGCATAAATGCATGGAGTGTGGAAAGAGCTTCAGTCAGAGGAGCAACCTTTACGTACATCAAAGGATCCACTCAGGAGAAAAACCGTATCAATGCCTGGAGTGTGGAAAGAGTTTCAATCAGAGCAGCGGTCTTTATAAACATCAAAGAATCCACTCAGGAGAGAATCAGCATAAATGCCTAGAGTGTGGAGAGAGCTTCCCTCGGAGCAGCACCCTTTATGTACATCAAAGGATCCATTCTGCAGAAAAACCATATAAATGCCTGCAGTGTGGAAAGCACTTCAATGTGAGGGGAAACCTTTATACACATCAAAGAATCCACACAGGAGAAAGACCACATAAATGTCTGGAGTGTGGAAAGAGATTCAGTCAGAGGAGTAGCCTTTATACACATCAAAGGATCCACTCAGGAGAAAAACCACATAAATGCCTGGAGTGTGGAAAGAGATTCAGTCGGAGGGGACATCTTCATACACATCAAAGGATCCACACAGGAGAAAAACCATATAAATGCCTGGAGTGTGGAAAGAGCTTCAGTCAGAGGAGCAGCCTTTATGTACATCAAAGAATCCATTCAGGAGAGAAACCGTATGAATGCCTGGAGTGTGGAAAGAGGTTCAGTCATCATGGAAACTTTTATGCACATAAAAAAATCCACTCAAGAGAGAAACAGTATAAATGCCTGGAATGTGGAAAGAGTTTCAGTCAGAGGGGAGACCTTTATATTCATGAAAGAATTCACCCTGGAAAAAAAACATATAAATGCCTCGAGTGTGGAAAGAACTTCAGTCAGAGGGGAAACCTTTATACACATCAAAGAATCCACTCAGGAGAGAAATTGCATAAATGCCTGGAGTGTGGAAAGAGCTTCAATGTGAGGGGAAACCTTTATAGACATCAAAGGATCCACACAGCGGAGAAACCCTATAAATGCCAATTTAGCTTGGAACCATTGCAGTTACTTTTTAAAAAAAATAACGGCTGCTAGCCAGCTCAAGCATCTTCAGCTAGCAAAAGCAAAAAACGGAGCTGGCTTGGCACTTGTTTGGCCATGTGGCCAGGGACAAAAAAAAAAAAAAAACAACCAAAAAAAAAACCAACCTAAACCCTGCCAGCTTCTCGTAGCCCCGAACAGCCAAGGAAAGTCGGAGAGATAAAAATGGCCGCCACGGCAGTAGAGACTGAAACCAAGTCAAATGGCTAGACAAACCTTTTTGGTCGCAATTCTGAATTTGTAATGTAAGTACCCTTCCTGAATTAATTTAATTAATTCGTTTTTGTGAAAAGTGGCTAAATGAACTCTCGCACCTGGGGGATTACCTGTAAGTGCCTCCAGTGTGGAAAGAGCTTTAATGAAACTCAAGGCCTGCATAAACATCAAAGCATTCACAGAGGAGAAAAAGCAAATAAATGTCTAGAGTGTGGAAGACTTTAGTCAGAGGGGAAACCTTTACAGACATCAAAGACTCCATTCAGTAGAGAAACCATATAAATGCCTGGAGCGTGGAAAGGGTTTCTGTGGGAAGCATCAATGCACTCGGGAGAAAAACAATACAAATACCTTGAGTGTGGAAAGAGCTTTGTTGTTTGTGGACACCTCTATCGACATCAAAGAATTCATATGGAGGAAAAAAATGCTAAATATGCCTTCAGTCACAACGGTGCCACTGAAATAACAATAGCATTTAGGCATATATGCCGCCCCATATGCTTTACAGGGCACTCTGGGAGATTTATAAGGTAAACATTATTTGCATATTGCCGTCAACAATCTGGGCCCGCCTTTTACCATCCTCAGAAGGATGGATGACAGTGAAGGTTTGAGCGCTATCAGAATCAGACTCCAGGGTGTGGACAGTCTGCCTGCAATACTGCACTAAGAAGCTACTTGAATGTGTATCACAGACCTAAGTACAGACGTAAGTATAGTTCAGTAAGACAGGTGTGAACCCTTATCCTTCATTGCTATCTCAACCTTTGTGTGTCAACATGAGTATATATTGTATTCTCCGCCCTAAATGTCAGGAGTAATTAAACTTACGGACAGCACCATTTTATTATTCCCTTTATTGCTATACTCAGTTTAATGATTGTGCTATTCTCTGATGCCAAATAGTGGAATCTGAATAATTTTACACACTTTTTCAAGGGCTATGTAATGTTACTCATTAGCTGCACACCCAGGAATTTGATGCTGGTAACCATCTCCACAGGTGAATCATTAATGCACAGAGAAATGTGTCTGTGCCTGCCTGTTCTTAAATTGACAAGGATTTTTATGGTTTTTCTGGCATGTAAAACTAGGCTGTTTTCCTTACACCAGTTCATCAACCCCACAACCTCCTTGCGGTAAGCTCCCTCATTGTCATCATGAATAAGGCCCGCTACTGTGAACTTCACAATATGGAAAACCTAGCACAACAGTCATGGGTGAACAGGGTGAACAGCAGCAGACATGGGACGCAGCCCTGCGGAGAAACTGCTCAAGAAAATGGTATTAGGGGTATTTGTTCCAACTTGCACATATTGGAGGCTGTTGGTAAGAAAATCAACAATCCAGTTAAACAAAGAGCGTTTAAGCTTAAAAGGCCCAGTTTGTCTACTAGATGCTGGGGAATGATTGTGTTAAATGCCAGACTGAAATTCTGTGGCTGAAATTGTCCCTTTTTCCAACAGCCTCATTTGATTCATGACACTTTCCCATATCACGTTCTCCTTTTAATGCAATGCACGTTTCAATGGTTATGTTTAATATTATGGGATCTTACTGTTCATGTCTCTGGCATAACTGAGTAGGATGATTTCTTGTCTTGTTTTGTACTTTTTCTATTATATGGCTTATAAAATGAAACCCGATTCTGTGTCCTGGATTTCCCCTTTTCATTGAGGGAAATCTCTTTGGTATAATAGACTAATAAATTGCCTTTAAATTGTCATCCCACTTGGTGCCTAGTTGAAGTAAGTGAGACATGGCTGAATCTAGGGCTAATTTAGCCTCTTTTTTGTCGCTATGAAAGAGCTCCATCTCATTTTTGATATAATCTATATAGGTTTCTCAAATGTCAGCACCACGTTAAGGCCATCCCCAGATGTATGAAAGTCTTGGATGCTCTCAATGGTCTACTTGTCTTCAAGGCTTTTTAGCAGACACAAGAGGCTTTCTAAGGCCAGCAAAACTTTGTGAGATACTATCTGTTACGGTTCCAGCTAATGAAACACTTCAAAGAACTTCCAGGCATTTGTTTTCCTAAAAGTCTTTTATTGTTACAAAACCTCTGCACAGGCATAACAGAGGGATCTAAGTTCTCTTCCTCTGAGCAGTTAAATTATCAGTATGTTCCCTCCCTAAATTAGCCGTGATATCTCACATTATCCAATTAGTGTGCACATTATCCAATTAGTGTGAAGGTCAAATGTTTTGTTACTCTTTCTTTCCCGCGCTTTACTCCCATCCCCATTCTGCTCTGTATAAACCCCATAATTACCAGACAATTCTGCATATTGTCAAAAGCAAGAATATGCAATATTTGCAGTGTTGACACTATATCCTGGAGGAGCAGTAAATCTGGGTCCACTGATTCAGGCAGGAGACAATCAAATGAGCTGTCAAGGAGTGAAGATACAACTTAGAGGGTGAAAGTCTAAATAAAGCGCTGGGAGACTTTTCTGAAGCGGTACCAGGTTGGTTAGCACATTTCATACAAATGCTGAATGAGAAAAAGTGACCTCCCTTTCTATTGTATTCTCCTAAAAGGCCCAGTTTGTCTACTAGATGCTGGGGAATGATTGTGTTACCTGCTTAACTGAAAATGTGTGGTTTAAATTGTATTTTTTTGTAACAGCCTCATTTGACTCATTTGTACTGTATTCTCCACGTTCAACAAGATTTCTCTCAAATGGAATCAAATGTAGGCTTAAAATCTACAAAGGCTACAAGCAGTGATGTTGTCTATACCGTTTTGTTTTATTCAGAAGAAAGTTAGTCCTAAATCAAAATTTACACCCAATACATTATGCAACCGTAAACTGTCCATGCCGTTTAATTGCATCAGTTTCAACAGATTTCACAGTAAATTGAAATTATTTGATAAAAAGGTAAATACTTTTTGCTGCAAGGGGAGGATTCGATCATTCACCTTGTCCTTCTCTGCCTCTGCTGCACGGAATTTGAGGGGCCCAAACCGGGCACAGTATTTAGGATGCAGGTTGAGCAAAGCAGAACCAGCTGGAAGAATTCTCATTCTCTGTTTCATGGGCCTGATCTGCATTCTTAGGAGAGGACAGGTTTTGGCTCCTCCTTCTCCTTAAGGAAGGGTTTCAGCTGCAGCCAGGATTGCCCAGGAAAGGGGCAGCTGAGAGGCAAGAGATGCTGTCTAGCACTGGAAAGTTAAAAAAAGAACCAGCTCAGTCTGTATCGCTGTTCAGAAAATGCCTTGAAGGTGGCCACTACGTGTTCCCAGGTGTGCACATTCTTTTCCCCTTTTATTCTTCTCTTTTGTAAAGCACCCAGAGTCTTTGGGGATTGAGCTGCTCCCAAATGTAATACAAGAAGTCATTGCAAAATAAATGGGCACCTCCCCCCAATTCCCTGGTCTTGGATATCCCAGAGAACCACTTTGAAAAATCCCTGAGTGGATGCTGGCTTCTCTTTCAGGGATGTGGGACACGGTCTGCAAAAATCACTTCCAAGCTAGCTTATCATCATGGAGCTGTGACAGTGAATAACTCGGGGTGCAACAACCATCATGTCATTTCTGATAGCTTGGGCTCGGACTTGGAGGGGAAAAGGTGAGCATGACGTCCTTTGCGCGCCCCCCCTCCTTTCTCTTCTTCCTGGTTTGATGCGTCAGCTGCTGAAGCTGGAATGAGGTCCTGGGAACAGTTCAGAGCTGATACTGGTTATTAGTGAAGGCAAATTCAAATTCAGAATAGAGCTGGAAGGGACCTTCCAGATCAGGATCAGAGTCACAGAGCTGGAAGGGGCAGAGTGGGTGGGTAATAATAATATTAATAGTAGTAGCGTTGGAAGGGACCTTGGAGGTCATCTAGTCCACCCACGTGCTCAGAGAAACGGTTGTCCCGTCTCTTATTTAAAACACCCAGCGTTGGAGCATTCTGGAGGCGGGTAGTTCCACCGGTTAACAGTTCTCCCTGTCAGGAGATTCCTCCTTCCTTCCCCGGCCAGTCTCCCTCCGTCGCTGCTCCTCCCGCCTTCAGGGGGGGCTTCTGGGAAGAGCGGGGCCCCCTCCTCTTCGGGGCGCCCCCCAGTTATGGGAAGGCTGCTCTCACCTCCCTCCCCTGCTCCGGCCCCCCCCCCGCCCGGGAGAGGGGCTGCCTGGGGGCTAAGGGGGGAGCCTGGCCGGAGCCCCATCGGGGGAAGAAGGCAGGAAGCGCCCCCCAGCCCTGCCTAGCGAGAGACCCCCAGTATGAAGACGGGGGAGGGGGCCCCTCAGCTCCGCTGCCTGAATGCGGGGGGGGCGAGGGGGGAGAAGACTTCAAGGGGAGCCCCTCGCCCCACCCCCTTACCAAAAAGAAGCTTCGCTACTGCGCAGGCGCTGTATGGCTCATGGCCGGAAGGAAGCAGGACGCCGATTGGTCGCTCTGCGGAGGGCAGCGATTGGAAGGAGGACTCCTCGCGGCGCTCCATTCAAAGGAAAGAAGAGCTACCGGTAACAGGAAGAGACCTTGCACTGAAGTCCCGCCTCCACTTCCGGAAACGAATAGAATTGAGGCGCCTAATTGATTCGGCCGCCGGCTGGCTCAGACTCAGGTAGGGCGCAAGGGATGCTGGGAGTCGCAGTCTGAGTGGCGAGGGAGGGCGCGGGGAGGCCGAGGCCTGGCCTGGCGGGACGGGCGCTGGGAGGGAAGCCGGCTCCGTCTGGTTCTTGCCGGGGAAATGCCGAGGAGAGGCGGAGGCTCCGGCCTTCCTCCCCGGGCGGGCCTAGGACTCCCCTGCGGGGAAGGGACGGAGCCGTGACTCGCCTCTCCTCCCCCCCTTCGCCCCTGCAGGAGGACGGGCGAGCCCGGCGGAGGAAGGAAGGAAGGAGGCGCCGCCCGAGAGGAGAGGAGGCCCCGCGGAGCAGCCCCGGGAGGAGACGGCGGGGAAGGCCCGGCAGGGATGAGCCGAGGGGGACTCCGGGAAAGGAGGCCGCCTGGAGGGAGAAGCGGGGAGCAGGAAACGGGCGGAGACCCCGAGACGGGCCTGGAGGGCGGAGGGTCCTGCAGAAGAGGCGGAAGACCCGGGAATCCCCAGAGAATCCAGGAGGGAGGAGAGAAATATCAGTGCCCTGAATGTGGAAAATCCTTCAAAACAAAAGGAAATCTTGAAATCCACCTAAGAATCCACTCAGGAGAAAAACCACATAAATGCCTGGAATGTGGAAAGAGCTTCAGTCAGAGGAGCAACCTTTATACACATCAAAGAATCCACTCAGGAGAGAAACCTTTTAAATGCCTGGACTGTGGAAAGAGCTTCAGTCAGAGGGGACACATTTATACACATCAAAGAATCCAGTCAGGAGAGAGACAATATAAATGCATGGAGTGTGGCAAGCGCTTCAATCTGAAGACCACACTTTATACACATCAAAGGATCCACTCAGGAGAAAAACCACATAAATGTCTGGAGTGTGGAAAGAGCTTCATTCAGAGGGGAAACCTTTATACACATCAAAGGATCCACTCAGGAGAAAAACCACATAAATGCCTGGAGTGTGGAAAGAGCTTCAATGGGAGGGGAAACCTTTATACACATCAAAGGATTCACACAGGAGAAAAACCTTACAAATGTCTGGAGTGTGGAAAGAGCTTCAGTCAGAGGAGCAGCCTTAACGTACATCAAAGAATCCATTCAGGAGAGAAACCGTATGAATGCCTGGAGTGTGGAAAGAGGTTCAGTTTTCAAGGAAACCTTTATGCACATCAAAGAATCCACTCAAGAGAGAAACAGTATAAATGCCTGGAGTGTGGAAAGAGCTTCAGTCAGAGGGGAGACCTTTATATACATGAAAGAATTCACCCTGGAAAAAAACCATATAAATGCCTGGAGTGTGGAAAGCCCTTCAGTCAGAGGAAAAGCCTTTCTAATCATCAAAGGGTTCACAATAGAGAAAAAGAGTATAAATGCCTGGAGTGTGAAAAGAGCTTCAGTCAAAGGGGACACCTTTATAGACATCAAAGGATCCACTCAGGAGAAAAAGCACATAAATGTCTGGAGTGTGGAAAGAGCTTCAATGGGAGGGGAAACCTTTATACACATCAAAGGATCCACACAGGAGAAAAACCTTATAAATGTGTGGAGTGTGGGAAGAGCTTCAGTCAGAGGAGCAACCTTTACGTACATCAAAGAATCCATTCAGGAGAGAAACCGCATAAATGCTTGGAGTGTGGAAAGAGCTTCAGTCAGGGGGGACACCTTCATAGACATCAAAGAATCCACATAAGCAGAGAAACCCTATAAATGCCAATTTAGCTTGGAAACATTGCAGTTACCTTTTTAAAAAAATAACGGCTGCTAGCCAGCTCAAGCATCTTCAGCTAGCAAAAGCAAAAAACGGAGCTGGCTTGGCACTTGTTTGGCCATGTGGCCATGGACAGCCAAGGAAAGTCGGAGAGATAAAAATGGCCGCCACGGCAGTAGAGACTGAAACCAAGTCACATGGCTAGACAGACCTTTTTGGTCGTAATTCTGAATTTCTAATGTACGTACCCTTCCTGAATTAATTTAATTAATTCGTTTTTGTGAAAAGTGGATAAATGAACTCTGGCACCTGGGGGACTACCTGTAAATGCCTCCGGTGTGGAAAAAGCTTTACTGAAAGTCAAGGTCTCCATAAACACCAAAGCATTCACAGAGGAGAAAATGTCTGGAGTGTGGAAGGAGCTGTAGTCAGACATCAAAGTGTCCATTCTGGAGAGAAACCATATAAATGCCTGGAGTGGAAAGGGTTTCTATGGGAAGGGAAGTCTTTATCAGCATCAAGGCACTCGGAAGAAAAGCAATACAAATACCTTGAGTGTGGAAAGAGCTTTATTGTTTGTGGATACATCTATCGACATCAAAGAATTCATATGGGGGAAAAAAACGCTAAATATGCCTTCAGTCACAACAGTGCCACTGAAATAACAGCATTTAGGCTTACGTGCTTCCCCATATGCTTTACAGGGCACTCTGGGAGATTTATAAGGTAAACATTATTTGCATATTGCTGCCAACAATCTGCGTCCCCCTTTTACCATCCTCAGAAGGATGGATGACAGTCAAGGCTTGAGGGCTGTCAGAATCAACCGCCAGGGTGTGGACAGTCTGCCTGCAATACTGCACTAAGAAGCTACTTGAATGTTTATCACAGACCTAAGTACAGCTCAGTGAGACAGATATGAACCCTTACCCTTCATTGCTATCTCAACCTTTATGTGTCAACATGAGTATATATTGTATTCTCAGCCCAAAACGTCAGGACTAAATAAACTTATGGACAGCACCATTTTATTATTCCCTTTCTTGCTATACTCGGTTTAATGATTGTGCTATTCTGTGATGCCAAATAGTGGATTCTGAATAATTTTACACTTTCAAGGGCTATGTAATGTTACTCATTAGCTGCACACCCAGGAATTTGATGCTGGTAACCATCTCCACAGGTGAATCATTAATGCACAGAGAAGTACACTCCTTTTAATGATTGTGCTCGTCTGTGATGCCAAATAGTGGAATTTGAATAATTTTACACACTTTTTCAAGGGCTATGTAATTTTACTCATTAGCTGGGAGACTTTTCTGAAGAAGTACCAGGCTGGTTAGCACATTTTATAGAAATGCTGAATAAGAAAAAGTGACCTCCCTTTCTACTGTGTTCTCCTAAAAGGCCCAGTTTGTCTATCAGATTCTGGGAAATGATTGTGTTACATGCTGAACTGAAGTTGTGTGGTTGAAATTGTACCTTTTTGTAACAGACTCATTTGACTCATATATACTGTATTCTCCACGTTTAAATGGAATCAAATGTAGACTTAAAATCTACAAAGGCTACAAGCAGTGATTTTGTCCATACCGTTTTGTTCGATTTAGAAGAACGTTTGTCATAAATCAAAATTTACACCCAATACATTATGCAAAAATAAACTATCCATGCCGTTTAATTGCATCAATTTCCACTGATTTCACAGTAAATTGAAATTATTTGGTTAAAAAAGGTACCCTTAAATACTTTTTGCTGCAAGGGGAGGATTCGATCATTCACCTTGTCTTTCTCTGCCTCTCCTGCACAGAATTTGAGGGGCCCAAACCGGGCACAGTATTTACGATGCAGGATGAGCAAAGCAGAACCGTCCAGAACAATTCTCAGTCTGTATTTCATAGGCCTGATCTGCATTCTTAGGAGAGGACAGGTTCTGCCTCCTCCTTCTCCTTCAGGATGGGTTTCAGCTGCAGCCAGGATTGCCCAGAAAAGGGGCAGCCGAGAGGCCAGATGGAACTCATGCAGGAAGTAAGGAAGGCTGGACATGGAAAACAGCCAAAGCCCTGGAAATCTGGCCCTTCTTATCGCTGCCACACTTAGCACGTGTGAATGTGGGTGTCAGATCCCATGGAGGGAGTTGTGTTGTGTGAATGGAAACATTCACTTGCCCCCCGCCCTTCTTCTCGCCTGCTCCGACCCCCCGCCCGGGAGAGGAGCCGTCTGAGGGCCGCGGGGGGAGCCCGGCTGAAGCCCCCCAGGGGGAAGAAGGCAGGAAGCGCCCCCACCCCTTCCCTACGGAGAGACCCCCAGTTTGGGGAGGGGCAGAGACGCAGCCCCGGGAGGCCGCTCAGCTCCACTTCCTCAATGCGGAGGGGGGGGGAGAAGCCTTCAAGGGGAGCCCCTCGCCCCACCCCCTTGCCGAAGAGAAGCTTCGCTACTGCGCATGCGCCATCTGGCTGACGGAAGGACGGAAGGAAGCAGGACGCCGATGGGCCGCTCTGCGGAGCGCAGCGATTGGCAGGAGGACTCCTCGGGGCGGTCCATTCAAAGGAAAGAGGAAGAGCAACCAGGAACAGACCTCGCAGCGAAGTCCCGCCTCCACTTCCGGGAACGAATAGAACCGAGGCGTCTAATTGATTCGGCCGGTGGCCGGCTCGGACCCAGGTAGGGCGCAAGGGATGCTGGGAGTGGCAGTCCGAGAGGCGCTCTGGCGGAGAAGGGAGGGGGGAGGAGGCCGAGGCCTGGTCTGACGGGACGCGCGTTGGGAGGGAGGCCGAGTCCGTCTCGTTCTTGCCCGGGAAATGCCGAGGAGAGGCGGAGGCTTCGGCCTTCCTCCCCGGGAGGGTGGGCTTGGCTGGGACTCCCCTCCGCGGAAGGGACGAAGCCGTGACCCGCCTCTCCTCCCCCCCTTCGCCCCTGCAGGAGGACGGGCCAGCCCGGCGGAGGACGGAAGGAAGGAAGGAAGGAGGCGCCGCCCGGGAGGAGAGGAGGCCCCGCGGAGCAGCCCCGGGAGGAGACGGCGGGGAAGGCCCGGCAGGGATGAGCCGAAGGGGACTCCGGGAAAGGAGGCCGCCCGGAGGGAGAAGCGGGGAGCAGGAAACGGGCGGAGACCCCGAGACGGGCCTGGAGGGCGAAAGATTCAGAAAACGCTACAGAATCCAGGAAGGAGGAGAGAAATATGAATGTCCAGAATGTGGAAAATCCTCCATATCAAATGCAGATCTTAAAAAGCATCTAAGAATCCACACTGGAGAGAAACCATTTAAATGTCTGGAGTGTGGAAACAGCTTCAGTCAGACGGGACACCTTTATGCGCATCAAAGGATCCACACAGGAGAAAAACCACATAAATGCCTGGAATGTGGAAAGTGCTTCAGTCAGGCGGGACACCTTGATAGACATCAAAGAATCCACTCGGGAGACAAACCGCATAAATGCCTAGAATGTGAAAAATCTTTCAAAACAAATGACTATCTTCAAAGGCATGTAAGAATCCACTCAGGAGAAAAGAAATATCAGTGCCAGGAATGTGAAGAATCCTTTAAAAGAAATGGAGATCTTAAGAAGCATCTAAGAATCCACACTGCAGAGAAACCTTATGGATGCCTGGAGTGTGGAAAGAGCTTCAGTCTGAGGGGAAACCTTTATAAACATCAAAGGATCCACATTGGAGAGAAACCATTTACATGCCTGGAATGTGGAAAGAGCTTTTATAGTAAAGGCTCTTTAGATAGACATAAAAAGAATCACACTGGAGAAAAAACATATGAATGCTTGGAATGTGGAAGGAGCTTCAACAGGGCGGGAACTCTGTATAGACATCAAAGCATTCACACAGGAGAAAAACCATATAAATGTCTGGAGTGTGGAAAGAGTTTTAACCAGAGAGGAAACCTTTATAAACATCAAAGGCTCCATTTAGGAGAGAAACCATATAAATATCTGGAGCGTTAAAGGGGCTTTAGTGGACAAGCTTTTATACATATCAAAGACTCAGTTCAGGAGAGAAATCATATCAATGTCTATGTGTAGAAAGAGATTCTGTGAGAAGGGATTATAAGCATCAATCCACTCGGGAGAGAAAACATACAAATGCTTTGACTGTGGAAAGAGCTTTATTGTTGACGGACATCTCCGTGGACATTAATGGATTCACATGGAGAAAAAAAGCTAAATATCTCTGCGTGTGGAAAGACCTTCAGTCACAAAGGTGCCAGTAAAATAACAATAGCATTTAGATATATATGCCTCTCCATTGTGCTTTACTGCGCACTCTGGGAGATTTACAAGGTAAGCATTATTTGCATATTGCTGGCAACAATCTGAGTCCTCATTTCACACCCTCAGAAGGATGGAAAGCTGAGACAAGGGTTGAGCGCTGTCAGAATTGAACTCCAGGCTGTGGACTGTTTGGGTCACCAGAACTCCTTAAAATGTGATTGATGAAATGCAAAAGGGCTTCTCAAGGGCTAAGAAGCTACTTGAATATTTATCACAGATCTAATTACAGCTCAGTAAGACAGGTGTGAACTCTTCATTGCCATCCCAACCTTTGTGTGTCAGCATGAGTACATACCGAGTATGAGCCAAGGTGGCACAGCAGTTAGAGTGCAGTACTGCAGGCCACTTTAGCTGACTGTGTTCAGCAGGTCAGCGGTTCAAATCTCACCGGCTCAAGGTTGACTCAGCCTTCCATCCTTCTGGGGTAGGTAAAATGAGGACCCAGATTGTTGGGGGCAATGTAAATGTATATATATATATACATTGCTTACTGGTGTACACCGCTTAGAGAGTGCTTGCACTTAAAGCGGTATATAAGTCTCATAAATAAATAAATAAATAAATACTGTATTCTCAGCCCAAACATTCAGGAGTAAGTAATGGACAGCACCATTTTACCATTCCCTTTATTGCTACACTCTGTTTAATGATTGTGCTGTTCTGTGATGCCTAATAGTGGAATTTGAATAGCCTTACACACTTTTCAAAGGGTCAGTAATCTTATGAGCACCAGATTATCCAGTTCCACAAATTTGAATCACAATTTCTTCTGAGTGGTGAGTGCAATAATGTAGTTATAAAATAGGTAGGCCGTAAAGTTTGCCTTAAACCAGAGCTTTTCAACCCGTGGTTTGCATCTCATTGATGGTACTTTGGCACCTGGCATGTGTTAACGACCGTCCTAGAGAAGTAGTGAGAGGGGAGGAATGAGCTGAAGCGGTGGTAGCGCCCCACAAGCTCCAGGGAGAGAGATCCAGAGGCACCAGGATGAGCTCCAGCTGATCGGCGCTTCTGGAAGCTGGTGGTGCCCAAAGGAGAAAAAGGGGGGGGAGAGAGCTTATAAAAGGAGGTTTTGGTGGGAAAGGCCAGTAAAGGGCTGTCCCCACCCATCCCCCTGGGCTTGTGAAGAGGCGTTGAGTGTTCGGCCCTACTGACCGCTGAGAAAGAAAAAAGGTAAGACAAGGGCTTGTTTCCCCCTCGACACCAGCATTCATGCGCTCGTCGCCTCCTCTGTGCACCCCCAGGTGGTGGGGCAGAGATGCGGGGGGTTTCGCTGACTTTAGGGCTGTCCCTTAGATCTAAGGCTGACCGCCTTTTGGCTTTGATGGCCCTTGCCGGTAGATCAACGCCATGTCTGCTCGTTGACCGAGCCTTGCAGCCACTAGACTTCCCTTTCACTGGGATCGCCCCTGCCTGTGTGGGATAGCTACTGCAGCGCTGGCAATCTCTCCTCCTTCCATCATCCATTCCTAAGCATGGAGGAAGGAAAGAGAAGCAGGGGAGGAAAGGAGCAAGCTGGAAAGGGACTGTATTCTGAGCACTTCTTGGGTTCATTTTTTTTAACTGCCAGAGGCTCCGGGCAGGGGGCTTCCCCCATTTGACCCCTCCCCTGTCATTGTCTCTGTGCCTGAAGGACCTCTGCATGGCTCTCAGCTCGCCTCTCCCAGACCCACGCATGTGTTTCTGTCTGTGTGTGCGCGCACATGCGTGTGGGGGCTCTGACTCCTTGGAGCCCCACGCTGTGACTTTGGGGAGGACAAGAACGGGAGGAGACGAGAGAAGCTGCGATGGGAGCTTCTTAGAACCTTCCACCTGGCTGGGGGCAGGAGCTGAGGGGCGCAGGGCGTGATGCGATTGGTGGCAGGTTGAGAAACAGAAACAAGGACTCCGAAAAGCTTTGTGCCCACCGCATGTGAACACACAAACGTGTGTGGGTCTGGGAGAGGTGAGCTGAGAGCTAGGGGTCAAAATGTGAAGCCACTGCCTGCCTGCTTCCACCGCTGTCCTGAGCCTCTGGCAAGTCATTAAAAGGGCCACCTCTCAGCTAGAACAACGTAAAGGAGGACCCAGCGTGACCCGATGCTCTGTTCACACGACCTGTTTCCCCTCTGCTAGGTGGGCACATCTAGACCCCTGGCATTTTTCAATGGGCTCTGTGGAGGCCAACCTGACCCAGCATAAGACTAGCCAAACTGATCAGCCTGTGCAAATGTGAGGGCTTCCCTTGAGGCTTATTGCAGGGACTCACCTGGGCAGCGCCCACGGGGGGGGGGAACCTTCTTCAGATGGGGGGCTCTCAGTCTGTCCCTGGACATTGTTGGCTGACCTGGGAAGTAAAGCTTGCTTAGGCTTAGTTGGCGCTTGGATGGGGGACCACCGGGAAATGCAAGAGATGCTGTCTAGCACTGGAAAGTTAAAAAAAAGAGAACCAGCTCAGTCTGCAAAAACTACTTCCGAGGTGGCTTACCATCATGGAGTTTATGGTGTGCCTGTGTGGCAGCTTTGGCATCAGGGTGACAAGAGGCCAACAGAGGTTGAACAAGTATTAAGGGGAGAGGTGTTGGAGGGGGTTTCCCCGCTCTGATGCAGTTTTGCAAAGGGGTCGTTGGGAGAGGAGGGGCGGGACAGGTGAAGCTGGGTCTGGGGAGGGAGGTTCTGGTGATGTAGCCAGCTGACTGACCCAACCCTGTTTCCTGCTCCTGTGATACTTTTTGCAGTTATCCTTCCTGACAGCTTGACTGCCTCTACTCCCCAGTCCCAGCACTCAGGGCTAGGACTCCTAAGCGGGCAGAGGGGCTGCCACAGATCCCAGGAACCGACTCAGATCTCTCTCTGCCAGGAGGAACGCAGTGCTAGGAACACCTAAGATCCTGCGCAGAAACTTCAATCTCTCCGGCCTGCGATGAAAGAGTTAGGATTGAGGAAGAGACACACATCCCACCCTCAGGGCATGGATGGATCTTACCTCTCTCCCAAAAATCCCAATGAATGCCCCCCAAAGAGGTAGGAGCATTAGATGTTATACAGCACCCCAAATCTACCCAGTCCAAAGCACCCCGCGAGGCTAGGAAAGCTGGTCCTTAAGTCCAGTTTAGGGCACCGTCTCTTCTCATAGACTCCTTCATGCTCCCCACTTTCCTCCTTCCTCTTTGGCAGGGCAGAACAGGAGGGAAAAAAACCCAAGGAAAACATTTGAATACCAATGTTGAAAGTCAAACAATACATATCCTCCTCTTTCCCCACATGCACGAAAAGGTTCCGGTGTGCAGAGCGAGGAAAATGAGAGGGAGAAGCTCTGAAGAGCCAAACCCCCCAAAAGGCAGGATCGTCCATGAGACCAGAATCGGAATAACAGAAGTAGAAGGGACCTTGTAAATAATATTAATATTATTATTATTAAGGATAATGATGATAATAGAGTTGGAAGGGACCTTGGAGGTCATCTAGTCCAATCCCGTTCAGACAGGAGACCCTATACCATTTCAGACAAATGGTTGTCCGGTCTCTTCTTTAAAACCTCCAGTGATGGAAAAGCCACAGCTTCTAGAGGCAGGTAGTTCCACTGGCTAACTGTTCTCCCTGTCAGGAGATTCCTCCTTCCTTCCCCGGCCAGTCTCCCTCCGTCGCTGCTCCTCCCGCCTTCAGGGGGGGCTTCGGGGAAGAGCGGGGCCCCCTCCTCTTCGGGGCGCCCCCCAGATATGGGAAGGCTGCTCTCACCTCCCCCCCCGCCCTTCTCACCTGCTGTGACCCCGCCCCCGCCCGGGAGAGGGGCTGCCTGGGGGCCGCGGGGGGAGCCCGGTTGGAGCCCCCCAGGGGGAAGAAGGCAGATCCCCCCTCCCTCCCTAGGGAGAGACCCCCAGTGTGGGGAGGGGGAGGGGCAGAGACACAGCCCCGCCGGCCTGGATGGGGGGGGCGGGGGGAGAGGACGGGACCCCAAAACGTGAAAGGGAGCCCCTCGCCTAAACCACATGCTGGATAGACTTCGCGCCTGCGCAGGGGCCGTGTAGCTGATAGCTGTCAGAAAGCAGGACGCCGATTGGACGCAGGGCAGGGCAGGGCAGCGATTGGCAGGAGGACTCCTAAGGGCGCTCCATTCAAAGGAAAGAAGAGCTACCGGCAACAGGCAAAGGGCTGCCAGCGAAGTCCCGCCTCCACTTCCGGAAACCAATAGAACGGAGGCGTCTAATTGATTCGGCCGCGGACTGGCTCGGTGCCAGGTAGAGCGCAAGGGATGCTGGGAGACGCAGTCCCAGAGGCTCTCTGGCGGAGGGAGGGAGGGAGGGGGGAGGCCGAGGCCTGGCCTGGCGGGACGGGCGCTGGGAGGGAGGCCTGCCCGGAAAGTCTCACTGAGAGCCGCCATATGATGATGGCTCGGGGGAAGCGGGACGCCGATTGGTCGCTCTGGGCAGGGCAGCGATTGGCAGGAGGACTCCTCGGGGCGGTCCATTCAAAGGAAAGAGGAAGAGCAACCAGGAAGAGGCCTCGCAGCGAAGTCCCGCCTCCACTTCCGGTATCGAATAGAAATGAAGCGCCCTAATTGATTCATCCACGAGCGTGCTCGAATCCAGGTAGGGCGCAAGGGATGCTGGGAGTGGCCTTCAGAGGGAGGCCGAGGCCTGGCCTGGCGGAACGGTGGTCGGGACGGAGGCAGGCTCCGTGTGCTTCTTCCCGGCGAAATGCCGAGGAGAGGCGGAGGCTCGGGCCTTCCTCTCCGGTAGGGTGGGCAGGCCTGGGACTGCCCTCCGGGGAAGGGGGCGAAACCGTGACCCGCTTCTCCTTCTCCCCTGCAGGAGGACGGGCGAGCCCGGCGGAGGAAGGAAGGAAGGAGGCGCCGCCCGAGAGGAGAGGAGGCCCCGCGGAGCAGCCCCGGGAGGAGACGGCGGGGAAGGCCCGGCAGGGATGAGCCGAAGGGGACTCCGGGAAAGGAGGCCGCCTGGAGGGAGAAGCGGGGAGCAGGAAACGGGCGGAGACCCCGAGACGGGCCTGGAGGGCGGAGGGTCCTTCGGGACAGGCGGAAGACTCAAGAAACGCCACAGAATCCACGAGGTCGGAAGGAAATATGAATGCCCGGAATGTGGCAAATCCTTCAAAACAAAAGGAAATCTTGAAATCCATCTAAGAATCCACTCAGGAGAAAAGCCATTTAAATGCCTGGAATGTGGAAAGAGCTTCAGTCAGAGAGGAAACCTTTATAAACATCAAAGGATCCACACTGGAGAGAAACCACATAAATGCCTGGAGTGTGGAAAGAGCTTCAGTCAGAGCAGCAGCCTTTATGTACATCAAAGGATCCACACAGGAGAAAAACTATATAAATGTCTTGAGTGTGGAAAAAGCTTCAATCTGAGGAGCACCCTTTATATACATCAAAAGATCCACACAGCAGAAAATCGGTATAAATGCCTGGAGTGTGGAAAGAGCTTCATTCATCTGGGAAAACTTTATACACATCAAAGAATCCACACTGGAGAGAAACCATTTAAATGCCTGGAGTGTGGAAAGACCTTCACTCAGAACAGCACCCTTTATGCGCATCAAAGGATCCACACAGGAGAAAAACCACATAAATGCCTGGAGTGTGGAAAGAGCTTCAGTCAGGCCGGACACCTTGATAGACATCAAAGAATCCACTCAGGAGAGTCACTGCATAAATGCCTGCAATGTGAAAAATCTTTCAAAAGAAATGACCATTTTCAAAGACATCTAAGAATCCACTCAAAAGAAAAGAAAGGAGAAAAGAAATATCAGTGCCAGGAATGTGAAGAATCCTTTAAAAGAAATGGAGATCTTAAGAAGCATCTAAGAATCCACACTGGAGAGACACCATATGAATGCCCGGAGTGTGGAAAGAGCTTCAGTCTGAGGGGAAACCTTTATAAACATCAAAGGATCCACACTGGAGAGAAACCATTCAAATGCCTGGAATGTGGAAAGAGCTTTTATAGTAAAGGCTCTTTAGATAGACATAAAAAGAATCACACTGGAGAAAAACCATATGAATGCTTGGAATGTGGAAGGAGCTTCAACAGGGCGGGAACTCTGTATAGGCATCAAAGCATTCACACAGGAGAAAAACCATATAAATGTCTGGAGTGTGGAAAGAGTTTTAACCAGAGAGGAAACCTTTATAAACATCAAAGGCTCCATTTAGGAGAGAAACCATATAAATGCCTGGAGCGTTAAAGGGGTTTCAGTGGACAAGCTTTTATACATATCCAAGCCTCAGTTCAGGAGAGAAATCATATCAATGTCTATGTGTAGAAAGAGATTGTGTGAGAAGGGATTATAAGCATCAATCCACTCGGGAGAGAAAACATACAAATGCTTTGACTGTGGAAAGAGCTTTATTGTCGACGGACATCTCTGTAGACATTAAAGGATTGACATGGAGAAAAAAAGCTAAATATCTCTGCGTGTGGAAAGACCTTCAGTCACAACCGTGCCAGTAAAATAACAATAGCATTTATTTATATAGCCTCTCTATAGTGCTTTACAGCGCACTCTGGGAGATTTACAAGGTAAGCATTATTTGCATATTGCCCGCAACAATCTGAGTCCTCATTTTACATCCTCAGAAGGATGGAAGGCTGAGACAAGGGTTGAGTGCTGTCAGAATTGAACTCCAGGCTGTGGACTGTTTGGGTCACTAGAACTCCTTAAAATGCGATTGATGAAATGCAAAAGGGCTGTTCAAGGGCTAAGAAGCTACTTGAATATTTATCACAGATCTAATTACACCTCAGTAAGACAGGTGTGAACTCTTGCCCTACATTTTTCATCTCAACCTTTGTGTATCAACATGAGTGTGTTGATACACAAACACTCAAGAGTAAGTAAACTTATGGACAGCACTATTTTACTATTACCTTTTTTGCTACACTCTGTTTAGTGACTGTGTTAGTCTGTGATGCCAAATAGTTGAATTTGAATAATGTTACACACTTTTCAAGGGTGATCTTATCAAAACAAGTGTATTCTATTCCGCGAACTCAAATCACAATTTCTTCTGAGTTGTCAGCGGAATAATGTTGCTTTAAAACAGGCAGGCCATACGGTTTCCCTTAAATAATTTCAGTGATGAACGACTAAACAACAGGTAATCCTTGAGGTATGACGGATCATTAGTGACCGTTCAAAGTTACAACACAGCTCCCAAAAGCCCTGTATAACCATGATTCGAAGATAAGAATTTTACAAAAGTCATCCTGTCATTCTTGCTTTCGAGTGACCGGGCAAATTCAAGACTTTGCAGAGCCACTGAAGAATGCCCACGTATCTCTCCATCCCCATATCCTTGCTCTGTCAGATCCCCAAATGCATGGGCCTGTTTCCCCCCCCCCCACTCCTCACAATGCCTTGTTTATCTTCCAGAGATCTGCAAAATTCAGCATTATAGGTTGCTCTTGCTGGGCCACGTGGAGCAGCCTTTGCAAACTGACTTCCATAAAGCAGAATTTCCTCCACCTTCTGCGTTGGTGCATGGCCTCTCCAAACAGGATAATGAGGCACAGTTTGTGCTTTGCAAGTTTCTGTATTTCCAGTGGAGAAACTAGAGTCTTTTGCAGTGAGAAGGAGAACAGACGATGAAGAGTGAAGAGTTAAAAGGGTGATGCAGAGGGAGAGGGAAGAGCAACTTTGCCTTGAAGGTCAGGTTTCAAACAGGGCAAAGCAGCTCCCTCTGCATCGCCCTTTTAACACTTCACCCTTCATTGCCTGTTCTCCTTCTCACTGCTACAGGGTCTTGTTTCTCCCCAGGAAAAAGAGAAACCGCAGAGCACAAACTGTGGCTTATTATCCTGTTTAGAGTTTAACAGGCCACGGAGAAAGGGAGAAATTCTGCAGATCTCCAGAAGGTAAGCAAGACATTGTGAGGGGTGGAGATAGCTGTAGAGATCGCAAGGAAAGGAAGCAGAAGACGTTGGTATCTCATGGGGTGGGGGAAATCCATGGCATGCACCCCGTGCACATTGAACGTTTAATGCAGCGGTTCTCAACCTGTGGGTCGGGACCCCATTTGGGGTCGAATGACCATTTCACGGGGGTCACCAAACAACACAGTCCGCCATTTTTTCCCCCCTTTTCCTTAGCTGTGCTACTCCCTTTTATTCTATTGGCTTTTGAAAGCCAATAGAATAGACTCTCTTGAATAGAGTCTAATTTTATTGGCTTTCAGAAGCCAACAGGAATTGTCCAGGCTGTCTCTGCCCTGCTGAGCCCGCCCAAAGTCCCATTCTGCAAACGGGGCTGCACCAATTGAGTAGTCCTCGACTTACGACCAGTTGGGGGTCGCGGCATTAAAAAGGTTGAGAACCACTGGTTTAACGTCTGCATTGGGGCGATCCAGGGTGTGGGCTCTTTCACTTAACGAGGTTCCATTAACATCCTCCATCCTTGCGACCGAAATGGGCCGCCTACATTACTGTCATAAGTCGAGGATTTCCAGAATCAGAGCTTCAGCCTCGCCTAGTGCCTAGATCCCCGACGAGCAGCGGGAGGAAGATGATGATGAAGGCAAAATTGGAGTGTAAAGTGGAGGCCAGCAAGGGTCTCGGAGTGGAGGTTGGTGCAGGCAACCCTGCTCAAGATGGCTGGGCTTTCTTGGAGTGTAGTGAGCATTTCCCATCATAGCACTTTGCTGGCCTGGGCTAAGACTGGGCTTTGTGCTGCAGTTCAGTGGCTGTTTCAGCCCCGGAGCCGTTTGGCCTTCCAAGAAGCCCCTGAGCTGCGCATTATTTCCCGTCTCTCCCACCCCTTCCTGAGCTGGATCTGCACTATGGCACCTCCCTTGCTCCAACTCGTGGAGGGGATGATGTCTGTGTTGCAGGAATACATTCCTTGCGGAGGGCCGAGAAACGGCTTTCTTGCACTTATTTGCACTTTCTTGTAACTTGTATAGTTTTATCGTAACCTTGTAATATAGAAGCTTTCTGCTTTAGCAGAAATTGTAGGGTTGAAATTGTCCCTTTTCGCCCACAGCCTCATTTGAACCTTCTTTTAATGCCATGCTCATTTCAGTGGTTATGCTTAATATTATGGGAGGTTGTTGTCCCATGTCTCTCACGGCAAGGCTTTTGAATCATTTCACAAAGTGTAGCACTTTCAGAACATGACAATATTTGAGGACCACCAGTGCTTAACAAGGTGTCAAAAACATGATGACTAAAAAAAAGGGCGGGGGATTTTGGGTTTTACTGACTAGATTCAGTAGTTGTTCTAGAAATGGCTAGTTAATAATAATATGGAAAAGTAAAAAGATGAGGTTCAATGTTAATGCTTCCCTCTACTGCAGTGGCTCTCAACCTGTGGGTCGGGACCCCATTTGGGGTCAAATGACCATTTCACGGGGGTCGCCAAACAACGCAGTCCGCCATTTTTTTCTCCCTTTTCCTTAGCTGTGCTACTCCCTTTTATTCCATTGGCTTTTGAAAGCCAATAGAATAGACTCTCTTGAATAGAGTCTAATTCTATTGGCTTTCAAAAGCCAATAGGAATTGTCCAGGCTGTCTCTGCCTTTCTGAGCCCGCCAAAAGTCCCATTCTGCAAACGGTGCTGCACCAGTTGAGTAGTCCTCGACTTACGACCGGTTGAGTAGTCCTCGACTTACGACTGGTTGGGGGTCGTGGCATATAAAAGGTTGAGAACCACTGTTCTACTGCAACAGAGGAAGTCTGTTCTTTTTCCCTTCTCCCCCTCCCTCCCCCCCTTTTTCCTCCCCACTGTGTCCGACTATTTGCTTTTGTATTTTTGTATTTTATTCTATAATCTAATAAAATATTACAAACTGTAGGAAAAAAAAGTTTTAATTTCTTCGGTGGCAGTTCCTTTGCTGAATCCCTTTCCCTTTGCACTGGCAAATGTACGATGAGTTTATCCATGTTTATTAATATGCACCGCTACCAGCTAGCTCAGGGGGTCTTCAAACTTGACACTTTTAAGACTTCTGGACTTCCACTCCCAGAATTCCTCAGCCATCATGGCTGGTTGAGGAATTCTGGGACTTGAAGTCCACAAGTCTTAAAGTTACTAATTTTGCAGCTTGCTGGTCGGCCCTTCTTCCTCTCTCTTCTTCCTCCATGTCTTCTGAGCTCTCCTTCCACAGTGTAGTAAGAAGGCACCCCCCATTCCCTTCACTGTACCCCTAAAGACACAGGAACCAAGCACAAAGTAAGAAAGGCTGGCAAAAGCAGAACAGAGCGAGACTGCTGGCGAACAGCTGGAAAAAAAGGAACAAAGTAGGCGACAGTCTACAATGGGGTTGGGGAGTCCTTTAATGACTTGTGGACTCCCAACTCCCAGAATTCCTGAAGCATCCAAATAGTGTCCATGATGGCTCAGGAATTCTGGGAGTTGACGTCCACAAGTCATTAAAATGCCATCGTTCCCCACTTCTGACCTGGAGCAGTGGACCCAGTGGTACCCGAGGCTGTTCACACGACCTGCTTCCCCGCTCCTGAGTTTGCACATCCAGACCCCTGGCCTGGTTCAACAGGCTCTTTGGAAGCCAACTTAACCCGGCAGAAGACTAGCCAAATTTAACAGGCCATGGAAATGTGAGGGCTTCCCTTGCCATTGAGGCCAGCATCCACCAGGGAACCTTCTCTTGCTGGGGGATTCTCAATGTAGCTCCGGACATCATTGCCTGACCTGGGAATTAATGCTTGTTTAGGCTACGTTGGGACTTGGATGGGGGACCACCAGGAAATGCAAGAGATGCTCTCCTGCACTGGAAAATTAAAAAGAAGAACCAGCTCAGTCTGTATCGCTGTTCAGAAAATGCCTCTATGGTGCTTGTGAAGACAGGCTGTTTGGTTTCACTTGAGGATGGTTCATCTGCTCAGTTGACTAATGGCTGCTCTGGGAAAAGGTTAATTGAGGTCCAGCCTCTTTAGCACCTGGAGCAGGGCAGGGACTGGAATTGGAAAGGCAGCATTGGCCCATTGCTTACATGTTGCCCCCAAGAGAGCTGCAGACCCCTCCCCTTTCTAACAGCACCACCCAGAGATTTCTGTGCCCCACCCAACAAACGTTCCATACCTCTTTGAGGAGGGGGCTGTGCTCCTGGGCTGGGGGGTCAGGCAGGTGGTTGAGCCACAGGGAGCTTTGGTGTGCAATGTAGTGTTTTGCCCAGGTGTACCTGTAGATTTGGGCTGCTCTCCAAATGTAATAAAAATCAATTAGCACCTCCCCACCCAATTCCCTGCCCTTGGATACCCCAGAGAACCACTTTGAAACGTCCCTGATGGAACTTGGTTTCTATCTCAGGTATGTAGGACACAATCTGCCCAAAGTATTTCCAAGGTGGCTTATCATCATGGAGTCATGACAGTGAAATGCTCGGGGTGCAACAACCATCATGTGATTGCTGATTAAGTTGGGCTGGTTCTCCAACTTGGAGGGGTGAAGTTGAGCATGCAAGCTCTTCCACTGATTAATTGTCCTCCCTGTTAAGAAGTTTCTCCTTAATTCCAGGTTGCTTCTCTCCTTGATTAGTTTCCATCCATGATTTGTTGTCTTGCCTTCTGGTGCTCTGGAAAATAGGTTGGCAACCTTTCTGGAAACCCCTCAAACATTTGCAAGCTGTCATATCCCTAGTCCTCCTTTTCTCTAGCCAAACCCAAATCCTGCAACCATTTTTCATATGTTTTGGAATCCAGGCCTTTAGTCATCTTGGTTGCTCTTCTTTGCACTTTTTTTTTAAGTCTCATGCCCATGGAAGTGGATAGGTAAGTTGGGGGGGGGGAGAAAGTTAACTTGCAAATGTGCAGGCGGATAAGCAGATGTATTGTTTTGCCCGTCAGCTGCAGGAAGAAGAGATGAGATGAGATAGATGCCAGCCCAGAGATGGAGGGCTATGTCTCAGGGCACGCTGGCCAGGGCAGCAGCTGTAACAGGAGACCCCTCCAAAGGGGGGATAGGAGGACAATTTGTGCCTGTGTGGCAGCTTCGGCATCAGGGTGCCAAGAGGCCAACAGAGGTTGAACAATCCAAGTATTAAGGGGAGAGGCGTTGGAGGGGGTTTCTCCTTGTGCTGCAGTTTTGCAAAGGGGTCCTTGGGAGAGAAGGGGCAGGACAGGAGAAGCTGGGTCTGGGGAGGGGGGGGGCTGTTAATGCTGCTAGAGGGGAGGGGTCAGTGCTAGAGGGGAGGGGTCTGACTGACCAACCGTTTGCTCCTGTGATATATTTTGCAGTTATTGTTTATGACAGCCTGATATATTATTGACCCCAAACTACACACTTATGACCATAATCATCTAGCCAAGCATTACTGTAGCTAACCTTTGTTGTTTTTACCATGTTTTATGTCATATAGGAGTGGCCAAAAAAGTGTATTTTTCAGGTTTGATGGCTAATAACCCTACTTTTTTCTTTTTTGGGAGTAGTACGATAAAATTATATATCAATGGAAAGATAATTTCATCACGAATGAGCACGAGTGTTTAGAGAACCAATCAGGTGACATCTTGTTTTGGCCATGAGCCAGTCAGATCACAGTAGGATTCAGTTATTGATGTCCTGTATGGAAGCTGAGAGGAGGACATTTGCAAGTGTGCGATGTGATTGCCATCAAACTGGTTGTGGTTTTTTTTTTTTCCTTTCATTTAGTGAGCTTGTAAAAACGTAATAAAATTAAGGTCATGGTGCAAAGAGTTGAGTGCGATGTAAAATAGTATTATTAAGCGAACGAGGCTACAGTTATAAAGAAATTAGAAGAAAAATGGGTGGAAACTTAACCAAGGCTGGCATTTCTCCTGTACGCTTTTCCCAAAAGGTGTCCACAATGTTGGCCACGACTGTAGTAGTAGAGACCCCAGGAAGCAACTCAACAGCTCTCTCTGCCCAGAGGAAGGCAGTGCCAGGAAGGGCCAAGGTCCTGCGCAGAAACTTCAACCTTTCCGGCCTGCGATAGAAGAGACAAGATTGAGGTAAAGTGGAATAATAAAGAATAATGAAGAATAAAGTGGAATAATAACAACGATAATGAAAAATCACTAAAAGAAAAATGATGCACAGTTACTGGAATAAAGCTGTGTAAGCAATCTGTGACTAACCAAATGCGCAGGGCATTTAGCAAAACTCTCTTCACTGTGAGAAACTAACCGAAGGGAATACAATGTAGATTTCGGTGTGGTTCTATGTTCCTGAGAAATAGAAAGTAAAAAAGTGTAGTTTGAACCTACCCCCTTTGTTCGGAATTGCTGGTTGTGAGTTGCTTTTGAACCTTGCGCAAAATAAATCTCTCTGCTAACACCCTCTGGAATGCATAAAAGTCTTATGTTTTTCTACAAGAGAGGAAGAGGCACACCTACCACCCTCGGTATGTGTGTGTGTGTGTGTGTGTGGACTCTTCTCCCAAAGCAAAGCCTAAAAAGGGGGAGCAGCCTTGGATCTTATAGGGCACCCCACATCTCCCCCAGTCCGAAGCCCCCCCCCAGAGGCTGGGAAGGGTCTCCTCTCCTTCCTCCTGGCAGGGCAGAGCGGGGGGGGGGGACCCCAAGAAACACCTTTGGGAAAAGCCTTCTTGGAGGAACCCCCCCCCCCAGCCTAGCAATGCAGGCGAGGCAACGGGAAGGAGCGCAGAGCGAGGCCAGCGAGGGGCAGAAGCTCCGCAGAGCGAAGCCCAAAGCAAGGCGGGGTCCTCCCTGAGAGGCGGGAGAGGGGCTGCCTGGGGGCCGCGGGGGGAGCCTGGCCGGAGCCCCCCGGGAGGGAGGAGGGAGGCGCCCCCCCCCCCGATTTCGCCTGCTTGGATGCCCCCAGATCCCCCCGCCCTGCCTAGGGAGAGACCCCCGATGGGGAGGGGGAGGAGAGGGAGGGGCGGAGACTCAGGGAGGCCCCTCAGCTCCGCCGGCCTGCATGCTGGGGGGGGGCTGAGCGGGGGGGGGAGAAGACGGGACCCCCAAAGGTCAAAGGAAGCCGCTCGCCTCACCTCCGCGGGGGGGGGGAATACAAAGCGAACCTTCCCTACTGCGCAGGCGCCAACTGGCTAGTTCGATGATGGACGACGCCGATTGGTCATTCTGGGGACCGCAGCGAGTGGCAGGAGGACTCCTCGGGCCGGTCCATTCAAAGGAAAGAGGAAGAGCAACCAGGAAAAGATCTCGCAGCGAAGTCCCGCCTCCACTTCCGGGAACGCATAGAACTGAAGCGCCGTAATTGATTCATCCACGGACGGGCTCGGACCCAGGTAGGGCGCAAGGGATGCTGGGAGTGGCAGTCCGAGGGGCTCTCTTGCGGAGGGAGGGGGGAGGGGGGAGGCCGAGGCCTGGTCTGGCGGGACGGGCGCTGGGAGGGAGGCCTGCCCGGAAAGTCCCACGGAGAGGCCGGGGCGTCGGCCTTCCTCCCCGGGCGGGCCTGGGACTCCCCTCCGGGGAAGGGACGAAGCCGTGACCCGCCTCTCCTCCCCCCCTTTCGCCCCTGCAGGAGGACGGGCGAGCCCGGCGGAGGAAGGAAGGAAGGAAGGAGGCCCTGCGGAGCAGCCCCGGGAGGAGACGGCGGGGAAGGCCCGGAAGGGATGAGCCGAAGGGGACTCCGGGAAAGGAGGCCGCCTGGAGGGAGAAGCGGGGAGCAGGAAACGGGCGGAGACCCCGAGACGGGCCTGGAAGACGGAGGGTCCTTCGGGACAAGCGGAAGACCCGGGAATCCCCGGAGAATCCAGGAGGGAGGAGAGAAATATCAGTGCCCGGAATGTGGAAAATCCTTCAAATCAAATGAAGTTCTTAAAAAGCATCTAAGAATCCACACTGGACAGAGACCGTATGGATGCCCGGAGTGTGAAAAGAGCTTCAGTCAGAGGGAAAACCTTTATAAACATCTAAAAATCCACACAGGAGAAAAAGTGCATAAATGCCTGGAGTGTGGAAAGAGCTTCAGTCAGAGGGGAAGCCTTTATGCACATCAAAGAATCCACACACGAGAAAAAGTGCATAAATGCCTGGAGTGTGGAAAGAGCTTCAGTCGGAGGGGCAGCCTTTATATGCATCAAAGGATCCACACAGGAGAAAAACTGTATGAATGCCCAGAATGTGGAAAGAGGTTCAATCTGAGCCGGACCCTTTTTACACATCAAAGGCTCCACACAGAAGAAAAACCGCATAAATGCCTGGAGTGTGGAAAGTGCTTCAGTATGAGAGGAAATCTTTATAGACATGAAAGAATCCACACAGGAGAGAAACCATTTAAATGCCTGGAATGTGGAAAGACCTTCGCTCGGAACGGCGCCCTTTATAAACATCAAAGAATTCACACAGGAGAAAAAACATATACATGCCTGGAGTGTGGAAATCACTTCACTCAGGCAGGACACCTTGATAGACATCAAAAAATCCACTCAGGAGAAAAACCATTTAAATGCCTGGAGTGTGAAAAGAGTTTCAATACTAGAGGATGTCTCGAGAGACATCAAATGTTTCACACTGGTGAAAAACCGTATGAATGCTTGGAGTGTGGAAAGAATTTTACTCTGGTTAAACAGCTTCGTAGACATCAATGGATTCATAGAGGAGAAAAACCGTATATATGTCTGGTGTGTGGAAAGAGCTTCAGTTGGAAATGCAGCTTTTATAGACATCAAAGAATCCACTCAGGAAAAAAACCATATAAATGCCTGCAGTGTGGAAAGAGCTTCACACAGAACATCAACCTTAATGAACATCAAAAAATCCACTCAGGAGAGAAACAACTGTATAAATGCCTGGAGTGTGGAAAGAGCTTCAGTTACAAGAGCAGTGTTTATAGACATCAAATAATCCACTCAGGGGAAAAACCATTTAAATGCGTGGAGTGTGGAAAGAGTTTCAATACTAGAGGAAGTCTCAATAGACATCAAAGGATTCACACGGGAGAAAAACCATATGAATGCTTGGAGTGTGGAAAGAACTTTACTCTGGGTGAACAGCTCCGTAGACATCAAAAGATACACAAAGGAGAAAAACCATAGAAATGCCTGAAGTGTGGAAAGAGCTTCAATGAGAGCTGCAGCCTTGATAAACATCAAAGAATCCACTCAGAAGAAAAACCTTATGAATGCCTGGAGTGTGGAAAGGGCTTCATTTGGAAGAGCAGCCTTTATAAACATCAAAAAATCCACTAAAGAGAAAAACTGAAGTGGGAGGGTTTCTGGTCAACCACCTATCAGCTGTTTCTGTTGTGCTCAGGAACTAAATTGCCTCCAATTTTGCTTGGAGCCATTGCAGTTACTTTAAAAAAAAAAACACCTGCTGCTAGCCAGCTCAGGATTCTTTAAGTAACTGCCCAGAGAGGAGAGGGGGGTAGAATTGTTGCTTTAAAAAAAAACTTCTCACTAATTCACCTAAGAGAACTCTTCGCTTGCAATTGTGACAGAGCTAAAAATGGCCGCGACTGCGGTATAGACTGAAACCAAGTGACATGGCTACACAGGCCTCTTTTTGGTCATAATTTTGAAATTCTATTGTAAGTAGCCTTTCTGAATTCATTCGTTTTTGTGAAAACTCGCTAAATAAACGCTAGTACCTGGGGAATTACCTGTAAATGCCTCCAGTGTGGAAAGAGCTTTACTGAAGATTTAAAGATCTCCGTAAACAAAGAATTTACACAGGAGAGAAACCCCATGAAAGCCTGCAATCTGGAAGGAGCTTCAACAGGGCAGGATCTCTGTATAGACATCAAAGCATTCACACAGGAGGAAAAGTATATAAATGTCTGGAGCGTGGAAGGAACTTTAGTCAGAGGGCAAACCTTTACAGGCATCAAAGACGCCATTCAGGAGAGAAATCATATAAACGCCTGGAGCGTGGAAAGAGTTTCAGTGGACAAACTATTATATATATTAAAGACTAGAGATTTCTCTAGGAAAGAAATCATATCACTGTCTTTGTGTAGAAAGGGATTCTGTGAGAAGGGAATTCTTTATAAGCATCAATCCACTCGGGAGAAAAAGCATACAAATGTCTTGAGTGTGGAAAGAGCTTTATTGTCAGTGAACACCTCCATCGACATCAAAGGACTCACATGGGAACAAAATTCTAAATATGCCTGTGTGTGGAAGCTCCTTTGATCACAGCAGTGCCACTAAAATGACAATAGTGCTTTACAGTGCACTCTGGTAGTTTACAAGGTAAGCATTATTTGCATATAACCCCCAATAATCCGGGTCCTCATTTTTCCATTCTTAGGATGGAAGATTGAGTCAAGGCTTGAGCACTGTCAGAATCGAACAGGTTTTGGACAGTCTGCCTGCAATACTGCACTTTTAACACTCTTTAAAATGCAGAAGGCCTTCTCAAGGGCTAAGAAGCTACTGGAATATTTATCACAGATCTAATTACAGCTCAATAAGACAGTTGTGAACTCTTGCCCTTCGTTGCCATCTCAACCTTTGTGTGTCAATGTAAGTGTATATGTATTCTCAGCCCAAACATTCAGGAGTAAGTAAACTTATGGACAGTACCATTTTACTATTCCCTTTATTGCTACACTCTGCTTAATGATTGTGCTATTCTGTGATGCCAAATTTGAATACTCTCACACACTTTTCAAAGGTTATGTAATCTTATGAGCACAAGTGTACTGTATTCTCAGCTCAACCACTCAATATTAAGTAAACTGTAGAATAGAACAGAACAGAATGCAGGAGAGAAGGAATGGAATGGGAATAGAATAGAATATAGAAAATGGAGTAGATAGAATAAGGAATAGAATATGGAACAGAGAGGAGTGGAGTGGAATGGAAAAGAATAGAATAGAGTAGAACAGAACAGAATGGAACCTTGTAGGTTTTCTACTCCAGCTCCCTCCTCAAGCAGGAGAACCTATACTATCTCAGATTTACTGTTCCTTTTATTGCTACAGTCTGTTTAATGATTGTGCTATTTTGTGTTGCCTAATAGTTGAATTTGAATAATCTTACTTTTCAAGGGGCATGTAATCTTAAGAGTACAAGTTTATTGAATCCCACAAACTCGAATCACAATTTCTTCGGACTGGTGAGCGGAATAATGTGGCTGTAAAACAGGTCGGCCGTACAGGTCGCCTTAAACAACTTCAGCAGTGAAGTACTAAACTACAGGTAATCCTCGAGGTATGACAGATCATTTAGCGGCACTACAGACCTCCCAAAAACCCTGTATGACCATGATTCGAAGATAAGAATTTTACAAAAATTCAAAACTGCAGAGACACTGAAGCATGTCCACCTATCCCCACCCCCCATGCTTGCTCTGCCAGATCCCCAAAGGCGTGGGTCTGCTTTGCACCACCCTTCCTGCCCTCACAATGCCTTGTTTACCTTCCGGAGATCTGCAGCCGTTTCCAAAATTACTTCGGAAAAGGAGGAGCTATCTTAGGGGTAGGGAAGGCCTTGGGAGGCTCAAGGCAGCCATCCCTGAGGCACACCATGCACATTTAACATCCCTGCATTCACCTCTACATTCTTTTAACTCTAGGGAAAGCAGATCAATCTCAGGCTAACCTAATTAATGCTATCTCGCTTCTGTAAACCACGCTTGCGCGGGGAAAACACCATTTACCTTAAACAAAAGGAGTCATGTATCTGGATGCAAATGAAAAGGTAATGCCGAAGGAAGTGATGACACGTAACTATTGTTTAACCATTTAAAAGGCAATCACACCACTTCCTTGTCCCTTTGCTGTCTTGTGCTATTGCCATTGAGCAAAACTGTATAAAAACGACTATCCCCCCCCCCCCCCAGGTGTGCTGCCGTTGTGTTGGGAGGCTGATCACCCAGCTGCTTTTCTTGGCAGATTAAAGTTGTTTTTTCCATTTCTGAAGCCTCCATCTCAGTTTCTACTTTGGCTTGTGAGAGTCTCAGATTTTTTTTAATAAGGTTTTATTATTTTCTTCAGAATTACAATCTTTTAACACTTAGTAAACAACATGTCTGGGTTCACATATTTGACATTGCCTTCTTCAATATAAATCTGGTCATTACTACACAGTCCAGTATTATTCCCTGGATCCTCTGTCCTTTCCCATATTTTTTCATTTTCCCCTCATTAAACAATTACTATTCTTGCTACTATTAATGTATACAAAATTAAATATAAACATTTTCATCATATTTTACTGTTATACAAATAACATCAGTTCATAAATCACTCTCCTGTTTTTCATACTCTTGTTAACATTTAGTTTCCCATCAATATCTAAAGTCTTTGTCAGTTATGATTTTCACAATGTTAATTACATTTGAATAACTATCAATTTTATTTCCTAATCCTCTTTTTTCTTTTTTTCTTTTATTGAAAATTTTATAAACTTTTTACAATAAAATACCTCCCCTCCCACCCCATAACCCTCCCCCCTCCTTTCCAGAGCTGGGGAAAAAAAACACATACAAATTAAATGAACATCAATCCACTATACATACATCCCAAAAATTTAAAGTACTTTAACTCCAATACATAGAAACTACAAATCCAACCATACCCATTTTAAACTATAAATTATTCAAAAGCTAAATAATACTTCCTAACCCCATATTTATTCTGTACAAAATTTACCCATCTTTTCCACATCGAGATATCTCTCTCTTGTGAATGGTCTTTCAGATAAGCTGAAATTTTTGCCATTTCTGATAAGTAAGAAACTTTAAGAAACCATTCCTCTATAGTAGGCAAGGAATCCTACTATATGAATCCTTACTACTATTAATGTATACAAAATTAGATATAAACATTTTCATCATATTTTACTTTTATACAAATAACATCAGTTCATAAATCACTCTCCTGTTTTTCATACTCTTGTTAACATTTAGTTTCCCATTAATATTTAAAGTCTTTGCTAGTTATGATTTTCACAATGTTAATTACATTTGAATAACTTATCAATTTTATTCATACTAATCCTCTTATGTTTGTATTTCCTTTGTCAAAAGAAGAAGAAAAAGTGCTATTCCAAATCATATTCATTTTAAAAGACTAATTATATTTCAAAGCCCTAAATTCTTTTAACTATGTTCAAACAAGTATTTAGACATATAATTCTGTCTTTTAAATCTAACTCTTTCTTTGCCAAATAGCTTTCCGTGCCAAGGCAATTAAATTGAAGTGGTCCGAGCCTTGACAAGTGCTGCTCAGCACCCCCACTGCAGTAAAGGTTGAGGGGCTAAAGGCGTAGGTCCATGGATCCAGAATGAAGAAGGTGTCGCCTCCATCCGCCCAGTGGCCAGTCCAATGGCTAGATGAAACTCCGTAAGGTTCCGGCGTCACCCGCTCACCTGTTCCCACCCTTTGGTGATCCAGACAGCCACTCAAACTGCAAACTGGGAGAGAAATTATAAATTAACAATGTCAGCTTCGTATAAAAAAAAATTTAGATAAAATGTTTTATAGATGGCACTTGCCATCAGCAAGACTAGCAAAAATGTTTAAAAATATGTCAGATAGATGCTGGAAATAATAAAGCAAAGGCTTATTAGAAAAAGACACATGCTTGGTTAGAAAAAATATTAGGAGAACATGTTAACTTTAAACCTGAACATTTCTTATTAGGTATAATGCCAGAAAAGATTAACAGACAAAGCTTATATTTAATTTTCCATGTCACTACAGCAGCAAGAATAATCTTTGTGCAATATTGGAAAAATGAAGGAGTACCACCAGAGGAAGAAATAATCAGGAAAATACTGGAATGCGCAGAGATGGATAGATTAACTATGAGATTGAAAGACAAAGAAGAAACAGATTATTATCAAACTTGGGATCTATTTTGTCAATGGCTAGAGGAAAGAACGAAGGATTAGGAACTGAATTGTTATATTCAGCACGTTGGTGGAAAAATTAATATATGTATGTAGGAGAAAATCAAATATTTATTAAAAAAAGATTATGAGACTGAAAGAAAAAGAAGACTCGGGTGGATTATTATCAAACGTGGGATCATTGGTTGGAGGAAAGAAGAAAGGATTAGGAATTAAATATGTATTAGCATGTAAACCCAGACAGCACGTTGGTTGAAAAATAATTATTGTATATATGTAAAAAATGAATTTTTTAAAAAAAGGGGATAGGTAAGATGGGGGGAGGGAGAGTTAACTTGCAAATGTGCAGGCAAATAAGCAGGTCTATTGTTTTGCCAGTGGGCTGCAGAAAGAAGAGGAAATAAGAGAGGTGCCAGCCCAGGGATGGAGGGCTACATCTCAGGGCACGCTGGCCTGGGCAGCAGCTGTAACAGGCGCCCCCTCCAAAGGGGGGATACAACCCCATGATGTATTTTGCAGTTATTGTTAATGACAGCCTGATATATTATTGACTCCAAACTACACACTTATGACCATAATCATCTAGCCAAACATTTCTGTAGCTAACCTTTGTTGTTTTTACCATGTTTTATGTCATTCAGTAGTGGCCAAAATTGCAGAAACCTTTTGGGAAAAGTGCATTTTTGAGATTTGATGGCTAATAATACCACTTTTTTTTGGGAGTACCATAAAATTATATATCAGTGGAAAGATAATTTCATCAAGAATGTAACGAAACAAGGTTTGTTCAATTATCTGTACTTGTATTCTCTGAAAAGGCACAGCTAAATAACCAGAAAAAGGAAGCACAACTTGCTTAGATTGATATCAGGTAGCTTCCCTTCATCTGATTGTTGCCAATGAGCCTGTTTAGAGAATCAATCAGATGTCATCCTGTTCTGCCAATGAGCCAATCAGATCACAGTAGGATCCAGTTATTGATGTCCTGTATGGAAGCTGAGAGGAGGACATTGTGTCAGTGTGTGATGTGATTGCCATCAAACTGGTTGGGTTTTTTTTTTTTTCCTTTCATTTAGTGAGCTTGTAAAAACACAATAAAATTAAAGTCATGGTGCAAAGAGTTGAGTGCGATGTAAAATAGCATTATTAAGCGAACGAGGTTACAGTTATAAAGAAATTAGAAGAAAAATGGGTGGAAACTTAACCAAGGGTGGCATTTCTCCTGTACGCTTTTCCCAAAAGGTGTCCACAATGTTGGCCACGACTGTAGTAGTAGTAGAGACCCCAGGAAGCAACTCAAGAGTTGTCGCTGCCCAGAGGAAGGCAGTACTAGGAAGGGCCAAGGTCCTGTGCAGAAACTTCAACCTCTCCGGCATGAGATGGAAGAATGAAGATTGAGGAAGAGGCACACCTGCCACCCTCGGTGTGTGTGTGTGTTTGTGGATTCTTCTCCCAAAGCAAAGCCTAAAAAGGGGGAGCAGCCTTGGATCTTATAGGGCACCCCACACCTCCCCCAGTCCAAAGCCCCCCGAGAGGCTGGGAAGGGTCTCCTTCCTCCTGGCAGGGCAGAGCGGGGGGGGGGGACCGGAAGAAACACCTTTGGGAAAAGCCTTCTTGGAGGAACCCCCCCCCCCAGCCCAGCAATGCAGGCGAGGCAACGGGAAGGAGCGCAGAGCGAGGCCAGCGAGGGGCAGAAGCCCCGCAGAGCGAAGCCCAAAGCAAGGCGGGATCCTCCCTGAGAGGCGGGAGAGGGGCTGCCTGGGGGCCGCGGGGGGAGCCTGGCCGGAGCCCCCCGGGAGGCAGGAGGCGCCCCCCCAATTTCGCCTGCTTGGATCCCCCCAGTTCCCCCCCCCCGCCCTGCCTAGGGAGAGATCTCGACGGGGAGGGAGGGGCGGAGACGCAGCCCCGGGAGGCCCCTCAGCTCCGCCGGCCTGGATGCGGGTGGGGTTGCCCGGAGGGGGGAGAAGACGGGACCCCAAAGGTCAAAGGGAACCCCTCGCCTCACCTCCGCGGCAGAACGAAGACAACCTTCGCTACTGCGCAGGCGCCAACTGGCTTTTTTTTTTTTGAGGGAGGACGCCGCCGATTCGTCGCTCTAGGGAGGGCAGCGATTGGCAGGAGGACTCCTCGGGGCGGTCCATTCGAAGGAAAGAGGAAGAGCAACCAGGAAGAGCGCTCGCAGCGAAGTCCCGCCTCCACTTCCGGGAACAAACAGAACAGAGGCGCCCTAATTGATTCGGCCGCGGACTGGCTCGGACCCAGGTAGGCCGCAGGGGATGCTGGGAGTCGCAATCCCAGGGGCCCTCTGGCGGGAGGGGGGAGGCCGAGGCCTGGTTTGGCGGGACGGGCGCCCCGTCTCGTTCTTGCCGGGGAAATGCCGATGAGAGGCGGAGGCTTCGGCTTTCCTCCCCGGAAGGATGGGCGGGGCGGGGCTCCCCTCCGGGGAAGGGAGGAAACAGTGACCCGCCTCTCCAACTCCCCCTTCGCCCCTGCAGGAGCCCGGCGGAGGAAGGAAGGGAGGAAGGAGGCGCCGCCCGAGAAGACATGAGGCCCCGCGGAGCAGCCCCTGGAGGGATGAGCCGAAGGGGACTCCGGGAAAGGAGGCCGCCTGGAGGGAGAAGCGGGGAGCAGGAAACAGGCGGAGGGTCCTTCAGAAGAGGCGAGAGACTCGGAAAACGCCACAGAATCCAGGAGGGAGGAAAGAAATATCAGTGCCCGGAATGTGGAAAATCCTCCAAATCAAATGAAGCTCTTAAAAAACATCGAAGGATCCACACTGGACAGACACCGTATGGATGCCCGGAGTGTGAAAAGAGCTTCAGTTGCAAGAGCAGCCTTTATGCACACCAAACAATGCACACTGGAGAGAAACTGCATAAATGCCTGGAGTGTGGAAAGAGCTTCAGTTGGAGGGGCAGCCTTTATAAACATCAAAGACTTCATGCAGGAGAAAAACCATATAAATGCCTGGAGTGTGGAAAGTGCTTCAATGTGAGGGGAAGTCTTTATAGACATGAAAGAATCCACACAGAAGAGAAACCATTTAAATGCCTGGACTGTGGAAAGACCTTCGCTCGGAGCGGCACCCTTTATAAACACCAAAGAATCCACACAGGAGAAAAACCACATAACTGCTTGGAGTGTGGAAGGCGCTTCAGCCAGGCGGGACACCTTGGTAGACATCAAAAAATCCACTCAGGAGAAAAACCATTTAAATGCCTGGAGTGTGAAAAGAGTTTTAATACTAGAGGAAATCTCAAGAGACATCAAATGTTTCACACTGGTGAAAAACCATACGAATGCTTGGAGTGTGGAAAGAAATTTACTCTGGGTGAACAGCTTCGTAGACATCAATGGGTTCACAGAGGAGAAAAACCATATAAATGTCCGGTATGTGAAAAGAGCTTCAGTTGGAAATGCAGCTTTTATAGACATCAAAGAATCCACTCAGGAAAAATACGATATAAATGCCTGCAGTGTGGAAAGAGCTTCACACAGAACATCAACCTTAATGAACATCAAAAAATCCACTCAAGAGAGAAACAACTGTATCAATGCCTGGAGTGTGGAAAGAGCTTCAGTCAGAAGAGCAATGTTGATAGACATCAAATAATCCACTCAGGAGAGAAACAACTGTATAAATGCCTGGAGTGTGGAAAAAGCTTCAGTCAGAAGAGCAATGTTTATAGACATCAAATAATCCACTCAGGAGAAAAGCCATTTAAATGCCTGGAGTGTGGAAAGAGTTTCAATACTAGAGGAAGTCTCAATAGACATCAAAGGATTCACACGGGAGAAAAACCATATGAATGCTTGGAGTGTGAAAAGAGCTTTACTCTGGGTGAAGAGCTCCGTAGACATCAAAAGATTCATGCAGGAGAAAAACCATACAAATGCCTGAAGTGTGGAAAGAGCTTCAATGAGAGCTGCAGCCTTGATAAACATCAAAGAATCCACTCAGAAGAAAAACCTTATGAGTGCCTGCAGTGTGGAAAGGGCTTCATTTGGAAGAGCAGCCTTTATAAACATCAAAAAATCCACTAAAGAGAAAAACTGGAGTGTGGAAAGAACTTTATTTGATGGTGGAAACCTCCCTAAACAAGAAAGGATCCACACTGGAGAAAAACCTTATAAATGGCTGGAGTGTGGAAAGAGCTCTAGTTAGAATGGAAAACTTTAGAAACATTAAAAAAAATCACTTAGGAATGAAGCCCTAAAAAGGCCTAGAATGTGGAATGAGCCTCGGTGAGATGAGCAACTTTTATCTACATCAAAGAATCCATTCAGGAGAGAAATTGCTTATAGGTAGTCCCTGAGGTACGAACCTAAGGGCCAAGCCTGGCCACTTGGTTCGTAAGTCAAAAAAGTCATCAAATGAATCAGACTCAATTTTACAAATTTTTAAAATTACATTCATTAATTAACTCAAATGGCTTGTTAAATGAACGAAGATCTGACTTACTGTTTCCTGGTATAGCTGTCATGTTAACTGAAGTGGGAGGGTTTCCGGCCAACCACCTATCAGCTGTTTCTGGTGCGCTCAGGAACTAAATTGCCTCCAATTTAGCTTGGAGCCATTGCAGTTACTTTAAAAAAAAAAACACCTGCTGCTAGCCAGCTCAGGATTCTTTAAGTAACTGCCCAGAGAGGGGAGGGGGGTAGAGCTGTTGCTTTAAAAACAAACTTCTCACTAATTCACCTAAGACAGTGGTTCTCAACCTGTGGGTCGAGACCCCATTTGGGGTCGAACGACCATTTCACGGGGGTCGCCAAACAACGCAGTCCGCCATTTTTTTCCCCGCTTTTCCTTAGCTGTGCTACTCCCTTTTATTCTATTGGCTTTTGAAAGCCAATAGAATAGACTCTCTTGAATAGAGTCTAATTCTATTAGCTTTCAAAAGCCAATAGGAATTGTCCAGGCTATCTCTGCCCTGCTGAGCCTGCCAAAAGTCCCATTCTGCAAACGGTGCTGCACCAGTTGAGTAGTCCTCGACTTAAGACCGGTTGAGTAGTCCTCGACTTACGACCGGTTGGGGGTCACGGCATTAAAAAGGTTGAAAACCACTGATCTAAGAGAACTCTCGGCTTGCAATTATAACAGCTAAAAATGGCCGCCACTGCGGTATAGACTGAAACTAAGTGACATGGCTACACAGGCCTCTTTTTGGTCATAATTTTGAAATTCTACTGTAAGTAGCCTTTCTGAATTAATTTGTTTTTGTGAAAACTCGCTAATGAAACGCTAGTACCTGGGGAATTACCTGTAAATGTCTCCAGTGTGGAAAGAGCTTTACTGAAGATTTAAAGATCTCCGTAAATAAAGAATTTACACAGGAGAGAAACCCCATGAAAGCCTGCAATCTGGAAGGAGCTTCAACAGGACAGGATCTCTGTATAGACATCAAAGCATTCACACAGGAGGAAAAGTATATAAATGTCTGGAGAGCGGAAGGAACTTTAGTCAGAGGGGAAACCTTTACAGGCATCAAAGACGCCATTCAGGAGAGAAATCATATAAACGCCTGGAGCGTGGAAAGAGTTTCAGTGGACAAACTATTATATATATTAAAGACTAGAGATTTCTCTAGGAAAGAAATCATATCACTGTCTGTGTGTAGAAAGGGATTCTGTGAGAAGGGAATTCTTTATAAGCATCAATCCACTCGGGAGAAAAAGCATACAAATGTCTTGAGTGTGGAAAGAGCTTTATTGTCAGTGGACACCTCCATCGACATCAAAGGACTCACATGGGAACCAAATTCTAAATATGCCTGTGTGTGGAAAGTCCTTTGATCACAACAGTGCCACTAAAATGACAATAGCATTTCGACCGATATACCGCCCCATAGTGCTTTACAGCGCACTCTGGTAGATTTACAAGGTAAGCATTATTTCCATATTGCCCCCAATAATCTGGGTCCTCATTTTTCTATTCTTAGGATGGAAGGTTGAGTCAAGGCTTGAGCACTGTCAGAATCGAACAGGTTTTGGACAGTCTGCCTGCAATACTGCACTTTTAACAACTCTTTAAAATGCGATTGATCAACTGCAGAAGGCCTGCTATTCTGTGATGCCAAATTTGAATACTCTTACACACTTTTCAAAGATTATGTAATCTTATGAGCACAAGTGTGTACTGTATTCTCAGCTCAACCTCTCAATAGTAAGTAAACTGTAGATTAGAATAGAACAGAACAGAATGCAGGAGAGAAGGAATGGAATGGGAATAGAATAGAATATAGAAAGTGGAATAGATAGAATATGGAACAGAGAAGAGTGGAATGGAAAAGAATAGAACGCAGGAAAGGAATGAATAGCATAGAATAGAACAGAACAGAATGGAACCTTGGAGCTTTTGTACTCCAGCTTCCTCCTCAAGCAGGAGAACCTATACTATCTCAGATTTACTGTTCCTTTTATTGCTACAGTCTGTTTAATGATTGTGCTATTTTGTGTTGCCTAATAGTTGAATTTGAATAATCTTACTTTTTAAGGGGCATGTAATCTTAAGAGTACAAGTTTATTGAATCCCACAAACTCGAATCACGATTTCTTCGGATTGGTGAGCGGAATAATGTGGCTGTAAAACAGGTCGGTTGTACAGGTCGCCTTAAACAACTTCAGCGGTGAAGTACTAAACTACAGGTAATCCTCAAGGTATGACAGATCATTTAGCGGCCATTCAGAGTTACTACAGACCTCCCCAAAACCCTGTATGACCATGATTCGAAGATAAGAATTTTACAAAAGTTCAAAACTTTGCAGAGACACTGAAGCATGCCCACCTATTCCCCCCTCCCATCCTTGTTCTACCAGATCCCCAAAGGCTGGGCCTGCTTTGCACCACCCTTCCTCCCCCCACAGTGCCTTGTTTACCTTCCGGAGATCTGCAGAACCGAGTATTATAGGCCGTTCTTAGTGGGCCCCATGGAGCAGCCGTTTCCAAAATTACTTTGGAAAAGCAAGAGGTATCTTAGGGGGTGGGGAAGGCGTTGGGAAGCTCAAGGCAGCCATCCCTGAGGCACACCATGCACATTTAACATCCCTGCATTCACCTCTACATTCTTTTAACTCTAGAGAAATCAGATCAATCTCAGGCTAACCTAATTAACGCTATCTCGCTTCTGTAAACCACGCTTGCATGGGGAAAACACCATTTACCTTAAACAAAAGGAGTCGTGTATCTTGATGCAAATGAAAAGGTAATGCCGAAGGAAGTGATGACATATAACTATTGTTTAACCATTTAAAAGGCAATCACATCACTTCCTTGTCCCTTTGCTGTTGCCGTTGGGCAAGACTGTATAAAAACTACTATTCCCCCCCCCCCAGGTGTGCTGCCAGTGTTGGGAGGCTGATCACCCAGCTGCTTTTCTCAGTCGATTAAAGAGTTGTTTTTTCCATTTCTGAAGCCTCCATCTCAGTTTTTACTTTGGTGTCAATGCTGCAAATATTGTATATTCTTGCTTTTGAAAATATGCAGAACTGTCTGGTATTTATGGGGTTAATACAGAGCAGAAGGGGGATGGGGGTAAAGCCCGGGAAAGAAAGAGGAAGAAAACCTTTGACCTTCACACAAATTGGATAATGTGATATATGACAGCTAATTTAGGGAGGGAACATGCTGATAATTTAACTGCTCAGAGGAAGAGAACTTAGATCCTAGCATCCCTCCGTTGCCGCCATTTTGTAACAATAAAAGACTTTTAGGAAAATAAATGCTTGGAAATTCTTTGAAATGTTTCATTAGCCAGAACCATAACATTTGGCTTGTGAGAGTCTCAGTTTTTTTAAAATAAGGTTTTATTATTTTTTTTTAGAATTACAATCTTTAACGCTTAGTAAACAACATGTTTGGGTTCACATATTTGACATTGCCTTCTTCAATATAAATCTGGTCATTACTACACAGTCCAGTATTTTTCTCTGGATCCTCCTTCCTTCCCCATATTTTTTCATTTTTCCCTCATAATTAAACAATTACCATTCTTACTACTATTAATGTATACAAAATTAGATATAAACATTTTCATCATATTTTACTTTTATACAAATAACATCAGTTCATAAATCACTCTCCTGTTTTTCATACTCTTGTTAACATTTAGTTTCCCATTAATATTTAAAGTCTTTGCTAGTTATGATTTTCACAATGTTAATTACATTTGAATAACTTATCAATTTTATTCATACTAATCCTCTTATGTTTGTATTTCCTTTGTCAAAAGAAGAAAAAAAAGTGCTATTTAATTCTAAATCATATTCATTATAAAAGACTAATTATATCTCAAAGTCCTAAATTCTTTTAACTATGTTCAAACAAGTATTTAGACATATAATTCTGTCTTTTAAATCTAACTCTCTCTTTCTTTCTTTGCCAAATAGCTTTCCGTGCCAAGGCAATTAAATCGAAGTGGTCTGAGCCTTGACAAGTGCTGCTCAGCACCCCCACTGCAGTAAAGGTTGAGGGGCTAAAGGCGTAGGTCCATGGATCCAGAATGAAGAAGGTGTCGCCTCCATCCGCCCAGTGGCCAGTCCAATGGCTAGATGAACTCAAGCTGAAACTCCGTAAGGTTCCGTCGTCACCCGCTCACCTGTTCCCACCATTTGATGATCCAGACGGCCACCCAAACTGCAAACTGGATTCTGTTAGGCTACCCTATGATAAACAATAAAAGAAGATAACTATACAAAACTATTGAAACAAATAAAGCTGGAAGAACTTGCAATTGTCAGTATTAGAAAGAATTGCTACAGTGAAATTGAATCTTTTGCCGAAGGTGCTATTTTTATCTCAAACAATTCCGATAAAACTTGAGAAAAAATTCTTCCAAGATTTAAACACATTAATTTTGAATTTTGTCTGGGAAGTTAAGAAAGCTAGAATTATGAAAACATGCTAAGGAAAATGGAGGTTTGGGGTTACCGGAGTGGATTCTGTACTATTAAGCATCTATTTTAACAGGGGTGAAAGAATGGATATCTCTCAGAAATAAAAGGTTGTTATATTTGGAGGATCGTGATTTACAATTGGGATGGCACGCTTTCTTATGGTATGGGGAAAATAGAGCTCTATTTCCCCCATACCATAAGAAATCACTATATAAAAAATCACTATATAAGAAATGCTGTTAATAGTATGGGAAAAAAATTAAAGCTAAAATATATTTAAAAATTCCAGGGTGGCTATCAACGATGGAAGCATTCATACATCCAAACTTGGTAGACTTTGAAAAAATTTTGACATATAGAGATATTCTAAATATTGATGGGAACTTAAAATCCAAACAAGAACTGAAAAATCAGGGTTTCAACGTGTCATGTTGGGCACATTTACAGATGCAAAATAGGTATGAAAAAGACGTAAAACTGTATGGATTTTATAAACATCAAACTGTATTTGATAAGATTTTGTTATCCTTAGCTGAGAAATTAATTAAGAAAATGTATAATTATTTTGATAATTCTGCAAATGGAAAGTGAACAAATTAAAGAAACAATGTTGAGATGGGCGAAAAACTTTGGTTATAATATAGAACTAGAAAAGTATCAAACGCTATGGGAGAGAAACTATAAATTAACAATGTCAACTTCGTATAAAGAAAATTTAGATACAATGTTTTATAGATGGCACTTGCCACCAGCAAGACTAGCAAAAATGTTTAAAAATATGTCAGATGCTGGAAATAATAAAGCAAAGGCTTATTAGGAAACGATACATGCTTGGTTAGAAAAAATATTAGGAGAACATGTTAACTTTAAACCTGAACATTTCTTATTAGGTATAATGCCAGAAAAGATTAACAAACAAAGCTTATATTTGATTTTCCACATCACTACAGCAGCAAAAATAATCTTTGTGCGATATTGGAAAAATGAAGGAGTACCACCAGAGGAAGAAATAACCAGAAAAATACTGGAATGCGCAGAGATGGACAGATTAACTATGAGATTGAAAGACAAAGAAGAAACAGAATATTATCAAACTTGGGATCTATTTTGTCAATGGCTAGAGGAAAGAACGAAGGATTAGGAATTGAATATGTATCAGCATTGTTATACTTCAGCAGGTTGGTGGAAAAATTAATATATGTATTATTAATAAAATCTTTATAAAAAAGATTATGAGACTGAAAGAAAAAGAAGACACGGGTGGATTATTATCAAACGTGGGATCATTGGTTGGAGGAAAGAAGAAAGGATTAGGAATTAAATATGTATTAGCATGTAAACCCAGACAGCACGTTGGTTGAAAAATAATTATTGTATATATGTAAAAAATGAATTTTTTTAAAAAGTGGATAGGTAAGATGGGGGGGAGGGAGAGTTAACTTGCAAATGTGCAGGCAAATAAGCAGGTCTATTTGCCAGTGGGCTGCAAGAAGAAGAGGAAATGAGAGAGGTGCCAGCCCAGGGATGGAGGGCTACATCTCAGGGCACGTTGGCCAGGGCAGCAGCTGTAACAGGCGCCCCCTCCAAAGGGGGGATACATCCCCCGTGATGTATTTTGCAGGTATTGTTCATGACAGCCTGATCTATTATTGACCCCAAACTACACACTTATGACCACAATCATCTAGCCAAGCGTTTCTGTAGCTAACCTTTGTTGTTTTTACCATGTTTTATGTCATTCAGTAGTGGCCAAAATTGCAGAAACCTTTTGGGAAAAGTGCATTTTTGAGATTTGATGGCTAATAATACTACTATTTTTTTTGGGGGGGGAACGTGCCATAAAATTATATATCGGTGAAAAAGTAATTTCATCAAGAATGTAACGAAACAAGATTTGTTCAATTATCTGTACTGTACGGGGGGGGGGGGGGAGCCGAAGAAACACCAATCTCTCAGACCTGCGATGGAAGACACAGGATTGAGGAAGAGGCACACTTGCCACCCTGTGTGTGTGTGTGTGTGTGTGTATTCTTCTCCCAAAGCAAAGCCTAAAAAGGGGGAGCAGCCTTAGATCTTATAGGCCACCCCATATCTCCCCCAGTCCGAAGCCCCCCCCCAGAGGCTGGGAAGGGTCTCCTCCCCCCCCCGCTCCTCCTGGCAGGGGGGAACGGGGGGGGGGACCGGAAGAAACACCTTTGGGAAAAGCCTTCTTGGAGGAAACCCCCCCAAGCCCAGCAATGCAGGCGAGGCAATGGGAAGGAAGGCTGAGCGAGGCCAGCGAGGGGCAGAAGCCCCGCAGAGCGAAGCCCAAAGCAAGGCGGGATCCTCCCTGAGAGGCGGGAGAGGGGCTGCCTGGGGGCCGCGGGGGGAGCCTGGCCGGGGCCCCCCCGCGAGGGAGGAGGCGTCCCCCCAATTTCGCCTGCTTGGATACCCCCAGATCCCCCCGCCCTGCCTAGGGAGAGACCCCCGATGGGGGGAGGGAGGGGCGGAGACGCAGCCCCGGGAGGCCCCTCAGCTCCGCCGGCCTGGATGCGGGTGGGGTTGCCCGGAGGGGGGAGAAGACGGGACCCCCAAAGGTCAAAAGGAACCCCCCCCGCCTCACCTCCGCGGCGGAACGAAGACAACCTTCGCTACTGCGCAGGCGCCAACTGGCTTTTTTTTTTTTTTTTTTTTCGAGGAAGGACGCCGCCGATTCGTCCCTCTGGGGAGGGCAGCGATTGGCAGGAGGACTCCTCGGGGCGGTCCATTCAAAGGAAAGAGGAAGAGCAACCAGGAAGAGCGCTCGCAGCGAAGTCCCGCCTCCACTTCCGGGAAGAAACAGACCTGAGGCGCCCTAATTGATTCGGCCGCGGACGGGCTCGGACCCAGGTAGGGCGCAAGGGATGCTGGGAGGAGGGAGGGGGGAGGAGCCCGAGGCCTGGTTTGGCGGGACGCGCGTTGGGAGGGAGGCCGAGTCAGTCTCGTTCTTGCCGGGGAAATGCCAATGACAGGCGGAGGCTTCGGCCTTCCTCCCCGGAAGGCTCGGTGGGCGGGTGGACCTAGGCTTCCCCTGTGGGGAAGAGACGAAACGGTGACCTGCCTCTCCTCCCCCCCTTCGCCCCTGCAGGAGGACGGGCGAGCCCGGCGGAGGAAGGAAGGAAGGAAGGAGGCGCCGCCCGAGAGGAGAGGAGGCCCCGCGGAGCAGCCCCGGGAGGAGACGGCGGGAAGGCCCGGCAGGGATGAGCCGAGGGGGACTCCGGGAAAGGAGGCCGCCCGGAGGGAAAAGCGGGGAGCAGAAAACGGGCGGATACACCAAGACGCGCCTGAAGGGCGGAGGGTCCTCCAGAAGAGGCGAGAGACTCAGAAAACGCCACAGAATCCCGGAGGGAGGAAAGAAATATCAGTGCCCAGAATGTGGAAAATCCTTCAAAGCAAATGAAGCTTTTAAAAAGCATCTAAGAATCCACACTGGGGAGAGACCGTATGGATGCCCCGAGTGTGGAAAGAGCTTCAGTCTGAGGGGGAACCTTTATAAACATCAAAGGATCCACACTGGAGAGAAACAGCATAAATGCCTGGAGTGTGGAAAGAGCTTCAGTCGGAGGGGCACCCTTTATATACATCAAAGGATCCACACAGGAGAAAAACCGTATAAATGCCCGGAATGTGGAAAGAGCTTCAATCTGAGGAGCACCCTTTATAGACATCAAAGGCTTCATACAGGAGAAAAACCACATAAATGTCTGGAGTGTGGAAAGAGCTTCATTCAGCCGGGAAAACTTCATGCACATCAAAGAATCCACACTGGAGAAAAACCATTTAAATGCCTGGAGTGTGGAAAGACCTTCGCTCTGAACGGCACCCTTTATAAACATCAAAGAATCCACACAGGAGAAAAACCGTATAAATGCCTGAAGTGTGGAAAGTGCTTCAGTGTGAAGGGAAACCTTTATAAACATGAAAGGATCCACACTGGAGAGAAACCATTTAAATGCCTGGAGTGTGAAAAGAGTTTCAATAGTAGAGGATGTCTTGAGAGACATCAAAGATTTCACACTGGTGAAAAACCATATGAATGCTTGGAGTGTGGAAAGAACTTTACTCTGGGTGAACAGCTCCGTAGACATCAGTGGATTCACAGAGGAGAAAAACCTTACAAATGTCTGGTGTGTGGAAAGAACTACAGTGAGAGAAGCAGCTTTTTGGTACATCAAAGAATCCACACAGGAGAGAGACCGTATAAATGCCTGCAGTGTGAAAAGAGCTTCAGACGGAACAGCAACCTTACTGAACATCAAAAAATCCACTCAGGAGAGAGACAACTACATAAATGCCTGGAGTGTGGAAAGACCTTCAGTCACAGGAGCTGCTTATTTGTACATCAAAAAAACCATTCAGGAGAAAAACCTTATAAATGCCTGAACTGTGGAAAGAGCTTCAGTCTGAGGGGTACCCTTCATAGACATAATAAAATCCACTCTGGAGAAAAATTGTATAAATGCCTGGAGTGTGGAAAGAGCTTCAGTCAGAAGAGCAGTGTTTATAGACATCAAATAATCCACTCAGGAGAAAAACCATTTAAATGCCTGGAGTGTGGAAAGAGTTTCAATACTAGAGGAAGTCTCAATAAACATGAAAGGATTCACACGGGAGAAAAACCATATGAATGTTTGGAGTGTGGAAAGAGCTTTACTCTGGGTGAACAGCTCCGTAGACATCAAAAGATTCACAAAGGAGAAAAAGCATATAAATGCCTGGAGTGTGGAAAGAGCTTCAATGAGAGCTGCAGCCTTGATAAACATCAAAGAATCCACTCAGGAGAAAAACCTTATAAATGCCTGGAGTGTGGAAAGGGCTTCGTTTGGAAGAGCAGCCTTTTTAGACATCAAAAAATCCACTAAGGAGAAAAACAATATTAGTGCCTGGAGTGTGGAAAGAGCTTTATTTGATGGTGGAAACCTCCCTAAACAAGAAAGGATCCACACTGGAGAAAAAGCTTATAAATGCCTGGAGTACGGAAAGAGCTTCAGTCAGAATGGAAAACATTATAAACATTAAAAACAAATCACTTAGCCCTGAAAATGCCTGGAATGTGGAAAGAGCCTGAATGAGATGAGCAACCTTTATCTACATCAGTGGTTCTCAATCTTTCTAATGCCGCGACCCCATAATACAATTCCCCATGTTGTGGTGACCCCCAACCACTTATACATCACTGGGTGCCAGGGGCATGGCCAAAGAAAAGGGGGAAAAAATGGTGGACAGCCTTGTTTGGCAACCCCCGTGAAATGGTCGTTCGACCCCAAATGAGAACCACTGATCTACATCAAAGAATCCATTCAGGAGAGAAACTGTATTTCTGATAAATGCCTATCTTCTTAAAAGGTTCCAGTGATGGGGCACCCACAACTTCTGGGGGCAATTTAAATTTAAAACCTACAAACTTCAGTAATATATGCTAATCTCCAAAATAAAAGCTCAATAGTTTGCAAAGTACAGTACTTAAAAAGCAGAGCAGTTGCAAAGAACTTGCAAACAAACACTATAGAGTAACAGTTTTTTTTAAAAAAATACATAAGTAATTTTAGCACTGGAAGCCAGTCAGTAGCAGATTGCAGCAAAAGCAAAAACTGGTGCTAGCTCAGCTCTTGTTTCGCCATGTGACCAGGGACAAAAAAACCCCAACCCTGCGAGCTTCATGTAGCCCCAAACGGCCCAAGAAAGTCAGAGAGGTAAAAATGGCCGCCACTGCCATATAGACTGAAACCAAGTGACATGGCTACACAGGCCTCTTTTTGATCACAATTTTGATCTGGAAGGAGCTTCAACAGGGCAGGAACTCTGTATAGACATCATAGCATTCACAAAAGAGGAAAAGCATATAAATGTCTGGAGTGCGGAAGGAGCTTTAGTCAGAGGGGAACCCTTTACAGGCATCAAAGATGCCATTCAGGAGAGAAATCAAATAAATGCCTGAAGCGTGGAAAGAATTTCAATATACATATTAAAGACTCAGGAGAGAAATCATATCAATGTGTGTGTGTAGAAAGGGATTCTGTGAGAAGGGAAGTATTTATAAGCATTAATCCACTCAGGAGAAAAAGCATACAAATGTCTTGAGTGTGGAAAGAGCTTTATTGTCAGTGGACACCTCCATTGACATCAAAGGATTCCCATGGGAACAAAATTCTAAATATGCCTGTGTGTGGAAAGTCCTTTGATCACAACAGTGCCACTAAAATGACAACAGCATTTCGACTGATATACCGCCCCGTAGTGCTTTACAGTGCACTCTGGTAGTTTACAAGGTAAGCATTATTTGCATATAACCCCCAATAATCCGGGTCCTCATTTTTCCATTGGATGGAAGATTGAGTCAAGGCTTGAGCACTGTCAGAATTGAACTCCAGGCTACGGACAGTCTGCGTGCAATACTGCACTTTTAACAACTCTTTAAAATGCGATTGATGAAATGCAGAAGGCCTTCTCAAGGGCTAAGAAGCTATTAAGTATTTATCACAGACTTAAGTACAGCTCAGTAAGACAGTTGTCAACTCTTGCCCTTCGTTGCCATCTCAACCTTTGTGTGTCAGTGTAAGTATATACTGTATTCTCCAGCTCTCTGCTCACGCAGGACCTAAGTTTTACTATTCCTTTTATTGTTACATTCTGTTTAATGATTGTCCTATTTTGTGTTGCCTAATAGTTGAATTTGAATAATCTTACACACTTTTTAAGGGGCATGTAATCTTATGAGTACAAGTGTATTGAATTCCACAAACTCGAATCATGATTGCTTCTGATTGGTGAGTGAAATAATGTAGCTGTAAAACAGGTAGGCTGCTTCCTGACAGAACAGTTTGTCCGAAATGTTGTAGGGCAGTGGTTCTCAACTTGTGCGTCAGGACCCCATTTGGGATCGAACGACCATTTCATGGAGGTCGCCAAACAATGCAGTCCGCCTTTTTTTCCCCCTTTTCCTTAGCTCTGCTACTCCCTTTTATTCTATTGGCTTTTGAAAGCCAATAGAATTAGACTCTCTTGAATAGAGTCTAATTCTATTGGCTTTCCAAAGACAATAGGAATTGTCCAGGCTGTCTCTGCTCTGCTGAGCCCGCCAGAAGTCCCATTCTGCAAACGGCGCTGCACCAGTTGAGTAGTCATCGACTTACGACCGGTTGAGTAGTCCCCGACTTACAACCGGTTGGGGATCGTGGCATTAAAAAGGTTGAGAACCACTGTTGTAGGGTTTCCTCCCTGAGCAGGGGGGTTGGACTCGATGACCTCCAAGGTCCCTTCTAACGTTGTTGTTGATATATTATTATTATTATTATTATTATTATTATTATTATTATTATGAACAACTTCACTGGTGAAGTACTAAACTACAGGTAATCCTTGAGGTATGACAGATCACTTAGCGACCATTCAGAGTTACTACAGACCTCCCCACAAACCGCTGGAGCTGCAGGTTGCCGACCTGTGATCTAGTTGCTTGTAACTTTCTAACTGCCAAATAAGGGACTTTTTCAGGTTGAGTAACAAAGGCCTTTTTTTCTACTGCATAGGGTAGAAATAAAAATGGATTGAAATTGTACCTTTACGTAACAGCCTTGTATGATTGGTGACACTTTTTTCACATATGAACATTTGTCTTTTTATGCAATGTTCATTTCAGTGGTTATGCTTAATATTATGGGATGTTACTGTCCTTGTCTCTGACGTAACAGAGCAGGATGACTTCTTCCATTCCATCAAGTCTTGTTTTGTACTTTTTCTGCTGTATGGAGTGTAAAATGAAACTCAGTTCTCTGTCCTGGATTCTTTCTTTTCATTAAGGGAAACCTCTCTGCTATAATAGTCTAATACAGCGGTTCTCAACCTGTGGGTTGGGACCCCATTTGGGGTCGAACGACCATTTCACGGGGGTCGCCAAACAACGCAGTCCACCATTTTCCCCCCTTTTCCTTAGCTGTGCTGCTCCCTTTTATTCTATTGGCTTTTGAAAGCCAATAGAATAGACTCTCTTGAATAGAGTCTAATTCTATTGGCTTTTAAAAGCCAATAGGAATTGTCCAGGCTGTCTCTGCCCTGCTGAGCCCGCCAAAAGTCCCATTCTGCAAACAGTGCTGCACCAGTTGAGTAGTCCTCGACTTACGACCGGTTGAGTAGTCCTCGACTTACGACCGGTTGGGGGGTCGTGGCATTAAAAAGGTTGAGAACCACTGGTCTAATAAATTGCCTTTAAATGATCTTCCCACTCAGTGCCTAATTGGAACACGTGTGCCGTGGTTGAATCTAGGGCTAATTGGGCCTTCATTGTTGTGGGTGTGAAAGAATTCCTCCATCTCATTTTGGATATAATCTAAATGGGTTTTCCGAATGTCAGCACCACGTTAAGGCCATCCCAGATATATGAAACTCTTGTACAGTGTTTCTCAACTTTGACCATTTTAAGGCATGTGGACTTCAACTCCCAGAATTCCACAGGCAGCATTGCTGGCTGAGGAATTCTGGGAGTTGAAGTCTACATGCCTTAAAATGGTCAAGGTTGAGAAACACTGCTCTTGTAAATTGGATGCTCTCAGTGGTCCCCTTGTCTTCAAGGCTTTTTAGCAGAAACAAGAGACTTTCTAAGGCCAACAAAGCTTCGTGAGATACTATCCATATCCTCAGCATACAGGAGAAGAAGCACATCTGGGTCCACGGATTCTGTGTGGTGTAAGTAGGAGACTGTCAGATGACCTGTTGGGGAGTGGAGGTACAACCTAAAGAGGGTGCAAGTCTAAATACAGCCCTGTGAGACTTTTCTGAAGACGTACCTGGTTGGTTAGTACATTTCATTCAAACGCTGACTGAGAAAAAGTAACATCCATTTATACTGTATTTGCCACTTTCATCAACTATAAAGGCTACAATGCAGTGATTTTGTCCATGTCGTTTTGTTTTATTTAGAAGAATGCCATAACTCAAAATTGACACCCAATGCATTATGCAAGAATAAACTGTCCATGCTGTTTAATTACAGCTGATTTCACTCTAAATGGAAATTATTTGGTAAAAAGGTACCCCTAAATACTTTTTGCTGCAATGGGAAGATTCGATGGTTCACCTTGTCCTTCTTGGCCTCTTCTGCATAGATTTTTAAGGGCCCAAACAGGGCACAGTATTTACGATGCAGGTTGAGCAAAGCAGAACCGTCCGGGAACAATTCTGGGTCTTTATTTCATGGGCCTGATCTGCAATCCTATGAGAGGACAGGTTCTGCCTCCTCCTTCTCCTTCAGGAAGGGTTTCAGCTGCAGCCAGGATTGCCCAGAAAAGGGGCAGCTGAGAGGCCGGCTGGAAGTCAAGCAGGAAGTAAGGAAGGCTGGACTTGGACGACAGCCAAAGCCCCGGAAATCCAGCCCTTCTCAACACTGCCACACTTAGCACGTGTGAATGTGGGTGTTAGATCCCATGGAGGGAGTTGTTTTGTCTGAACGGAAACAAGATGTTGCTGAACTATAAACTCAAACCTTTCTTGCCATTCAGCCTCTGCAGTGCCTTTGCCAGCCTACCTGGGCAGGTTGTTGTGCACTCTAATCTAGGGCCAGACAGTGCCCCGCCTCCTTGGGGGGGAAGAACTGCCCTCCAAAGGAAACCCAATTAGAGCATCTTTGGGCTGCAGCCCTCCAGCCTTAAACGGGGCAGCAGCGGGAGGACAGCCGACAAAAGCCACGGTGGCCTTCATTGTTGTGGGTGTGAAAGAGCTCCTCCTCCAGTGCGGGTGTTAGATCCTATGGAGGGAATTGTGTTGTGTGAGCGGAAACAAGATGTTGCTGAACTATAAACTCCCACTTTCTTGCCATTCAGCGTCTGCAGTGCTTTTGCCTGCCTACCTGAGCACCCGAGGCTCTGTTCACACGACCTGCTTCCCCACTCCTGGATTTGCACATCCAGACCCCCAGCCTGGTTCAACACGCTCTTTGCAAGCCAACTTAACCTGGCATAAGACTAACCAAACTTAACAGGCTATGGAAATGTGAGGGCTTCCCGTGCCACTGAGACTTAGTGCAGGGACTCACCCGGGCAGCATCCACCAGCTGGGGGACTCTCAGTCTGGCCCTGCACATCGTTGGCTGACCTGGGAAGTAATGCTTGTTTATGCTTAGTTGGGATTTGGATGGGGGACCACCACGAAATGCAAGAGATGCTATCTAGCACTGGAAAGTTAAAAGAACCAGCTCAGTCTGTATTGCTGTTCAGAAA